ATAACGCTGAGTAAGGGAGCATAATCGACATAAGGTCAGATAGTCCATGGCTGAGTAATGCGAGTAATCCGGACGCTGTCTAGAATAGTCCGGAACATCGTAGAACGTACCAGAATCATATGGAGGGATCGCAGGATGCCAAGTAAGTACAGAACAAAAGAATGTACGTATATGGTAAGTAGGAAAGTCCATGCTGGCGTATGGTAGACGCACAGCCACTATCACTGCCACTCCTGGTCCGGCACAGCCGTAGACACAGAAGTTCAACAATACCACCATCCCATCTTAACTTCCAAAGAGCCTCATGTGGACGTCGCCCAGGTCACTGCCCTTCAGTACAACTTCATGAAGGAGCTCTCCGCCGAGTTTGAATATTTGAACTGTTCTTCTGCGAAGCCTCTGTCACCCACGTCATGATCATCATTTGTGCATGAAAAGATAACTTGTTCAGGTACTATGGCTAGAAGTCCTATGCCTCGTCAATCCGTCTCGTACTTACAGGAAACAGCCACCAGGCCCAGATATCCGTCAGAAATCAAAATAAGTGCCCGATGTACACGCTGATACAAGATGCAGCGGTCGTACCTGTGCAGCGCGAGAAACTGGGTCCCCATATGCACCCACCATGGGGCCATACGGGACGCGCGGGATGCCGCCCCCTGGGATACCTCCCATGATTTTACTCATGCCGTGCGTCGTGAGTCGGCCCATGCTCCAAGGCCACGCATGTGAAATGACACCCGGTTTGATCATAACGAAGGACCAAGTGCATTTCTAGGCCGCCTATATTGTGAACAGTCCGCTAGGAGCGCGTACAAGGAGCATAGTCACGTTAGACTCGGAGCATCGCCCGGCTCGTAAGCAGGGTTGACTTACAAAATCACGGACCAGTCGTCCGAGTTATTTCTGTGCGGAACTGGCTACCGCTATGGCGCTATCAATGATGCTGGCCGGACACACCGATAGCGACCAGAGGCAATACGCCCCAGCTTGTGCATTCACGGACACGGGAGAAGGGGTTGCGATGGTGGCTCTGGCGGTTCCTTCTCGCGCTCAGACTCAAGATGGACTAACATAACGTCCCGCCAATGTCGTTCAAATAAGTAAGTATACGACTAGAGAGGACAAATGAAGTTAGGACGCTCACATACTGTCTATCCTCCGCTGGTAGCGGTACCGCAGGCTAGTCCGCGCCCGAAAACCGGGCTTTGACACCGTGGCGTAACCGCCGACCACACCGCCATAGGCGCACCGAACGTCGTCGGGTACGGCTTTTCTCCGCTCCATCGCCGCCTGGTCGTCGCCATCGCGGTCCGCTCCCATCGCCCCACCGACGGGCCCCACCCACGGGATCAGCGCCGGCAAGTCCTCCGGAGCCTACATCGCAGGATCTATCAACCTAGTGGCGGTCTCCAGGGCTGCGATCGTCGTCAGGACTCGCTCCAACGCGGGGATGAGGACCTCGAATACTCACTTTGACACCTGTGAAGATCGATATTCTCCGCCTTTGCGATCTCCGTTGAGTGGAACATTCCACACGTCGGAGGTCAGGGTAGGCGCCATCTATTTTGCGCGCCTCAAACAGGGCAGGACACCATGACCACGCGGGCCGGAGCGCTTCTCTGTATTGCTCTGACACAGGTGGGTGGTCTCTGCGGGGATCTGAGAGCGTGTCTCCGCCCCATGGATGATGTGACCAGTGCTAGTGAAGGAGAGACACTTTTGTGTCGTGCAAGCTGGTGAATATGGGTGTAGAGAAATCTGTCAGACCGGTCGTTGCTCATCGACCGCCGGGGATAAACGGAGGAATGAGTGTCGAGCACATTGACAACCCGTCTTAGCGTGCTTTCGGAATTAAACACAGCTTGGATCGTAGTACCGACTCGGACCGCGCAGCCACATCGGGCTGTGAGATCCGAGTCTGGAATCAACAAAGTTCATGTGAAACCGCCCGCGGCTCACGTCGGCCAAAATAAGGTTCGACTACGTGAGAGTGGGCGTCGATAGACCACGCGAGGCCACTGTGATTTATCACATTGTCATCTTTTTGCGCGCTGACGAGGTGTTGCAGGAACCAACGAACGTCAAACATCGCGAGAAGCGGGATACTAACATGGCCAAGGGCGTCGACCCAACGGCGAGGGTGAGAGAGCCCTGAAAGCCAAGACATCTATATCGAGGAACGACGGCGTCAGGAAGAAGTCGAAGTAAGGGCGAGGCACGATGGGCCAAAACTTAGCCCTCAGGGCGCCGACAGCCTGAGCACTGTAGGCTTTAGAAGACCTACGCTCAATGCATCCCCATCGCCGTAAGGTTCAAAAGATATTGCCCTAGAGCATCAATCTATCACCACGAATTAAGAGGACTTACCAGACTGTGCTGTTGGTTAGAACACGCCGTGACAGGTGTTGGCAGATGCTCGGATTCGCAGGTCGCAGTTCGAGGTCTCATGCCATATGGCGAGGGGCCACCCGTCACCGGCGCGCAATGAGCCCGAGCCCACAGCATGCCCACAATGAAAGGCGAAGAGAAAGAGATGTCGTACATGCCGCTACGGCTATGTAAGTTGGCCGATGACGGCGGAGGTGAATCAAGCGCCTGACATCGCATCGCATCAAATTCAATATCCACGTGGCTACCACATGCGCAAATAACAAACAATACTGTTGTGAACCGTGCTGTGCTGGCAACGTCGGCTTGTTCAATTCGTCGCGCTTATTCACAACCTCGCGTATGACTTCTTGCGCCGCTGACTCCTCTGCAATACCTTGGGCATCCAACCGCAGGAAGATGAAGTTATTGCTCCCGAGAAGGGAAAAGGGCCTGTAAACGCCCCAGCCAATGGATCTGCCGATCTTCCCCGAGAACTCCGTCGGCGCACTTCCAGTACTGTCACGCATGCTGCATCGCCTCGAGACGATACTGCGTTTTGGAAAGAACAGCGTTGAAGTTCTCCTCACAGTCCAGTGCCTGTTAAAATTCAGTACAGCCACTCACATACGGGCTGTTAATCGTACGTCCATTTACTACGTAGTGTCACGACACTGGCAGTGCCCACGCTTGCCAGTTTGTGCATGGAGCATGGCGTATGCGAAGCGAGTATGGGAAACACCTACTTCGCATACGTCAGAATGTGGTCTCCTCGACACTCCCTAGTCGCAGGTCACTTCGAGGAAGCCGCATGCTCTACCTGGATTCCTAATCAACATATTGACGGGACCTAATCATCAGGCATCATCCGTCGGATGTGGCATTGTACATTCCTCGGACACGGCCGCCGTGAGTCTATTGTTGGGCGCCAGGATTTCAAATGCAAGAACGCTCACAGCCCCCTCGGCGGCCCAGGCGTCCGCAAGGCTCCTGTCCCACGCCGCGCGGTGTTCGGTGTCCCGAGGACGCAGCTCTGCAGACGCGACACCCCGCGCCACGGTGGCGACTATCCCGGCGAATGCACGCGGGCGCTCCCGCAGCGGCGAGTCGGGCAGGGCTGTCTGCCTTGATTCTATCAGGTACGGCGTGATGAACTTTAGCGTTCCGTATATCATAGAGTACGCGGCACGCCTCGCCCGTGCACAGTCCACCGTCCACCGAGTCCCCCATGGCGTTGCTTCCGAATACGACTACTAGCAATGTGCCCACCGACGTGGTCGCGGTGCCCGCGGCGCTCGTCGACGCGATCCAGGACAACATGGAGACGACCTTCGGGGCCTATCTCGTCTGCACGTGTTTGGGGTGCATGTGAGTGGCCTTTTCGATTTCGGGTCACCCGTCGTTCGACACATTGCTGATTTGACCTTAGAATGTTTGGCTTGACCACCCACCAGACCTATCGCTACTTCCGTCTCTATCCTACTGATATGACGGCGCTGAAGGTGCTGGTACGTATCTGTGTCTTCCACCTTTCTATGGGCCAGTTCTGATCAGAATCGCAGGTTCTTACTGTCCTGTAAGTCATCGCCATTTCCTCCAAAGCGCAAGTCTTATGAAACCCACGACGAGCAGTGTTCTTGATATTACACATACTATCACCAGCATACATGTCTGGTACGGCCGCTCATCCTTACCTCGAAGCATTCTGTCTAACCCTCCTGCAGCTACTTTTACCTTGTCACCAATTACTTCCATCCAGAGCGTCTCCTCGACGGAGTGTGGTAAGTCGCACCACTTTGGTTCCAGACCCCATTTCTCACTCGCTTTTCCAGGTCCATTCGAGTGCGTGGCCTATCGTATTCGTTCGCCGCACTTTACTGACCCCACAACGCAGCTTATTATCCTTGAGATGGTACGTGCGGTGCCACTTTGCACTCCAACATTTCGCTCACGCTTTTTTCTAGGGTGTCCTGATTCTCGTCTGCCACCTGTAAGCATTGCCTTTTCAGACACTGCCGACTGCGGAGTTTCCGCTGATCTCGCCGATACAGATTCTTCGCTCGAAGATTGTTCCTGCGTGCGTGGCATATCGGCGGAGACCGTGTTCATCTGACCGATGATTGATTTGTAGTTGGGAACCGCAACCTGATACCGGTGGTCATCATTGTGAGGGAACTCTCCGACGGTTTCTGTTGGAACGTTAACTGACAGTACGGTATCTGCCAGGGCCTTCTCCTGCTCTTAGAGATGGGTGCGTAGATACTGATGCAGTGACTGCTTCCGTTCTCTAACATGAAATGTGCTCGCGTCAACAGGCTTCTGTATGGGTGCGTGCTGCTGCAGACAGATTTTTCCGCACTTCTTGACTGACATCGACATCCATAGCGGCCGTCATTGAATCGTGCGTTCATCGTTTCCTTTCATCCGTTCATGAATTGAATACGTGCACTGCAGATTCCTCAAAGTCTCCTTCGCGAACTTCGAGAAGTACCCAGTACGCCCACATTCCATGTCTATCTTGTGCTTATTTAACATCTGTGTCACAGTGGTTGATCTGGACCATCCTTGCTCTCGCGGTTGCGGTAGACGTGGTAGCCACCAGCACACTCACGTACTATCTGCGACAAAGCCGAACCGGCTTCAAGCGGTACGCATCTTCCCGCTCGTCAAGATCATCCCCGGTCCTTACAGTTTGTTGTTCTCCGTAGGACTGACTCGATGGTGGATATCTTGATGGTGTACGGGATCAACACTGGTACGTTCGTTGACAGATGGTGCCATGGTACTTCAAACTGATTTCACTTAGGTCTTTCCACGAGGTGAGGCGAACACGATGTGACCCAACACGCCTGTACTGACGGTAGTCTAGCGTGGTGACACTTGCCGCACTCATAAGCGTACGTCGTGCACTTAAACATCTGCCGCAGATATGCTGACGCATAGTCGCACACAGGCAATTGCGCTGCCAAACAGTCTGATCTACACCGCCATCATGGTCGTCGGGACGAAGAGTGCGTTTCCTCTTGTGCATCGCACAGGTCCCTTTGCTGATAGTTTCGCGAAAAGTGTACGCCAACTCATTGCTTGCAGTGTACGTATCATACCCTCTCTATCTCCCATCGTCGTCTCATAATTCCTCCCAGCCTGAACTCCCGCCGCTCGATCGTCGATCGAGGCATGGAGGGCTTCGAAACCGGCTCGTTTGGGCTTAAGGTCGTCGACCCGCGCGACCTGCAGGTCGAGCCGCGTGAGTTCCACGCGATCAGCTTCAAGACCCCTGTATCCCAGAAGCAGAGGGTGAGTAGTGCCTGGCGCAGTCTAGACCATATGGCTGACGTGATTTTATCCGACGTACAGGCACGTCCCGTTCTCGGCGTCAAGGTGACGACGGAAACTTTCGTCGACGTCGATGGGCATGAATCGCGCGAGAACGCGGCGGTAGAGGACTGAGGGGCACGCCACCGCCTGCGCCATGACGTCCCGCCGACAGAACCTCCGGCGGATGTCGATGAGTGGGGATAATCGGCGACGACCCGGTACCGTGACTGTAGTCCGTAATTATTGTCTATCTCTCCCCCCGGCGTGCAGCAGCGGCGGGCCCATGGGTTTCGTGCAGGTGTACTATGCGGCAATGTACCAGTGTAAGCATCTGTAATAAATAGCAACTTACCGCATCCGCGCCGCTCAGACGATTCTGGTATTCGGATTCCACATGTGGAACGGTGGGAAGCTGACCGGAGCACTGCCGCCCGCAGCCCGGTAATCGGAGGAGTTGCAACAGGACATGTACATCAAGGAGGATCGGAAGGGTTTCGGCGACGCCGAGCGGGGTCCTGACATGCGGCGGGAATCCTTGACAGATGCTGGGACGCCGTTGGCAGAAGGTGGATGGCCGAAAGCTCGGCATGACTGAGTTTAATAGCGTCCGCGAAGGGCGGGAGTTGGCCTAGTCGGCGCGCGCAGAGCGGACACGAAGAGAAGCAATGCATAGGAATCGGAGCTATCCATAGCGGCTGCGGTTGCCGTTTCGTCACCCCGAGGACGTCCTCATGGTCACGGTGCTTTGGTTCCCATGGCCCGGGGAGCACGATATGCGAGACTCCCTGAGATAGGCCAGGGCGTTGTCCAGCAGGCCGCTCATGTTATTTCAACAAGATCCTGCGGGTGCTGCGGCTGCTCTCACAAGGTGGTGTTCAAACATATAGCCGGACAATTAGTGCCGCTGAACACATTCCCCCCTACGCCGTGTGGTCACCGCCGTATGGAGTGCGCTGTGACCTACGTCCCCTCACAGTAGGAGCCGAGAGAAGAGAAGCCAAGTATACGGTCAAGTAACATAGTTCTTTGCGGAGTCCGACCACTCGAAGACCTTCTTGGCGTGCTCGTTCCGACGTTCTCCCATTGGTGTTCGCCGCGCCAGTCGTCCATGCGGTCCGCGGATGCGAGGAGAACAGCACCACATTACATTTGGTCGAAGGACATAGCTTAATGTTCTGCAAGAGGCTTCCTGCCATATGCCGGCCGGGCTGAGATATTCATGGAATGGAGGCTCGTCACAGGAGAGACTCAACAAGTTGCACCGATGCACTCATCGTGTCCTGGGGACTTTAAGCGCCCTAACGGCGTATGCCGGACGCCTTCCGGAGAATGCCGGCACGGTATGTTGCACTCGTCTTTTCGTCGAACTCATCGTTTCGTTCTTGCTTGCAAGCTGCCGTGCACTTAGGTCAGGTCAAACTTCTCCACTCGCAACTTTGCTTTCATGCGCGTTCGAGTTCGTTCTAGGTAAGTAAGTAGGAATGCAGCGATGTTGCAGGGCCCTTTGCTCACAAATTACAGCGGTACTCAGAAACTGTTAAAGCAGACTGTCGTCAGTCCAAGGTCCCAGAACTCGTGGCTGTCTTGACAACGGCTTGCGTTTCTGCGCTTATCCCCCACATGACGGGATGAATGACACTGGAATATGATGTCGCGCGGTGTTGAGTGGATAGCATCGGTAAGATGTCGTTCTGTTCTTCGTCTCTTGAAGGTGGCACCCGATCGCGCTCACCATTCGATCGCGTTCTTGCATGGCTTAGATACGTTCGCAACACTCGCTATTGTTGCGATGAACATGGTGGGGCACAGTGATACTAAACCTGTCGCAGAAACGACGACGACGCTTGACAACATACCTCCTTGGGCGCCGGATTACCGCGTACCGGGGTGCGCTTTCCGATCGGCAGCACCTTCCGTTACTAGTCGGCCATATTTTCCTCCAATGTCCGTCCAAAATCGCATACCCGGCGCGTCCTCCGATCATATGATGGGGCCTTCCATGCAACAGGAAGCAACAACGGACTCTCCCACTCCTGCGTCTCTGCAGCATGCGCATCTGGATCTCGATGTGGCCGCTATCCCCAACCTTGTACCACGCCCCTTTGTAACACCCGCTATATATGCGCTCTCCCGAGCCCACCGGAACGGTCATTATCCGCTGCCCCTGGGCGGAGACGCTCGTGTGACCTTCAAAACTCTCGGGCCTGTCGGACACGGCCGTCTCGAATGCCCACATTCTGTCCTTCGACCTCGACATCATCTCTCACCAGCATGTAATCATATTCCTGCGTACAACAGCTCTGCTCAATCAACCTCTTGACGCCTCAAACTCTCTTATTGTGTCGCTCCGCTTACTAGACCTTCTGGGGAACGTCGGACGTGCGCCACTGTTTCATCCCGTACTCACGCACCTACTGCGGTCGTGCGCCCCCGTCCCCTTACGCTGCGTTCCTACACACGACCTGTCCGACCTCGGTCACGGGTAACATCCAGAGGTAAGCCTCACCACACACTATTGTATCACCTCACCGTGCCTGGGTCTGACCATCTTCGAGACACGCAGGGCTGCGCCGATACAATACTCCCTGTGGCTCTGGGCTCTCCGGGATGGCGAACAAATTACCGTGTTAACATGTGCCGGTGCAGCTGAAGCTTGCCGTAAAGTGCAATTGCCGAGCGATTAGAACATAGACCCAAGATTTTCGAGATCTTGCTGGCCGGAAGGAATTCACGATATAGTGGTGAAGGGTGAGCATCCTTCCGGAACTCGTGGACGTGTTCTCCTTGTAAAAGAGGCACAAGCCTCAACATGTTCATCATGAAGGCCGTGAGACTGCTCTGATCGGTTGTCTGACAACAGTGCACCCTGTATAACCATCCGGGATCGGAGTCCATGCGCACCCTACCAATCAAGTACACAGATCAACTTGATCTCCAGCAAATCTCTTCGAATCCGTACACAGATCAACGGTACGTACATGTGCTAATTAGAGTGTACCGGGATCTAACATAAACCAATTCCATAGCTCTCTGTACTCGAATCAAAATCAGCGATGCTTATGATCGCTCGGCTCATACTCCGGACATTCAAACCAAAAACGTCCACGCTTATATGTAAGAAATAATCACCTACTTGGGCTTGCAGCGTCGTAGTCGCTGACGTCTCCACTCCCCACGGCGGACACTTTATTGGTCCTGGTATCGCGTGACCATGAGTGGGATCTGGCTGCCCTCGTTCGGCGCGCCAGCCAGGAAGGGACGGAGCACGATCCCAGGGCGCGTGCGCAGCTCCGAGGGGTCGATGGCCGGCGCGAACGCGAACGCGCGCACAAGCGTGAAGATCAACGCTCTCATCCTGGTGGATACCTGTCAGTATCATCGCGACGTGCGTAGGCATCACAAGAACGCACTCGACTAGAGAGAAGCGGTAGCCTATGCACGCTCGAGGGCCGCCGCCGAACGTCATGAGGTGGCCCCATACGCCTGGGAGGCTCGATATCGCTGCTGGGGGGTCTTGCCAGCGTTCGGGCCTGCGATGTTTGGATCAGTACGTTCCGGTACGGAGACGGGTGTTGTGGTGCGCACTTAAACTCGTACGCATCTTCGCCCCATATCGCTTTCGAACGATGTAACGTCAGAATCGGAATGATTATAGGGCAGCCTGCGGAAACTCTGCAAGACGGTCGGGGGGTCAGTTACCTGCGCGCAATATTGGTCCTAGAAGTCGCGACGTACGCGATAGAATGGTACTCCACGCCATCCTGACCTATGAACGGCTTATTGAGGGGGATGACATCGTCCCTGGTGGCGACGCGCATCGTCGACGCCACGGGGGCGTGCAAGCGGAGCGTCTCGCGCACGACCATGTCGAGGTACGGCAGCGCCGCAAGCTCGTCCATCGTCGGCCTGTCCGTCTCGACGGACAGCAGCTCGCTCCGGAGCTTATGTTGCACGTCTGGTGTTTGCGACAGGGCGTACAGACACCAAGCCGTGGCACTGCTTGTCGTCTCGTGGCCGGTGAGCAGGAACCTGTGTTGGCGCAGATCAACAAGATATCGCAGGAATCACGGAGACTTCGCTCACGTCGGGAATTCTACGACGGGCAGAATGAGACTAGGGTCAGCCACTGTCTCGGTTTGGAGCGGGATGGACGACGTACGGGACAGAACGTCTTCGTCAGACAGCCGCGGGTTGTTTGGGAGATCTGCGGCGACATTCGCCTTAACGAGGAGGCTGAGCATATCCCGTCCCTGGGGCGAACGCCGCCCCTGTCCGCCGCTCTCCGCGTCCTTGGTCGCTTCGCGCTGTAGGTCGGCCTTCTTGGCTTTGATCAATTGTGCACCAAGTCGTCGAATCACACTCTTAGAGTGCGAGACGCGCCGCAGCGTCTCATCCAGCTGCGTATCGTTTAGCCATATCCCCGGGTGATGTGCGAAAGGAGGCACGTACGTAGAGGCCGAATATCGGAATCAGACGATTGAAGAATAGTAGCACGGGGGTACGATTGGGCAGGTTGAAGACCGCATCGCATGCTTCTGTGAGCTCATTTGCATTTGCATTTCGATGTGAGCTCATGATCTCGAAGTCGTGGCCAAAACCTGTCATACAGCGTTAGTTGTTATGGCGGTCGGGGACGGGGACGGAGACGGAGACGGAGACAGCATCGTGCGACTGACCCGCGATGCCCATGACATCCAGTGTCATCATGTTGAGGCCCTTGAGTACGTTGAGACGTGTAGGTTGTGTGGTGACGGTATCTTGTTCCGCCCATAGGTTGCGGAGCTGGTGGCGATGTCAGCATCTAGGGAAGGGATGGGATTGGGTCTTACGCTTACTTCAATGGCTTTATCAATAAATAGTCCCGCATACTCGCGTACTTGTGTCGGACCGAACGCAGGATTCTAGGGAACAGATGTGATTAATTATGGTCGCGCCAGTGAGCAGAGCGAGAATGAACAAACCATGACCTTCCTCTGTGGATGTTGAGCATATGATTAGCGACCCTATGAATGGCAAACGGAAAGGCAGACGGGGCACACTGACCTGTCTCCTGTACTGATCACCTGCGATGTAACTTTCAACTCTGGCTTCATGCTATATCTATGTCGAACACACCTTCGCTACATAATAAACCTGAGAATATACGTCAGCGTTCTCGTCCATAACATTGGCCCTCGCGAAACAGAACACTGCGACAAATCAACACCCAGGCAGATTGGCACAAGCGGTATCCGCCCACGCACGATCACAGGAAGCACTGAACCCTTGTGCGACGCAGAGCTTCTGGTGATCCGCGATGTTCAATGGTGCCATGGCGCCTCAGTTCACGATAAAGAACAATGTCACCGGATGCTGAACTTTCGCAAGGGTCGAGCCCTGTGCGGAATCGATGATGGAAGAAGCGGTCAAGAGGTAGGGAACTCAGTCCCATGATTGTCTCGTCTGCTTGCGCCATGCATCCCGGGCCTCTCTAGCCCGGGATAACATGGTGATCAGCAGTTTAAGAACATTTCGGGGCCCGATGTCTTCGAGCGTGCAGGGTATACTGGAACCTGACCAGGGCCTCGCTCATGTGTAGAACGTGTAGATGTAGAATGAACGGAATGCACAGACAAAAAGCTCACCTGGACCAAGAGCCTTCTCCAACTCGCGTCGGGAGGAATGGGGCTTCGGATACTCTGCACAGTGCATCAGGACATGATTGATTGCCCGCGTATCGGTGGGAAACACAATCGGGCTCTGTAGCATCAAACAGAGCAGGTGAGGTCAGTACTATGATGCGGTGTAGGTGGTGACTGCAGAGCTACGCACATTGAGAAAGCCGCTGATACGAACGACGGGGCCATACTCCTCTGCCCACTGGTCGAGTATCCTGTCCTCCTGGGTCTCGTTGAGCTGCTTGAGGTTGCCAAAGAGCCAGCTGGCGCTCGGGGGACCCGGGAGCATCCACAGCGCAGAGTTCCGACTCCGGGCGCTGAGAATGCGATGCCGAAGTTTCCGTGCACTGGCAGCGCCGATCGCGAGAAGAACTGCGAGGAAGGCTGCGAGGAGAGTCTGAAAGGCCGCAGACATGGCTCGCGAAAGTCAGAGCGTCCTCCGGGAACGCAACACGGAGGGCGCGCGCAAGCTGGTGGTGGTTGGAGGAGAAGAGGCGGGTGATTGAGCCAGTGTTGCAGAACCAGCCGCGAAGAGGTGTGATGAGGTACGGGAGCCGAATGCTCCTTGCAGAGCTAGCACGCGCCGTCTCCGCCAGCGTATGGGTCAGTGCAGCACCCATGCTCTCCGGTTCGCTCGGCCCAGCCCCTCGCCGGGTTTTCCCAGCTGCGTAGATGATTGGGGAATGACAGCTTCCTGACGCTCATGATGCGCGCCAGCAAGAGCAATGTCTTCCTCTCACCCGTGCCTGAACCTGAACACAGTTGCCGTTCTGGGCGTAGTCCTCCTCCTGCTCTCGGCACCGCATTTTAGTGGCACTGCTCTGGCGCGACCACCATCATCCTAGTACGCACACAAACACTCTCTCCCTCAGCTCGTTTCTATCGTCAACGCTGCGCGTCTGCAAACACGCGTGCAGCCCAGTGGGCGCCACGTAAGCGCGTAAGCTGTGGCACGACTTGCACACGGCGCGATGTTCGACATGCCACAAGTAACAACGAGTTGATCAAATTATGGGGACCGCCGCTGCATCTGAGGCGAGCGTAGCTGCGCCACTGACACTTTTGGTACGTGAAACACTTTTGCGTGCCACAATAGCCTTCAGATGCGACAGAATCGGACAAAACACGACACGGTTGGCCAAGTCTGCCGCCTTCGGCTACTTTCAAGTTGAGGTGCAAGCTCTATGCACTGCATCCGTCGCTGCTTGCAGATCGCGGATTCGTTCGAGGTGCGTCATTGTTCACACCATCAGGACTGGAGATAACCAAAGTAGCCTGTGAGGTGAAAAACCGAAGTAGTAGCGACGATCATGGAACCTTCTCCCCTTCTCGTCCATTGCATCCCATCAGTCGATCCTCATGGGAGCGTTGAGTACAAGTTGCTCCAAGTCTCGTATTTCTCCTTTTACCGTTGTAGCATATACTGACTCAAACCTATCTTTATCATAGCGTTTGGTCAGCTGCGTCCATTCTCGACATGCTTGAGACTGTGAGCACCCTTTGCGATGAAGGATTGGGTTCCATTTGTCCAGTATGAGGCCTATCGGTTGCGGGGAGAAGGTTAGACAACCCTGTCAACCCACATTGCGTCACTGGTACTGCGGAGAAGAAGAGATACGGGATTTGCGGTCCCTGTGGCTCGGAACTTCGGTGCCGTCATGACTGTATGCCAGCCTGGTGTTACTCGGTATTCCAGGAGTGTCTGTACGTCTTCATATCCAAACTGCATCTAGTTCATGATCGCATTTTTGGAACATGAACAGCGGTATTCTGAAGTCTATAGGGTGAGTGCTATCACGTCGTTCAATGTCTCTGTGAACGCATAGGACATTGCTAATGAATCAATTTGGCACACAGCGTTGGAGTCTCTACAATTCTGGTGTACATCACACGAGCGCAATACAGTCTAGTAGATGAAAGGAACAAGAGCATAAGGTACCGTCTCCCGATACATCTCCCACTTCACCCCAAACCGCTCGCGCAACTGTTCGTCCTCCACACGACACCGCCGACTCAGTGACACCACCGCGAACGGCGCCGCCCATCTCCAAAGGTGCACGAAGAAGACCATCGGCGTCGCGGCAACGCCGCAGTACGTCACGTACCCTCCATCTCCGAAGTGGATAAGGTGCGTCCCGAGGAGTAACAGGGCGACTCCGGTGTAGGAGGGGTGGCGGACGAACTTGTACGGGCCGGTGTTCACGAGGTGATGGTCGTCTTTGACGAACACCTCGTATGTGAAGAGCGATCCGAGCGCGCGGTATGACAGGATGCGGAGGGCTGTCCCGGCCACGACGAGAGAGACGCCTACGAGGAAGCGGGTAGAGAAGGGGGAGAGGGGGTCGAGTGAGGTAGGACTGGATGGGCAAAGCCAGGGCATGAGTGGCCCGAGCTGCGGCGCCGCGTGTGCGCGATAGAGGAGCAGCATCGAGTGGCAGAGCGCCGGCAAGGGGACAACCATCTAGAGATATTGGTAAGCCTTATAGCTCTGCTTGGACTCGACTGCGTCAAGTACTCACGCAAGCCAGAGAGGCAAGGTAGCGGACGATAAACTCGAAGGGCTGCCCTCTGTAGACGGAGCCTTTGCCGTCGCGTCCGTCCTGAGCTCGCTTGGGAGGGAGGAGCCCAGACACGAGCATCATTCCCGAACCTGCCAGTAAAACGGCCTTGAAAACGTCCATCTTGGTGCGTACTTTGCCTGTGTTTCATGGTATCAATAATATTTACGGGAGCTCTTGTGTAGTACGACGTACCTGTGATACTCTAGAGGGTCTACTGCAGGTGAAGGTATTGGTAAGGAGAGTGGTTGTTTGGATGCTCGCTCATATACATCAGCGCCAGAATCCCATATCGAAGTTCTGGGGTGCATCTTGGTCAACCATACGGCGATAATGCCTCCGAGTAATTCGGCGTGCCCCCCTGAAGTTGCGCGCCCGCGTCTCAGCGCGACAAGCGACAAGCAACACGCATCGGAGAGGGCCAACTGTCCGCGGCCTCGCACGCCCTGACGAACGTGCGAACCAACACAGCGATATCTAGATGATTGAGACATTGGGTCGCCGGCGGACGCGATATCTGTCTAGCTATACAAGACATGCCGCGCCCGCATTTGGCTCGGGAAGATGGATGTCCTCGATGAGTCGCCGGCGGCCTTGGAAGCGCATGCATGAATGGTGAGTAGGGACCGACAGTCTGTCTTCTCCAGCAATGTAGAATCCTCTGATAATTTGAGCGAAGACAGAACTCCGCTGCGGCCAAGGCGGATCATGGTGCATAACACGAGACGTACGGCTCCAACTTCTCGAGGCACGCCGGAAGCAAACCAGGACACCGAACTTCGAGCTTTCAGCATTATCTCACTAGTCTGTCGCACGTCCGAGATCAGTGTATTGTGTGCTATATTGGCCCTGGGATTAGTGAGTGGAGTTGGAGCTGTGTTATCAGTTACCACTATCCGAGCTGGAGCTTACACGAATGGTTTTGCCACTTCTTAGTACTCTCTAGCCTCCCCGGTGCCGCCCAAGAACATGAACCAGTGCTGCCAGGAGCACGCCAATGAGCGTTCAGTCAAGGAGGTGTTGATCGTACAGCGGAAGATAATAACGATCAGACAGCGAAGCCTCAGCGGAGGTGAACCCAGACCATGTATACTCTCAGTAAGTGACCGCGGTTTCTGTATCGGGCGCTTCCTTGCTTTCGCCGTGATCGTCGAGACGCTGGTCGCCGCTTCTTGACAGCGGGGGCAACCATACAAGACTCCTGGTTTCCCCAGAGCTTCCGTCTCCGTGATGATCGTCGCCGAATGTGTCTGATACAGAGACCTGTGCCTATCATGCGCTCGAGGCAGGCTTCTTCGGGTGAGGGCCTGGCTCTGTTCATCGCGGCGGCGCTGCGGACGGAGACAACCCATTATGGGGCGCGTTGGAGCTGGAAAACTTCAATTCTCCTTGATGAACATACTTCGGCAGCGGCTCTTTGCTATGCGCCGGATACTAAAGCTCCGGGGTACACATAGCTCCCTCATTGAGTGGCAGCGACCTGTCAACTAGCAAGCAACTCACCCGCACTCGCGTACTGGGACTGTCGTGTTTACTCGTTTCATCCCGCGAGTCTCCTAGAAGACCGCGTCATGGATAACCAAGAGCTACTATCTGTAGCTGCCTTAGCAGGAGCAGTGAGTAGCCTCATTCACGATGCATATCTATCTTGTGACTTATTGTGCGCACTTAGGCAACTTGTTTTACTTTCAGAGGCCAAGATATTCGCGGGGATTATGCCGCTCTGGCTTTCATAGCTACTTCTCTCAGCCTGTATAGCGTGCTTTGCGCTACACTGGCTTCGCCTCTCCTCGCGACGCTCGCGGTCTGCTTGGCCTACGGCCTCACGGTCTGGCTGATTACGGTGGCCTACCGCCTTTCTCCCTGGCACCCTCTGGCGGCGTATCCGGGTCCTTACATCGCAAAGATCACCGGCCTATGGCTGTCATACATCTCGTTCACCGGGAAGCGCTATCAGATACTGGACGACCTCCATACTCAGCACGGCCCTTTCTTACGTGTTGGTCAGTTCCCCACCCTATATCTCTCTCGATGCGCTTGCTAATTCCTCATACAGGGCCCGGATGTCTCTCTATCAACTCCCCCACTGCGACGTCTCTGTACCTCAGCACCGAGAAGAGCGAGGCCTATCGCCTTCCGAAGCACAACGGCGCGGTGGCCTTATTCTTTAAGCAGGATACGAGTGCCATACATCGCGACCGCAGGCGCGTCTGGTCCGAGTTCTTCACTCGCTCTAGGTACCTCGCCCACAGTTTACATGCAAGCGTCTTCATTGTTGACGCCATTTGGCTTCTATAGTATCGCTGGGCTTATACCCCAGCTGGAACGCCGAACGTGGGAGCTCGTTCAATGCTTTGAACGCCGGCAAGAAGCTAGCCAAGATAAGACCGTCAACTTCCCGGAAACCATGTATCACTGGTCCCACGACTTCATGGTAAGTGTCTCTGCGAAGCTGTCTAAATCCGCAACTCAGTTGACACAATATTGGCGCAGGGTGACATGGTGTTCGGCGGATGTAGCACCTTCGTGAGTGGTCACAACAATGATTCGACTTCAGTTGCTGACATTCGTGGCAGGAGTTGATGAGGAACGGCGATCCGCAAGGGATCATACATACCGGAAAGATGGCAACTGCTATGATGGACAGGTATGCACGTGCGCTAGTCTTCTGTAATGGATGCTGAGGGCGATCACATAGCCTGGGTCAAACGCCTTGGCTGCTCGACATACTGTGGCATATGCCATTCACGAAGAAGATGCACCTGTTGGACGACCACGCCGCGCGTATGATGAAGACCAGGGTGAAGAGCAAGGATCTTCCCGAGTACCGCGACCTCGCATCCTATTGGGTGAGTATTCATCCTTGTCCGACTTTGTGTATACAGTTTTTGATCAGCATACAGATTGCTGCGGGGATACCGCAACACGAACTCGAGACCGACGCCGTCGTCGCTATCGTAGGAGGTAAGAACGCCGTGTACCCTGTTTTCCGAACGCGTCCTTACCCAGATGCTCTGCAGGATCGGACAACACATCTATCACTGTCTCCATCGCCATCTACTTCCTTCTCTCCCACAGGGAATACTACGACCGCCTCTACGCCGAGCTCAAACAGACGTTCCCCGACCCGATGGCGTCCGTCAACCTCGACGAGCTCACCACGCTCCCGTTCCTGAACGCGGTCATCCACGAGACGCTGCGTCTGGCATCGCCCTACTTCAACCCGCGCGTCGTTCCAAAGGGAGGCCTGTTCGTTGACGGGCAGTTCATCCCCGAGAAGACGGTGGTTGCGCTCGCGGCGCATTCACAGCAAATCAGCGAAGCGAACTTCTACCCTGCCCCTAAGGTCTGTTTGCACGTTGTCGGTTCCAAATTGGAGTTTGCTGATTACTGCATGCAAACACAGCACTTCCATCCAGAACGATGGCTGCCGGAAGGGTTGGGTCCCGACACGGTCACCAACAAGGCTGTACTTGCATCCTTCTCTTACGGTACGTCTTTGTGCACGCTATCGCAAGGAAGACTAACCTAATGAGTCCGGTAGGTCCTCACCACTGCATCGGCAGGGTGCTCGCGTACCACCAGATGCGGTTCGCACTCGCCCGTATCCTTCTCGCCTTCGACATCGAGTTCGCGCCTGGCTTTGACGTCGCCGGATTTTACGACGGGATTCTCAACATGCGCACGATGTTCCTGGAGCAGGACCTGCGTGTGAGGGTTCACCGGAGGGAAGGGGTCGACCTTGCGAAGGTGCCTGTTTGAGGCCGAGACCGCCTGTTTTTGTATCTTGCTCATCTATAGAAGTGCCCTCTGTCCGCAAGGGCGGATGTGTGGTCAAAGAAACAAAACGTCCGAATGTACGAATCATCACGATGCGATACTAGTACAGGAAGGGCAACATAGCGTAAGGGGTCTCCTGCCGGTACTTCTCCCACTCCTTCCCAAACCGCTCGCGCAGCTGTGCATCCTCCACCGGACATCGCCGGAACACCGACAGCAGCGAGAAGGGCGCCGAGATCTTCCAGAACCACACCCCGCAGACCATCGGCGTCGCGGCGAGGCCGCAGTACGTCGCGTATCCCCCGTCTGCGAAGTGGACGAGGTGCGTGCCGAGGAGGAGCAGCACCACGCCCGTGTAGGAGGGGTGGCGGACGTATCGGTATGGGCCGGAGGTGACGAGGCGGTGGTCGTCCTTGATGAACACCTCGTAGGTGAAGAGCGACCCGAGCGCGCGGTACGTCGAGATGCGCATGCCTCCCCCAGCGGCGACGAGGATGACCCCGGCGATGAACCGCGGGGAGAACGTGGCGAGGGGATCCAGGGAGGGCGGTTTGGAGGGACAGAGCCAGGGGATGAACGGAGCAAACGGCTCGGCTGGCAGCACCTCCGCGCGATAGAGGAGCAGCGCAGCATGGGTGAGCGCGGACGCGGAAACAAGAACCTGGGAGCGGCGGCTGGGTGAGCCCTGCGAGTGATAGGGGACGGAGTTGGGCACTCACGCAGGCGATGTAGGCCAGTGAGCGCACCAGGTACTCGAAGGGCTGTCCTTTGTACACGGCGGCCTTTCCGCCACGGCTTTCTGCTGCCCGCTTTGGAGGCGCAATGCCAGTGACGAACAGTCTTGCCGTTCCTGCGAGCACAAGAGCTTTCACGATATCCATCGCGGTAGTGTCTTGTGTCTTCTGCCAAGAGGATCTGCGTATATGTTTAGTGGAGTGAATCATCATGTGCACATGGACCACGTACCGATGATAACTCCGAGCTATATCGGAGGGGTTGCGGGTCGATGGGAGGGCGTGTTCACAGTCTTCGCTCCTATAAAGAGTGCGAGCAAAGAATCACTGCGGCGCAACCGGTCAGGTGTGTAATCATGTTAACCGAATGGTTCTAGAATGTCAGTTTAGCTGGAGGCCTGAAGCATGGGGTGGCGCGCCATTGCACCCTCATTCAAGACACGGGGTAAAATCCCCGCTCCGGTGGCAAGGGGGTCAGCAAAAGACCTGCAGGAATGAGGAGATCACGTTGCACAAACGATAATGCTTGTCATCCGCTAAGTCGAACGGATGGGAAGAGGCCGAGCGAGATGCTAACATTGCCATTAGTGCTGTCCCACGAGCGTGCGAGTGTTCATAAAAGTGTTGTTTAAGAAACTTCCTTGTCCTCGTAAACGTGAGATTAGACTCCAATATGTCAGACCGGTAGGTAGATGGCTTGGTGCGTGTCGGCGCTGGCGGTCGAGTAATGGACGAGGTTCTGATTGTAGCCAGTCAGACACAAAAACGAGCGTGGCTGAAACTCGAATATCAGAAGTCGCCATGTGTGCAGTAGGTCCATAACCCCATTCAACCACTTCCGAGGAGAAAAGTGAGTCCGAAGATGGTCTGGGCGCGAGAGACGACAGATTGCAGCGTGTGAGCAGAGGTATTAGGGCGTACCTAGCCGAAGTAGGCACCTCAGTAGCGCGCGGCGTATTTCAACCACTGACATCGCCAGACTTAGTGAGCCTGAGACTCGGGAGCCATCTGAGACCCGGGCGGCGTTGCGGTCGCTGCGAAGGAGAAGGGCGAGAAGAACGTTATAGCTCTGTGGACTCCTGTTCAATGAGTGTATAATCCACAGTGATCAGCAGGAAAGAGTGCGACATGGTATACTATTCCTACTTCGCTGGCAAATAATGCATCATGATGAGGAACTACTGAGGAACTACAAGTTCGAACTGTTGCAGAGAGAAAGAGCGTCTGAGTAGCGGGGCTAATAGACAGGAGGAGTTGGATAAGCCTCACCGTGAACGACGTCAAGCCAAGCTGTTCCCTTTCTGAGTTCATCATCAATCCTCTTCCTATCGGATTGGGTGAATATGCTGCACATTCGGTGACGGTGGGTCCGAAGTGAGTACTTCATAGTACTTTGGAGCCCTCCGAGTCCATCCGGCGCCCAGAACATCTCTCATTTTCCCGATCGAAGCACAACAATGCCAAATATGCCTTGGCGGCAGCCGCCACAACGCCCAGCGCTTATCCCCGTAAGCAACATTCATCGACGACGACTGCGGCAAGTCTGCGCCAGCGATGTTCGCATGGGCGTGGTGCCAGGGTACGCAAATAGTTGGTACTTACATGGCTTTTGACTTCGCAAGTAAGCACAATAACTCACGATGCTTGTAGGGCTATACTGACGTAGTACTGGATCGGAGCAACAGCGCTTCAACAAGTTCTCAGTTCACGCTCATGCTGCCAGGCGCACCATGCAATTGAAGTCCAAGTTCTGATCATGGATAGTCAGCACAAGCACACACTGTACTACGATTAACAATGCTGAGCTGATAATCCGATGGCGTCCTCTTAATAATATCAACCCCGCGAGGTACGGTAAAGCATGACATGTAAGTTGCATGGCTTGAAGTATGGATGCCGCTCACCCATTTTTCCTAGCTACTCTTCCTGAACGGTAAACACTCGGAGGGTCACTAGTTCGCACTGTGCACGTCAGAAGAATCGGCTTTACCAGCGGCCTCACGTAAATGCCGGTTTGTGTGGCTCCCACGTGCGATGTCACTCCCCGCGTGTACCGCATCAGGAGGACCACGGACTAGTGAAAACTAGTGAGCGGCGGAAGCGTGGTCGCATATATACATGCCCAGTCAGTTGATCCGCCACAATCCATTCGGGGTCGCTGGTTCACACACTCGTAGTCTTGGTATAGCCAACCGGAACTGATAAGATAACTTCCTTGCGTCAAGATCGACCAGACTGCTCTGCCGTCCCGCGCTCGTCGCTTATTATGAGGGACCCGGACCCATCTCCACATGGCAATGTAGGCAGAGTTCTTCCGAGAAAGCCTAAACGCCTGATGACTGGACTGTGAGTGGAGCTCCGTGCTTAGTGCATTGACCCGGATGTGTTCTGAACCCCGTTCCCTACACCAGTGTGAGGGCCTCATACCGTTTGAGTACCGGGGGCCGAAGCCGCTCAGGGTCTGCACAATATCGAATGGGACGCCGGCTAGTCAGTAACGGAACATTCCCCGACGTCGGTATATGGACCAAGCGACGTCGGGTGGCCCATCAGAGCCCGTTCGGACACGATGGCGGGACGGCCTATGGGCTTCCAAGTGGCTTCCAGTGCCTCCCGGACATCCACAGACCGGTTGCGACGCGCGCCACTAGCGGGAGAATCCCTCACGGCTCCGTCGATCAACGCCATGTGGACACCGATGTAGCCGTTGCCGCGCGTGGCACTCCCGCCCGACGAGAGCGGCAATGCCGCGGCATCGGTCGTCGACTCTCATGTCCTTGGAGGATATGCATTATGCTGTCCTCGCACTCGTTTGCCACTACGCTCACTTTTGGACTCGCCTTCGTTCGCGTTTGAAGCGGCCACCGAGTCTCAGCAAGAGAGTGAAGACGTTGTGGGCGGGTGGCTGTGTATAACTCCCGGCGGTGCAACTGGTTATGGAAGCAGACTGGCGATCGATCGATCGGCGTCCATCCGGAAGGGCGGGGACTACGGCGCGGCATAACCTCTCCCGCCCTTCCTCCCTCGATGCTTGCTCCGATAGCGAGCTCATCGCATTTCGTGCTGCAGTTCTGGACTTTGTGCGCTGCATGAATCGGACACGGAGGCCAAATTTTCATGGCTCGGACGTTCACGAGCCACGGTCTTCTGATGCGGAATACCGTGCCTTCCCGCAGCCACCCACCACACCCACCGAATCTGAGATGTTTGCATGCCACCTGATTCTGCGTCCTGACAGCCGATGGTCCCCTACTACATAAGGTACAGCGCCCTGGGACCTCTTTACCCGCGTAAGCATTTACTATTTTAATGTCGCCTGTCACTGGATCTATGGAGGCGATCGTCAGGACACCCCGATCCTCGCACCCGCTCACATATACACGAGCGTAACGGAGCCGACGTGCCCACGCCGTCTCGCTCGCCGTCGTTATCCCTTGCCGGGGTGAGATTCGCCGCTGCTCCAGTCGACCCACTCTCTCCTTTGCACCGGCGGCATTCGTCTCCAGGCATATCCTTATTTCGCTCTTTTAAGGTATGCGCCTGCAGTCCATACTCACTCGCGGCACCAGGCAGTGTGGCTTGCAGCTTATTCACCCTTGCGTTCGGCGCTCCGCAGTATCCTACCCTACACTCCCACTAGGCAATCATGGCGGCAGCTCTACTGGCAGGCATTAGCTTGGGGGACACACTGGGGGTGACCTTCCTTGGCGTGTGTGTATCATCAATGTGCGTCTTCTACCTTCCCAAACGCATCGGCTCTGCTCACGCATACCGCTGCGCCAGGTTGTATGGCGTGACGTGCCTTCAAACGTTCCACTACTACCGTTCGGCGAAGGCCAAGAGTGATAGCTGGTCGGTGTGGTTCATGGTACGCTCCTCCCTTTTCGCATATCCCATGGTCGTTCATAATTGCACTCCGTTATAGGTGGCTGCGCTACTGTCGGTACCTGTCCCACATCCGCACTTTCCCCAATGCTGACCGCTTTCGCAGTGTATTTGACAGCGGCCACCAGGCGATTGTTATTCACGCCGTGTATAATTACTTGATCCTTGACTTCGCAAACCCGATAAAAGTGATCCAGATGGTTTGGTATGTGGTTCGCTCTCGTACCGAATGTTACGGTTGTTAATTTTTGGCTGGGTTTAGGAGCATTCCGGTAAGCTTCGTTCAGTGATCAGGCCCGTGTTTGCAAGTATGCTCATGCAACTATGGCGGCTGCCCCTCGTAGACGGAGGTCGTGTTCAACGTGAGTGTTCTTTTCCCTATATGTTTTTCTATTGCACTGATAGTCTGCGCGCAGGCTATACTCGCCATCATCCTGAACGGGTACGTCTAGTGAGTTCATGCGAGCAACGATGAAGCTAATGCTGTTTGCCCTAGGTTCTTGACCGTGCGCCTCTTCAAAGGTGAGCATCAGCAAGATCACAGCTCCGCTCAACGCCACACAACTGACTGGATGTCTCAGTCAGCAAGTCGTTCGCACTCACGGTCATCGCGGTAAGCGAGCAGTGTATTTTCCTATGCCTCTGTAACAAGACTAAAACACTCTGAAGACTTTGCTTTCCCTCGCGAACTTTGGTGCGTGCATCTATCATCAGAGACCTCTAGTTCGCAAAGACTGATCCGAATTCTTAGGAACGAACCTGGGTTCGTCTTCCACACTCTTTGACCTCGTCCAATCACCGTTACTGACCTGTCTCGTCTTTCTGGCACGTTAGCGTATGCCATTCGAGGGTGAGCCTCCGCACGTTTTGCACATCGCTTGAACCCCGATTGACCTTTCCCCTAGCTACTCCTTCGACAACATATTCGCGGCAGAGATCGAACTACGCGTATGTTTTCCGCCACCTTCCCTTCTGCAGACGTCTTACAAGTAACTACAGACCCAAGGCATCGCGGGCTTGTCCATCTCCGTCGCTACCGAGTGCATGATCTCGTTCTCGCTCGCGTACTACCTCCATACCCGTCGCACAGGCCTGCGCCAGTGCGTCTCGCGTCCTTCAGCGCATCCGGAAGCCTTTGTACTGATGGTCCACGCTTATCCGCTCAGGTCGAACGATATCATCACGAAGCTCATCGGGCTTTCGGTCACCACGGGTCTGCTCATCGCGTGAGTGTCGATATGCATGATTGAGTCTTCCATTCTGCTTACACGCATTCCCTCCCCGTGTATTTGCGTAGTGCATTCAACGTCGCCGACCTCATTGCAGTGAGTCTTCATCAAGCCCATCTATGCTTGGACGCAGGGACTGACCCGGCGCCACACAGTATGTGACCGCGGACAAGAACCTCTACGTTCTCTTCTTTAACTTCATGCTCGGAAAACGTACGTTGCCGCCTTCTAGGGCATACTCGCATCTCTGACGTGCACCCCCTCAGTATACGCCAACTCGCTCCTCACCTCGTACGCTACCCATCTCTCCCCCCTCGCGCGCCGAATCAGCGCTGATCATCCCTCCCTCCGCAGATTGAACAGCCGCGGGTATATCCTCGGGGTTCTCGGGGACAGCCAGCCGTCGCGCTCGAACCAGGAGAACATCAAGCTCTCGCAGACGGGTGCGCGGTTCGGCCAGAGCAGCCGCTCGGGCGGCAGCGACCCGCGCATCGGCATCTCTGCGAACGGGATCGGGTCGCAGCAGGTGCGCATCGCGATGAACCGCTTCGTTGTCACGGTGAGTCCTGTCTTCCCTGCGTGCGCTCGTTGCGACGGGCGCGGACCTTGTGGTTGGAGCGGCACTGATCGTTGCACTCGCAGGATTCGGAGGTGGATGAGGCGCGGAAGTTCGAGAGGTACGCGCTGTTTGTTTGTTGCGGCCTCTATTCAGCGTCACTGACGGCGTTCTCAGCGTTTGATACCTGGAGGTGTTTGTTTTTCTCGCTTCTTGTCAATTTGTATCGTTTATTTGTTCAGTGTATCCGACCAATGTCTACGTTTGGAGTGTTTTAAGAATGTTTGCAGTGAACGACGCCACTATTTCCTTGTATTTTGTGTTAGGATATGCAGGAAGAACGACGAAAATACGTATCTTGTAGCCAGCCGCCCGTTGTTATATCATAGTCCGGATTGTTTCGACGATTTCCTTGCTCGCTGCTCATACCTCGGATTCCTGAGTCACGGTATAATGTATTCTGTAAGTGCGATAGTTGACATGTTATACAACACGGGGCAAGCGTAGTAAGTATCATTAACTTGATACTGCAAGAAAAACACTTTTCGACATCGCGGGTATGTATATGGGCGCCTTTACTGGGTCTCGAGCGTAGCAAAAACCTTGTCCAGATCGACGCCCGCGCGGCGCGTGACCTTCATGAACATATCCTTCTCGAGCAGAGTCGTACGCATGTTCAAAATTCCGTCGCGGAATTCTTGCACGTTGAAACCAGGCTTGAACTCCATGTCGAACGCGAGCACGACGCGCGAGAGGCAGTACCGCAGCTCCTGCCACGCCAGGATCTTGCCGATGCACGAGTGGGGCCCTGTGATCCACATACCCTGTCAGCTCATGCGATGCGCGTAGAGAGAGCCTCGCGCTTACCAAAGGAGAAAGACGCGAGCACGGCCTTGTTCGTCTTCGTGTCCGGGCCCAGGCCCTGGGGCTGCCACCGCTCCGGGCGGAAGTTCTACATGCCAGCGCGGGTCAGCCTATGTATGTATAGCTCCGACACAGGGACACAGTGTGCATGCGTACCATCGGCTCCGGGTAGAAGTTATCGGGGCTAGTCTGCTGGGAGTACGCCGCGAGCGCCACGATCGTGCCCTCGGGGATGTAGCGCCCGTCGATCTTGGCGCCGCCGGGGCCTGCGACGCGCGGGAGGAAGTAGGGCGAGCCGAGGCGGAGGACCTCGTGGATGGCGCCGTTCAGGAACGGGAGCGTCGCGAGCGTGGCGGGCGCGAGGTGGCCGAGCGGCTCGGGGAAGGCGGCGTCGAGCTCTGCGCGGAGCTTGACGTAGTAGTGCGGCTCGGCGACGAGGAAGTAGCAGCAGAGCGCCATTGCAATCGAGGTGTTGTCTGAGCCTGTGGAGAAGGGAGTGGGCGTTTAACTGTATGTAGAAGTAGGTACAAGCACGAGCTTACCTCCGAGGATACCGATAACCGCGTCGCGCTCCATGTCGGGCAGGCTCACGCCGCCTTCCATCTGCGAAGCGTTGAGTTGAACGGCCCGGTATTCAAAGTGGAAGCCACATACCAGGTAAGAGATCAGATCCCGGAAGCCAGGAAGTTCCTTTGCCTGCACCCTTGTGCGCGTCATCTGTGATGCGAGCCTGACCAGCTGATGCATGTCCTTCGTGGCCGGAATTTGCCAGAGGATGTCCATGAGCCAGGGAGATTGACCGAGGCTGTGAAAATGTATGTATGTGAGCGCGAGAAGCATGTACCGCCACGCAGACATTCTCACCTGTCCTGCATCACGGTCGCCAGCTTCCCGGTGTAGATGAGCTCTTTAGCGTCACCGTTCTTCATGAGTTCCTGCGTGCGCCACCATTAGATGTCGTCGTTTGATGATAGTATTCAAGGTGCTCACAATCTTATTGCAGCCACTGAACACCATGTCGCCCTAACGACGTCGAAATGATGAGGTTTGACATATCTGGAAGGGCGCAAGTTTGTGTACACACCATGAAGTCGTGCGACCAGTGGTAGAATGCCTCTGGCAGGTTAACATATCCGCCGTTCGCCTTTTGCCGGCGCTCAATGCATCGCATTACCTCCCAAGTCCGTTTCTCGAGCGCAGGAGTCAGCTGTGCCAAGCTACAAACGGGCTGATTAGTCTCGTTTCAGTGGCACAAAGAGCGTACATACCCATTAGGCGTAAACATCCCGCCCCAGAGCTTCTTGCGTTCCCTGTGGACCTCCTTAGACTCCTGCTTGAAGAATATACCCACAACATCGTCGTGAGCTGGGAATCGATAGGCCTCACTCTTCTCCATATTCAAGTATACGGATGTAGCCGCAGGGGTGTTGAGAGAGAGGGTGTTCGGCCCTACAATTACCTCTTTAGTGCATATTCTTGAGAGGGGGAAGCTTTGTGTAGGACACACCAATGCGAAGGAACGGGCCATACTTGGCATGTAGCTTATCGAGGATAAGGTGCCGCCGCCCCATGAATGAGATGTACGTGAGGTAGACGCTGCTGATCCTCCACAGCATAGGTCCGGGGTAGCTTGCCAAAGGGTGCCATGGGGAGAGGCGGTAGCCGACCGTGACCGACGCAAGTGTGGTAAAGTATGTGAACGCTAGGGAGGCGGCCGCAATGGATGGACTCGCAGACGTGAGAGGGAATGCGCGCAGCAGAGCGTAGAGAGAGAGGCATGAGGCGGCATAGAAGAGGAAGGCATAATCTCCGCGCACGGTGCGCCGGTTGAGATACACCCAAGACGCCTGCGTACGTGTCAGCACCGCAGAATGCATGGAAGAAGCTTAGCACTCACAACACCAGCGGCTGCCGCAAATCCGAGATATTCGTTGGGCACAGGGAGGGGACTCATGTTGGTGGACCAAGACAGACGCGCAGGCTCGAGCTCGGTCGGAGAGCGGGAGTGCACTGTGCGGAGCAGGAGCAAAACAGGATGCCGCTCATTCTCCCCTCCGGTTTATATGGCCGCCCATGGTAGCTCTTCTACTCGGGCCAGCCACTAGGAAACGCAGGGAGGAATCGAGATACTGGCAGATGGAGCTTGGGGGCCGCCGGTGGTTGGTTCCGGTTCCAGTCGGTTAAGGAGACACACATGCCGGATCTAGGTGGCTCAGTATCAAATCTTCAGACCACTATGATGCAGATATTCCAACGAATACTGACGCTGCGGCATAGCTCCCGTCTCCCCATGTCGTGGTACAGGTGGTACAACTGGCAGGATGGCAGATTCCGGAAACGGCGTCTGCGATACTCGCCGGGCCCCCCTGACACCCTTGCTGTAGATCATCCCCTCGATTTTCGTGCGTTCTTTGCCCTTAACTATCGCGAACCGCTTCGTGCTCCTCCCCGACACCTTCTGTCGACCCGCGCGAACCACGGGCATGTACGCACGCCGCGTAAAGGTAGCAGTCGTCCTAAGATACATTCGTGCACGTCAATTGACCCGCTCTAGAACACGCGGCGCCGAGCTTCCACCCGCAGCGTTGCAACCACGCAAGTCGGCCACACTCCGCACAAATTGACAGCGAATGGGAAACCTGTCCTCCCCCCTAAGTTCTCCATCGTCGGCAAGATAGTGTCCCCCTCGAGAAGGGCGCCCCCAGGCCGCAGGCCTCATGGTCGCATCGTCCGATGACCCCGGAGAATGCACGCCCGCCCGCCTGCGTGTCCGCGCTTGCGCACACATTCGGACAGCGAACATCAGCTTCGAAGCTCGTTTGTCTGCGCCCGCGGCGTACCGGTGCAAGTGCGCGTTTGGGAGCCGCGCCAGGCGTGTTCCTGACGCGCGGACCGGGATGCGCCCGTTGCTTCTCCCGAGTGATTCGCAGATATGTTTTGTAGGTGCAAGCGCGGGAAGGGAGGTCACATTTGCGCAGACGGCTGATGTGGGCCACTATTTCACAGGTAGGGGGACGGGAAGGATGGTGTTCATAAACGCACGGAACGCTGAAGGTGGACGCAGTCGTCGTGCCAATTGACGTCCTCCAAGATTGGCGACGGTGAGGCCCATCTCGTCCTCCCCTGCGTAGAGTCGGCTACTAATTCTCTGCCCGTGACAGCTTCAGCTCGGTGCTCATTGTTCGCGTGGTCACCACGAGGGCTAGAAGGGGCTCACGAAGCTCATTCACCAGTCATCTTTCGCTGTAAACCATCGCTCAACACATCCATCCAATGGAGATCCTCAAAGCCGCCATATTGCTGGTCTCCGGAACACTCTTCTCGTTTGCCATTACGCCACCAACGCCCCCTGCCTCGCAGGCCAAGGGCATCTACAAAGGGCAGCCGTTCGAATACATTGTGCGCTATCTCGCCTGGCTCGGATGCGTATGTGTCCCACTCACTCCAACTTCCTTATCAAACCACACGCTAATGTCCTTTGCCTACAGATTTTAGTAGCTGCGTCGTCTGCGGCGCACGCTACCCTTCTCCTCCTCGACCCCCCATCCCCCTCCACCGCCCCACTTGTGCCATACCTCTGTCCCTCCGCCCCCACCTCACTCGCCCCACTCACCCACTACCCGCCGCGCTTCCTCCTCGGGCTCGCCCTCCTCCTCTCCGGGGGCCTCTTCCGGCTCTGGTCCTACCACGCGCTCGGCGACCTCTTCACCTTCGAGGTCGCCGTCACCGAGACGCACCGCCTCGTCACGCACGGGCCGTACGCATACCTGCGCCACCCGTCCTACACCGGGCTGACGCTGCTCCTCCTTGGGGCGCAGCTGATGCAGTTCGGGGACGGGGGCTACGTGACGGAGTGCGGGATCGCGCGCACGCCGCTGGGCGTGTTCGTGGGCGTGTGGCGCTGGGGCTCGCTGTTCGGGCTGCTGTCGCTGTACAGACGGTGCAATGTGGAGGACGCGCGGTTGAGGGAGCGCTTTGGCGCCGCGTGGGACGAGTGGGCGGCGGGGGTGAGGTACAGACTGCTCCCGGGCGTGTTCTGAGCAGCGAGAAGCGTCGTTCGGCGTCCGGGAAGATGGTGCCGAAGTTTAGAAGGACGGCGATATCTATTACTTAGGGGTCTCTGGTTTGGGGTGTACAACAAGCTACTGCTGCAGGGGAATACACGTAGATGGCATGGGTATTGCTCGAGGCGCGAATAAAAAGCTACACAGATCCTAAGATGGAGCAGGGCATGGCCTCCTCATGGCCCGCTCGCCCGAAGAGGTTGCTCGGTGTCTTGAGAGGGCTGGGCGGCGGCGGCGGCCATAGCGGCGCTCGTTCGAATGCGTTTCGTCGCGAACGCGGAAGATCTCCCCGGCATCCGGCATCGAGTTCGACGACGTTCTATTCCGGAGCGATTCAGGTCGGCGCAGGGCCCCACCAAGACGCCGCGGCGCGCGCGCAAAAGAATCCACGTTTGCCGCACGCCGACGGACCTAACGAGGGTAGGCACACTTCGGTGAGCTTCGCCAGGCCCCTCGATGCGGAGCGGGGGCCGTTCGCGGAAGAGAGAGCACACGCCCAGTAAAGCTTCGCCATCTGGCTTCCGGGGTTCCGCGGGTGTTGGACGGTGGTACAACTGGAGGGCCGGATACCGGTGTGTTTTCTCTGTAATGCAGAGCTGACGAATATGCGACAGGATATGCAAATAGTAAGTTGCAATGCAAATCCGCCTGTCCCGTGGATTCCGCATTTCCGTCCAATTTCACACTTGCCGCTGGTTGACCGGGATACTACGAACCACTCAGCAACAGTTCGACGAAAGCACACAGAAGATGATGAACCGTACCCGGTGTTTGCCTTAAATGCCGCCTTACTTTTCCATCGCGCGCCAGCGGTATCCAGTTTGTGCCCGAACATCTATCAGAGCCAGGGACTCAGAAACAATGGACACAGCCCGTCCACGGACAAATGGAAATAAGTACCCAAGAAGAGGCGATACTTCACGGAAAGCTTATCTGCGCATGCAGGGGCAACACGCCCGCGGAGGACCCTGTGGCGCCATAGAACCCGCTGCGCGTCACCGCCGAGCCCATCTACGTAGAGTTGGCACAACGTCGACATGCGATTGGCCGTGTGCGTCGTTCGAGCCTCCCTCGGAAGGCCTGGAGCATGATCCCCAGCGTACTGCTGCCGCAGCGTCCAGCGGCGATGAACCCGTGCGATGGCTCATTTTAGATGGGCGCGACCGTGTCCGATTGACGACGTCGATGAGGGCGCAGACCGGCGATGCGGTTGCCGTTTGAGGGTCGCAATTTTTTAGCGTTTGGCTAGGCCGCTGACGCTGACGGAGGTTGTGCGCGCTGTATCACGACGCTCACGCTGCCATGGTGCGCACCGCAAGGCATCACCCGCAGGTGGGGATTCCGGGGACTCGGGAGGTGCTCGATTGGACATCCGCACGCACTGAACCTTCAGAAGAGGCAGTCAGAGGGTTGTGTTCGGCAGGAGTGTGATAGAGCTGTGAAGCTTGACGTACCAACGACACGTACTTCGGCACGAGCTCAGCAGCACTTGGTGCCTGCGGTAGTGATTGTGAGCGTTCCGATGGCGAAGCTCGGTTGTGCAAGGGGTATGACGCGGCGGTGGACGAGTCTGGCAACAGCGGATCTCTTGGTAAGTACTGTGCCTCCCGTATTCAATACGAGTGCCGATCAGTCTTATGCTTCTCTAGGTAACGCTCTAGACGGACGGCGGCGCCGGCGTGGTAGAACATGTGTGAGTAATCGTAGTCGGAATCGACAACATGAGTCTGATCGTCCGAGGACAATGAATGAGTCGCGCCGGCGTGGGAAATATGAGTGTCAGGGGTCTCCATGCTAGTTTCGTAAGCGCCGAACGCGGTACAGGGCTCACCGTGTCACTCCCTTATTCAAGCTCATCCCGGCTCCGGAGAAACGGAGGTTCTGTATGACGCCTACTAGAAGCCGCAAGCCATCCAACACGACAGAACGCTATCGAGAGAGATAAGTGCACAGCTGAGGGTCCTATCGGATGAGCTCCTCCTCGATCAGCTTGAAGGACAGACGGAGAATGCAGTATGTGGCCACTGGCAGAACTCTCCAAGCTTCTTCGCCGCGCCGTAGAAGCTGATATGACAACCCTGACAGTTGTGCGACGGAGCCCGCCGGCCCATGGAATGCCGGGTTGGCTGGTCTGAGATGCCCCTCATTGTGTTGACAGCCATCTTCGTCTTTCTGAGCGGAGGAGACACTACCCGCACTGGCCGAGCCCTGGAATAAAAATGGTAGGCTGCGCACCCACGAAACGTCGTATGGTGCTCCCGATCTCTGCATTCATCATACACCCAGCTTCGGACGGCGACAGATGTGGTGACCGCCGGCGTTAGGTTGGTTCCCGCTTTGGGTGCGCCGGAGAGCGGGTCGCCCGAGAAGCTCGGGCGGTTACATCGAAGAAGACCGATTGCAAGCACTCTGGCTGTGGCGAACATGCTCCGGGCGGCAGGCGCAGCATCTCCCCGCGTGCCTTCCACTAGATGCATCACCCGTCTCCTCCGCCCGACACGCAGGGTGAGCTGTGCGCGTGAACCTTCTTGTCCCCATCCCTTTCCCTTTCACCTTCAACGTCCGCAACTCTTGTACGGGTGTAGCCCGACGGTCCACTCCCCGACTCGCGTATACGATGGCTGAAGGTATGCCTGTGGCGGCCACGTACGTACTCACAGTTTCTAAGGTCATTTTCGTAACACATTTTGACGAAACATGGATGGCAACAGCGGCCCGCCTCCCGGTTCGAACAGAGGCTTTGCCTTCTGGATGGTCTTCGTCTCAAATCTCGTCGTAGACATGCTTTCCGCCTTGGACCTCGTCAGTCCATCTCGACCTTCCTTTACGTCGCCGGAGCTCATAATGTGCTCTACCACCACAGACTGCTATATCCACCGCTCTGCCTACAATCGTCGAGGACCTGCATGGAATTGACTTCATCTGGGCGGGAAGCGCGTACACCATAGCCTCCACTGCCGTCCTCCCGCTCATCGGAAACCTTGTCTCCGCGTTCGGCCGGAAACCCGTCCTCGTCTTCTTCATCCTCACATTCGCAATCGGCTCCGCTATATCTGGTGCGGCACAGAGCATGAACATGCTCATCGCCGGCAGAGGTGCGTCGCGCCACCGCGAAGCGAATTTGACTGGCCCGTCTAAACGCTGACACCGTGCGTGCGTGTGTTTGCAGCGGTCCAGGGCCTCGGCGGCGGGGGCTGCATCGCCATAACCGAGATCATCTACGCAGACCTCGTCCCGCTCCCCGAGCGCGGGAAGTTCCAAGGCATAACCGCCTCGTGAGTCCTCCCAAACCTGTCCTTTCCGCCCAATACTAGTATGACTGATTTAAGCGCGTCCGCTGCAGCGTCTGGGCGCTTGCATGGTACGTGCCACCGCCGGCCGCGGCTGCCGCTCGATTGGCGTCCCCGATTGACTGACGGTGTATTCGTCGGCCGTGACAGCGCGATAGGCCCGCCCATTGGTGGCGCGCTAGCCGATTCGGGCGCGTGGCGGTGGCTGTTCTTCCTCAACATACCCCTTTGCGGCATCGCGATCCTGCTTACATGCATGTTCCTGCGGGTGCATACGCCCAAGGCTAGTCTCGCGGAGAAACTCGCGCAGATGGATTGGACGTGAGTTTATCGCCCTCATATCGTATCCTGCGATTCTCTGACGAGGCGTTCGGACGGTTCACAGAGGTATTATCGTGATGATTGGCAGCACGGTGTCAATCCTGCTCGCGATTACCTGGGGAGGCCTTCAGTTCCCCTGGACTTCGGCGCACGTACTGGTCCCGCTCATCGTGGGAGCTCTGGGAATCATCGTTTTCTTCGTGCTGGAGATGTTCTGGCTCAAGGGCCCAACGGTGAGTGCACTACGCTATATGGGGGGATAATTGAGCAGACTTAACGAAAACTCAAAGGTCCCTCGCTTCTTTTTCACGAACCGTACGACCTTCAGCGGGTACGGATATCAAACTTGCCTAGTGTAAAACACGACTAAGCTTGGAAGTATAGATATGCAGGCACCTTCTTCCATGGCATCGTTGCCCTCGCCACTCTTTGTGAGTACCCACTCGTAAATCATCCTTTCCACGCTAACTCTCGTTCAGACTACCTCCCCGTCTACTTCCAAGCCTCCAAAGGCGCGTCCGCCGTCGGCTCAGGCGTAGACATGTTCGCGCTCTGCCTCACCATCCCCGCCTTCGCCATCGCCACCGGCCTCTCCGTGCAGATCGTCGACCGCTACCGCCCGCAGAATTACATCGGCTGGGCGATCATCCTCATCGGCTTCGGCGTGCTCTCCACGCTCAACGAGGCCTCCTCGCGCGCCGCCTACATCGGCTGCCAGGTGCCCTTGGGGGTCGGGCTCGGCATCATCTGGATCAGCACGCAGTTCCCGATCCTCGCCCCGCTGCCGGTGTCGAACAGCGCGCACGCGCTCGCGTTCTTCACCTTCCTCCGCTGCTTCGCGCAGAGCTGGGGCATCGTCGTGGGCGGCACGATCCTGCAGAACACGCTCCTGCGCGACCTCCCGCCCGACTTTACCGCGCGCTTCCCGCAGGGCGTGCAGATTGCGTACGCGGTGATCCCGACGATCAACGGGCTGCAGGAGCCGCTGCGCACGCAGGTGCGCGCGGTGTTCGCGCGCGCGACGAGGTTGATCTGGCATGTGATGCTGGGCGTGTCGGGCGCGGGGCTGCTGACGGTGCTGCTGATGCGCGAGGAGAAGCTGAGGCAGGATATGGACGGGACGTGGGGGCTGCAGGAGGAGAAGGAGCGCGGGAGCGGGAGTGGGTCGCAGCTTGCGGCGGAGGGGCGCGAGATGGAGTGGAAGGTGACCCCTGGGGAGACGCCGACGCTCCCGCAGATAGTATGAGCCGTGGCGGGGGTGTGGTATGGGCTACGGCGGCGCGCGTCAGGACTGGCGGACGTACCGCTGCTGGGGTCGAGCGTCGCTTTTCTCGTTTGCTAGACCATGCGCTTTGCATGTGCCGCTTTTGATATTGTATAATATTTCTTCGCTTTCCGCCCTAGTGCTGCCCGACTTCAAGCGTCCACCCAGAACGGCGCCGGCGACCCGCGCGTGCCAGGCGCCCAAGTCTAGCCGACTTAGAGTTTGGAGGAATGCAACATTTCGACAAATGGACATCCAATATTGAAGATTGAGACGAGGACGACGGATCTGAGGCGGAGTTGAGATACATGTCAGATCTCGTTGGCCTCAACCTCCGCGGCTGACTAGTACTGCAGCTCTGAGCTGGCCGGTGGCAATGCCTGGGCCAACCTGCAGATGAACACTGAGCGATATCACTCTAGCCCACTCCTCGCCGGTCCGCGCACAACAAACCTACGTTAAGTCTGACAACATAGTGCATCGTTGCAGAGTAACATTGGTACGGGCGGGTAGACTAGACAAGAGTGAGTGTGGGGGGTGCATATTTACAAGGCACTTTACGACACGGAACGATGGGTGGGCAAGGGCAAGGGCGACGACGATGTTATGGTAGGCATGCATAAAATCGATGAGGGCACACTACGACCGGAGAAATAAAGAAAGGGGGTATATGCAGGTGAAGGGCACGTACGACGCCGCGCTCAAGCTTCCACCTCCGCCTCCTCCGTCTCCGCGGGAGGAACATACGACGACTGGATGCGCGGAGGAAGCCCGGCCTGCATGAGATGTAAGCGTCAGCGGCGCTGTTGTGCCTGCACGTCGCGGGAGGCACTCACCGCGGCGTAGATTCGGCCGACCGCCTCGAGCTGCGTGATCGTCGTCTTCGGGTCCGTCCAGTACTGCGGCGTGCGCTCGCGCACCTTGTCCACGAATGCCTCCAGCTGGTACCGGTACCTACAGCCCATCCAGCCACGTCAGCGCGCGCACATGCACCAGTAGAAGTGAGGAAGGGACGCACGTAGTCCACGACGTCTCGCCCTTCCCATCCGGGTGCTTGTACGCCTTCTCCGTGCGCGCCGCGCCCTTGCGCGGCTTGACCTTGATCCAGTGGTACGCCCCCGCGAGGGGATAGTTGAAGAACTCGATGTCGCCGCCCTCGAGCGCGACGCGCACGCTCAGCTTCGGCATGCGCGGGAGCAGCCCGAACGGGCCCCACCCGGGCATGGCGAAGTCGACGTACGTCTCGCCCGAGACGGACGCGGGGAGGCTGTAGGTCGTCTGCATGCCGCGGTCGATGCGCGTCTTGTCGGGGTTGCCGAGCGCCTTGGCGCGGGTGACTTCGGGCGGGTCGGACTCGGTGCCGGTGAGGAAGCGGATGGCGGCGAGGGGGTATACTGTGGGGGGAGGAGGTTGGGGGGTGAGGAGGGGGGGCGAGGAGAAAGGGGGCACGTACCGCCCATGTCCATCGTGCAGCCGCCGCCGAGGTCGTATTGGTAGCGGATGTCGTCTTTCATGAAGAACATGGACGAGAGGATGCTCGGGATGGCGAATTCGCCGACGATGCTCTTGACCTTGCCCAGCTCCCCGCTGTCAATGATGGCCTTGACGCGCTGCGTCGCGGGATGGAACCTGTCGCCAATGTGAGTTGCCGGAGTCATGCATTATCTCTGAAGAGTGGACGAACGTGAAGTGGATGGCCTCGAGGGCAACCAAGCCCTTCCGCTCTGCCAGGTCGAGGATCTGGCGCGCCTCCTCTGCGGTGTCTGCAATGGGCTTTTCGATGAGGGCATGCTTGCCGGCGTTGAGCGTACGGATAGCCCACTCGAAATGTAGGGCATTCGGGAGCTAGCAAGAGCAATATCGCCAAGGTGAGAGCGCGCCATGTACACGGGCTCCAAGAAGACGCACAGCAATGTACACCGCGTCGATGTCCGGGTCGTCGAGAAGTTCTGGGGCCGCCCATGTGAGACAGGACGACACGCGGCACGTGCATGTTCGCACTCACGCTGGTAGGCCTCCGCCCCGCTGAACGTCTTCGCGATACCGTGTGTCTTGGCGTACTTCTTCGCCTTGTCGGCGCTGCGGGCGGCGACGGCAGCGACGACGACGTCGGCGTGGCTCTTCGCGGGCGAGATGAGCGCGTCAGGCCCTATGCGGGCGGCCCCCAGGATGCCGAAACGCAGGGGATTTTCAGTCTTGGGAATTGCCTAATGCGCAGTACGCGCGTACAACAGGTCAACAACGTGATGGTGGCGACCACGCGAGACCAAGCATGCTCACCATACTTGTTCAGCTTGTGGCGTTCTGTGAGTTAATGTGCTGCCAGTCGGGGAGGTGTAGGATGGCTACAGCTCAACGTCGTCGACGGTGGGAAGCGGCAGGAGAGGGGCTAAGCAGGGGGGTCTGGATTGCGTTATACGGCTGCGAACGCAGGGCGAGTTAGAGGTTCTGCTTCCACGTTCTAGCTACCCGTAGAAGCCCACTAAGACCGGAGATGTGACTAAGCGGCGCTTGCTGTGCAAGTGCTGTGTTCGTCCAGAAGGAACCACTCACATGAGCAGGCAACAAGCAGTCTTGACTCTTAAGAGCGGTTGATCACCAGTTTGGTGCTCGTATTGCAGCTCACAACAAGCAGCGTAGAGGACGACAGCGAGCGGGCACCACACGAGAGAGATGGGACACACCGTTGACAGCGGCGCCGGCCGAGAAGGTTAACGCCGAGGTGAAGAAACCATCGCGCGCGCAGTGTGCCGCCCCCGCCCCGCCGCCCTGAAACGCTATCCTTGAACTGAATACCCTACCCTGATGAGACACATCTCGGCCGCACGCCGCCGCACGGTCACTACATGGGACACCTTCGTCCATCCAAAGAGGGGGAAGACACATGACTCTCGACGTACCAAACACGCTGTGCGGTAAGCGCGGAGGACGTATAATCGAGAGCGGTTCCCGGCGCCACGCCGCTTCCACCCATGAACGTCGTGAGGCGAGCATCGGTCCTCGTTTTCCCAACACGCCCCGCATCACGAGCGAGAAGAACGCTACGCAGGGGCAGAGAAGGACGCTTGACTGATCGGGAACGCACACCTTTCAACTGTCCTATTCCGCAGTATTTATACCCTCTTCTCTCCAGCTTCCGATAATACGCCAGGGCTCGGCTCACGGTTGCCCATGCGGCAGGACGACTTCCCCGTCCACCAAGCGCACGTCGTGCCCTAAACCTGTCAATGTCGGCTGTCGGTACGTACTACCATCTGCCAAGGGACGCTGCACAGTTATTTGGGACTGCGGTGTTGCCTAGGATCACGAAGATGGGTACTTCGGCGATACATAGACAGACAGAGAATGCGTGCCAGAACTGAGAAGCCAGAACTGAGAGGGTAGATCAGCAAGACAGACATGCCTGACGCTGAAATCATGCTTCGGATTTCCGGTCAAAATTCCCGCTACTGAACGCCAAGGACCCCGGACAGTCAGGGACAGTCCCGGCGAAGTGATGTCCCTCTATTTGACCGCCACCTCCCGACCGACGATATCCTCCGACGCCGAGACAGCTCGTTTCACGGTATGTACTGCTTCTGGAATATGGTGCAGTTTGAATGGCCCTAATACCTATCATGAGGATGCAACTAGGTTCTCGACTAAGTAATCGCCCCCCTCGCAGGCTGTGATCGCTATCAGTTCATTGCTTCTCCTTTGACGAACCTGTCGTTGCGTTTCGTCTTTACTTCCGATGGTCTCTCTGTGTTCTGATCTTGCGTGAAGTGTGGATTGATACTAGTGAGAAGTCGTTCTAGTTCCTAGTACGTCTTCTTCGCATCATACGCGCACGACGTTCGTGTACGCGTTGATAAAGTAAGTTCTTTATACTGCATCTTGGTCGTTGTACCAGTAGAGTTCATTGATGACTGACATCTCTGCCCTTCTTATAGAAACCGGCAGGGCATATCGGTCTTGAAAGCTTCGCACGTCATGGCAGCATAGACAGCGCATGCACACGCAGCGGCGGCACGTCACCTCCTTCTCAACCGTCCCGCGACAACTTGTCGCGCTGAACATACGCCCGCGCTTCGCGCAGCACGGCGACCGGCGAACCTATGATATCACCAGCGCCCCGCGCCCTCCCCGATGCACATAGTGCAGATCGGCCGGCTCGAGGGCGCAAACGCTAATTTGCACTGCAGCTGAAGCCTGGAGCTAGGGCAAACTCCGCGGCCCCATCAGCGTTTCCTGGGATCTCGCCGCGGCCACACAGCCGTCGAATCGCCCTCGGTCGCGTGGCTGTCCATCCAGGGTACTGGGGTCGGAAGGATGCTGCCACTTGGCGGATGCAATACGCCGCTGTACCCCGGGCCGCTGGGAGTTGCTGGAGCATTCTGGTCTGGGTTTTTATGCCAATCTACCGCTGGCACTTGGTTCGCCGTACAGTACCCGTCGGACTCAGGGGCCCGACCGCTATGGACTCGCCGATCGAGCACGGCGCGCCCGGGTCAATATAAATTACACCACTGCAAGGCGAGTCCTCCTCACCGACCCCACCGCAAATCGCTGAAATGATGGTGCGTGACCTCGAAGCCGTTTCGACGATTTCCTACCGATCTGACGACCACATCAGGCGACGACATACGATCCCCGCTGGCCAGAAATGGCTGTTAGGTGCGAGATGCGCCGTAGATCGGGGCGTCAACGGGGCCGCGGCCGCAGGCTGGCGCGACATGCGACATGTAACATCCGATGGCTCCGGGCCCAAACCTCAAGGAGTGAGCGGCGGTACACACGCTGTCAGCCTGCCCCGGGGGCCAGTGCCCAACATGTACTGGCCCCAATGCGGGGAGGTCTGCTCCGCAGGGGATAATCGGCGGTGATTTGTGTGTAGAGCGCGTTGTCGGAGAAGCCCATGTCGACCGTGCCCGACCCGACCGGGGTGTCCGTGACATTATGGGAGCGGTCGCGGTGCCGCCACGGCGAACGCACGGTACTCCTCACTGAGAGCGCTGATGTGCAGAGAAATACAACAAAGCATGGGTATGAATTGGCACGTAATAGATATCCAATACCTCATGATAGTACATACACGCATCCTACAACAGATCGGCGCCCAAGAACCATCCGCGCGCGAAAGCAGCACAATGAGACAACCCGGCCGGGTGTATCATGCCCGGAGCCCGGGTCGACTAGACGACATATGCCTTTTTGCCCTCCTCGGACGACTGTGCGTACGTCAGAACGGGAATCGGGGCTAGAAGGAAGGGGAGGAGAGAAACGCACCGCGAGCACTGTCGAGCCAGTGAAGTTCGAGTGCGAGACCTGGCCTTCCTGCGCCTGGAAGGTGGAGAGCGGGATCGAGTTGACTTGTGTGATCGCTTCGTTTCCGCCGCGCACGTATGTGCGGCTGTTCAGTCTGGGTATCGTGGGGTCGTATCAGCGGCTGTGGCGTTGGAGCGGTGTGTTGGGTGCTTACGATGTGAGGAGCGAGTTGATGTACACTGCAACGGGGTGAGCGAGCGGAACGTGTTGGAGAATGAGGATCACGTACGCTTCCCGAGCATGAAGTTGAAGAACAGCACGTAGAGCTGGGCCGGCGCGGCGAGGTACTGCACGCGGGTATGTTAGTGTTAAATCGCGAAGCGGAGTTCATGATGGACGTACGGCGATCAGATTCGCAATCACGAAGATACTGTTCAGCATGGATTACCGCGTTAGCGTACGGCTCTCTTACAACTACAGCCGGCTCCCTTACGTCGTGAATGAGCCCGTGGTAATGGTGAGCATGATGAGACGGCCGATCATGTCATCCGACCTAGGACGGGCATTCGTCAGCTCTTCGTCAGGAATGAGAGGGATAGCCATGCGCGGTACTTACTTGCGGAGACCGGTGCGCCCCTTGCGCAAATACCACACCATGGCCACGGAGATCGAGACGTCCGCAACCACTGCCACGCCGAGGCCAGACGACCCGGTAGACTGTGTACCGAAAAAGGTGTAAGTGACGCGGACAGGGTCAAGGGTGACAGGCAGGTGCCCACCTTGAGTTTCGTTTCCGCCTCCACGAGGACGGGGTAGAAGAACCTGTATGCGAGGTTAGCGGACATGCAATATCGGCAACGTTCGGAAGACTCCTGAGATGGAGTTCATGCTCACGTTCTGATCGGGAAGACTGCGAGAGCATGTCAGCCCGAGGTACCCGGTTTCTATACACCGATGTACATACCAAGGTTCATCGCTGTGCGAGCGGGGACAGCGTTGGTAAGCTGCAGGGCCCGATTATATTACTCTGGTTACTCACTTAAGTGGGCGATGGTGAAAACCATCTATATCGGCCGCACATCAGCACAGAATTAGTGTCTGAATCCCTAAGATAACTTACGCATGCGCCGCTAACGTAGACGTTCCTGCTGACTGTAGGAAAACATACATGAATGGGCTGGCTGCTGCACAGCGATCGAGGGCCACATACGCTTCCAGATGCGCATAACGAAGAACCTGCCGTTTTCATGACGGTTAGCACGAGTACGCGTAAAGTAAAGGTGCATAGAACACGCACGTCTCGACGATGCATGCGATGACGGCCTGTTTCGCACGGCGCTAAATTAGAACGTGTGCAAGTGCAGCGGACCAAGTACGCACGTTGACAATAATCTCCGTCTACGTCGGGCAGGAGCTTAGTTCGACTGAGGGCGGACACACAAGCACCATTTAAGACATACCGGGATACTCCAAACAGTACGCAAGAGAGCAAGGGCATTCGCATAGTTGAGGACCAGATAGTGGTACAGAATCTGCACGATCAGCGCTTGATGTGTTGAGTCGAGCATCCTGATGGAGGACGTCTTGAGATTGACATGCGAGGACTTTTAGGGAAGTAGCTTACCATAGAATGAGGACCTTCGAGCGAAACTAGTGAGCCGGAAGACAGGACAGTACAGGGTGAAGACTTACAATGATCTTCAGGAATGGTGTGTCTGTGCTCCCCCTCGGAGACCGGTAGTACTGGAAGGTTTGGATGCATGTGATGCCGTAAATCCTAGAGCATGCCGTCAGCTTGAGAACAATTCCGCAAGTGAGAGACACTTACGCGGAGGAAATGGCCACTCCGAGGAAAGCGACACCGATAGTACTGCCAAGGTCGAGCTGGGAGAGGATCTCTGCATTGACGTCCGGTGGGCACTGGGTCGCGGTAGAGTTGTCCATGTTTGCGGCGCCGTGCAGGGAAGGGTCGAGGACGGACGGGGCGCGAGTGCTGTCGGATGAGGAACCGGAGGAGCGCTGGGCTAGCCGACCCTTATAGTACCGCTCGGCGTGGGTCAGCGGCGCACTGGCACGCAACGCCTAATTTGCACTTCAGGACGGAATGCTGTTTCAGACAGCGGTAATACTAAGTTTACCTGCGGGCGATACGGCGAGCGTGATCAAACGGCGCCCCATCAGTACTCAGTCGCAACCCGGGAGCTTTCTCACCGATACCTGGCCTGTCCCCCCTTGACCGATGGAGAAGCTCCTCTCCTCGGCGGCGCTGTGAATCCGCAGGACTGGCGCTGCACACGGGATCGCCGCCGGCCGAGCCGGCAGAGTCAGACGCTGTGGGTGCCATGGGAGTCGTGACGGCTGTCTGTCCCTTTGAGCAGATCAAGGGCAACTCCTTTCGCCTTTCGTCGTCGACCGGAGGCGGAGGTACTTGTGCACTGCCATAGAAGTCGATGGGGTGTCCGATGCGCTGTCGTAGTTAAATGTTGGAGTGCGTCATGTGTGGTTCTGTCTGCGGTGTGCCACAATGCTAATGAACTGGAGAACCTGATGCGAGCGCGACCTCACGTCTACTGTACGCTTTCAGTCCGATAAGACAGACATCATTCTCTGTTCAGAACAAGCAGAGTGTGGTAGGTGGAAGCCTGACGGCATCCCGCCGGGGGTCCGAGACGGCGTCGGTGTCGGCGTGTACTATGTTGTATTTGTTCGTATTTGTCCGCCATAGCCACCTCGGCGGAATTCACGATGATCTTCATGTTCGTTCTTCTTCCAATACTTCCCCCTTGTGGAACTCTCACTTTGTCATGATCCTCGTCTCCAACTGCAAGCGGCATCAGGAGAAGATGTGCCAGCCACGAAGATCCATCGCGCGCTCATGTCGCGCGCTGTCACCGGAGGACGGCGCACGGCACCGGCCGCGCAAACCTTCGCTGCGGCGCGCCTGCTGCGTGAGCCAAATGCGCAGATGGCGTCTCTTTCTCGGGCAACTCTGGCAAATCGTTCGCCTCAATACTCCACCGCCAGACAGGCGGGGATAAAATTTCGAGCCAGGGCCGAGCAAAGGACGCATATTGCTCACCGGGTCCGTCGCGTTACTTGTTCCGTACGTGCTCGCATACTGCGTAAAGGTCTCATTCATCATGGCAGTGTCTATCCTGCTGTCTTCCTGCGGTACGCATCGTATGGCCCTGTCTCGTTCTAGCGACCGCTTGATGCCAGGACAGAAGACATCACGCCCATGGATACAGCTTTCGGCACAAGGTCTCATCCTCATGATATTATTTTCGTCCGTCGCCCTCAATATCGTCCGCGTCGTTGACACCGCCCTCTTCAGGTCGTTACGCTCTCGACTTCCTTGCGATTCAGACGCATCTGGCGCGGCGCAGCGACGTAACGCCCTCCCGAACCAGCCCCCAATATGTCCGCCCTAGACATGATCGATCTTCGACGACTCGCCCGTGCTGCGACGAGGCTTCGCAGGACCCCGAGCAGCACTCGTATTGCGCTCTGACCGACCTACACGTCCGCTGCGCATCCTGCGCACGAACTAAGTTTGGCCTCTCTCACCTGCGCGGTTGTCGCGGATGCCTGCCAAGACTATAGAATCCCTGATCCCTGGTCACTGGCCGCGTCTTCTCCGCACGTTCTGCAGAAAGGTTCCCCGGTACCTAGGATCTGCTGTGCTCTGGTCGAACCTAGCCATCCTCAGGAACTTGGACGCACGGGACCCGCAATCTATCGTGGCCCGAGGTGGATGCGGGCGTGCGCCCTCCGGCGGAGTTACCCTGTGCTGTGCAGAAAACCTTCTCCCTCAACGGCCTGGGAACTAGGTAATGGACTTACCATACCCCGACTCGGTACTTTTGCCTCTTTATTCGCTAGAAAAACTGTTTATCTGGTGCTTGTTGAGTATCCCCACCCCGAGGAAGTAGCTTGCCTGACAAGGAACCACCGGCTCCGCGCGCTGTTACGCTCTTCGCGATACTGTGCTCCTCGGGCCCCGCATCTTGCCATCCTTGCTTCTTGTTCCCCGACAGGCATCTCATTACCCCGTATTGCGCTCTGAAACTGTCGGAGAGATATGGTTGGAAGGTGGTCGCGTTGCGTTCTCGAGCTGCATCGCGCGAAGCGGGTGAGACATGATTTGGTACGGCACGTATCTATCCAATTTGTCTGCGGGTCTCCTGTAAACTGATGTTCTGACGCTGTGCATTGTCAGGGACCCAAATCGGCTCAGGTGGTAAGGCGGCGTTCACCACAATGATCTAGGAAATGCTCGGCAAGGATACGACGCAGCGGCGCTTGCAATTTCCCTAGCAATTCTGTTTACGACAACAGTCAAAGAAACTCACATCATAGGCACGGAAGAGTGGCTCTTGCAATTCCTTTCACAAACAACGTTTCGCCGCCCACCAGCACCCTGGAGGATTGGCATCTTACCTACAAGCACAGCACACGTATCCCAACGGACAACGCCCAAAGCGAACAGCGCGAAAAAGAATATCTATGCGCCCACGGTCTAAAAGTACAACACCGTAATTGATGATCCATGATAGTCCCAAAGACACCACCGTCAACAGCCAGCTCGACGTGATCGCGCGCGCATCTGCTGCTAGAGCTTGTGCATTGTGTACACCCACGGAAGCAGCCCCTGCAGCTTCGCGAGCCCGCTGTGCACCCGCATCGCGTCGAGATGCCCGTACTTGCTGAACAGGAACGCGAACACCTCCCCCGCTGTGGCGGCGCGTACGTCAGTCGGTGTCGGTGCACGGCCCGCGCGCGGCGAGGACGAGGGCTGGCGTACTCACCGAGCTCGTCGGGCTTCTCTTGCAGGATCTATCGTCCGCGTTCGAAGAGGAAGAAGAAGAAGGCGGTGAGCTGCTATTCTGGTTCGGGGGTGCTCGATTCGAGCTAAACTCACGCTGTGGCCCGCGTCGGGGATGAGCACGTTGCTCGCGTTCGCGGGCCGCCGCCACACGGTGCGTCGCGTCATCGCGCGTCCCCCAGTCCTAGAAAACATGACATCAGCGCGCGGTCCTGAATCTTCAAATTTGAGCAAGGCCGAGGACTTGCCAGGCGGCGGACTTCCCGCTCATGATCCAGTGCAGCGAGAGGCGCGGCTCGAGCGCCGGGAGCGCCGCCCACACCTCGTGCGCGGCGCGCCAGCCGTACGTCACTACCGTCTCGTCGAACGGCCGCGTCTTCAATCGCACAGGCCTATCACCGTTTTCGCCCTCATGTGCGTCAGTAGAGTCTGCAACAAGCCCGTGCCGCATCACGACCTCGAGGATGCGCGGGTCCCAGCGCGCGGAGGTCGGGTATGTGCTGAAGTATGCCCGCGCGTCGGCCGCGCTGGGGAAGGACGGCTGCTTCGCGAGCGTGGACGTGAAGAGGAACTTGAGCATGCCCGCGCCGGGGCCGGGTCCGCGGTCCTGGAACGCGGCGGAGAAGACGATGGGCTCGACGAGGACGAGCGAGTCGAATAGGTCTGGTTGGGCGAGGGCTGCGCGCGCCCTAGGCATTGGAGGATTGCGAAATCAGTTTCGACAGCAGATGGACGAGCAAAGGGCAGGGATGCTCACAATATGGTGCCGCCGAAGGAGTGGCCGACCCCGACGAGCCGGCGGCGCCGTGATTTTCCGAATTCGTGCGGCGCGACGGGGTGCAGGACGGTGGCGAGCGCCGCCCCCGGGTCCGCGGGGAGGTATGTTGACAGGAAGTTGAGGATGTCGCGGGTGAGGTCGTGCCAATCGACTGCCACGAGCGATCGTTAACGAAGATTGACCTGGGTGGCGGCGAGCGCCTTACCGATATCTCGTTGCGCGTGGTCGTTGATGACCGCGCTGTCGCCATGCTGCACGGCTTCAAAGGACCATATCTCATCCACTACGTCGGTCGCGGACTCAGATAATCGCGCAAGCAGGGGCTTTAGCATGGGCTCCCATATCTACGGTGTGTGTCAGCTCTCCATTCGAAATGCCACATTTGCAAAATCTGACCTGGCGGGAGAACCCCCCGGAGTGCACAAGGAACAGCGTGATGCCCCGCGACGCCCCGGAGGAGAGGGCGCGGGGGTGGACATATCGATCGACACAGTTCCATTGCTGCTCGTACGACAGCAGGTGCTGTGGGGCGCGCCGCTTCTGCACGTCAAACGCGCGGCGGGCGGCTGCGAGCGACGTGAGCGCGGCGTCCATGTCCGCGGGCACGTCGTCGCACATCGTCGTCCGCAGGGCGCTCTCTGCCGGCAGAAAGCGCGGGCAGGCGGCTGGCACGATGTGCGACGTCCGCATGTACCCCGCGACGAGCTCCTGCAGAGGGAGCTGCAGGCGGGGTGGCGGGGGCGGCCGCGCGCTTGGGGTGTCGATGGGCAGCAGGGGCACGAGCGCGACGAGCTCCTCGGGCTCTGCGGCGGACGGGGCTTCGGGGCGCAGGTACGATGGCATCGCTCAGTGGGCGTGCGTGCTTGCAGGGGTCCCGCGACTGTGGTGGTTCTGAATGCCGCCCCCGCGTCGTATTTCTATATCGTCTTTCCGCCGCGCTCATACTTGCATGAGAACAGCGCCCAGTAAGATCGCGGGCTCCGGGTCCGTGCGGGGTGTGCGCGCGGGCGTGCACACACCGACATGGTGATGCGCGGGCGAAATTGAGATTGGTGGCACCAGCCCGTGAGCGGAGAGAGGTGGCGCGCGGAAGGCGTGTCAAGCATCAGAGAAGCTGGATGGTGTGTTCTTTGAACTCAAGTTAACGCTGCTGGGGACGCCCGCGGTTGTCGGGAGAGCGGAGAACTATGGGGGTGAGCTCGAGTGCCGCAGCCTTCTTGCACTTACCGGGAGATCCTGCCTGGGAGGGGTCTCCGGGGTCCTCCGTCGGCTTTCCCAGGCCAGAGTCTGCCCTCGATATCGGCACTTCGGAGACGGCTGCACACTGCTCTTCCGCTTCTCTGGATGGCATCGCTCGCGGCGTGCTGCCAGGACGCACACACACAGAACATGTACTATCAGGGCATGACCGCCTGCCAAAGGTGGCCATGACGGGTTCCATCAAGTGTCGTAATCGGTCCCCTGAGCGCTGTTTCACACTGCGCACTGGCCGTCCTCTGTCCGTCTGTCTCTGCCCACTCCTTGTCACGGCAGTCTTCTACTTATCATGTGCGGGCTCTCCTCGGCAGCATGCACACCTACATAAGCTCGCAAACCTTGTTCAGCGCTCTCCTCTCCTCTGCGGCGTCCGAGTCCTTGTCTCTGACCGCTCTCGACGTCCTCGTCTGCCTCACCTAGCTCTACGCTCGCTGCCGCCCACCTGTCGAGTCTCGACGACATGGCCACCGCACAGTTCACCGAGGCTTGGATCGACGGCTTCGACGGCCACCACTTCTACACGCGCACCTACCCGGCCGTCGGCCCCACCAAGGCCGTCCTCGTCTTCGTCCACGGCTTCGCGGACCACATCGGCCGCTACGAGGACGTGCACCCGCGCTTCGCCCAGCGCGGCATCGCCGTCTTCGCGTACGACATGCGCGGCTTCGGGCGCACCGCGCTCGACGAGACGCACCGCAGCGCGGACGAATACTACGGCAAGACGAGCCGCCCGCTCGAGCTGTCCGACCTCGAGTGGTGGGTCAAGCACGTCGCGCGCACGATGCCGAAGACCCCGATCTTCGTCATGGGCTACTCTGCGGTGAGCATGCTGCCCGTGCGGGAGTGTGCACAGAGCACTCACTGAGGCGTATGTGGCGCAGGGGGGTGGGATGACCATGGCGTTCCCGACGCGCCCGCACGCGCCCCCCTCGTCTGACACTGTCGCGCTCGTGTCTGGCATTATCGCGCAAGGCCCGCTCGTTCATCTCACCTACCCCGCCGCGAAGGTCCTGCGGCTGATCGCGCGGGGTCTTGGAAAGGTCGCGCCTTCGACTCCCTTCCCCGCCCCTATGCCTGCAGAGGTGAGCCTTCCTCGCTACTCGCGCGCCTCCGTGTATGCGGCTGACGAAGCTATCTAGCGATTCTCGCGCAATCCTGCGGTGGTTGAGGCGCTCGAGAAGGACACGCTGCGCATGCCTCGGGGGACGGCGCGCGGCCTGGATAATATGCTGACACAGGTATGCACTTTTATCTGCCCGCGCTGTGTGTGTACTAACTTGGTTTGGTTAGGGCGAAGAGCTACTTGACGAGGGGTACAAGCGGTGGCCCAAGGAGTTGCCGGTCCGTTTTTACAGGTTCATACGCATCTCATATGTGCTCATGCTATGTCTTTCAGCTCCTCATGGCTTGGGGAACTGCAGATGAGGTTGGTACCGGCGTAAGTTCCCGTCCTAAACCGTAGCTCATCACGAGTCCCACACAGGTCAACTGCCCAAAAGCCGGTGTCGCGTTCTACAATAAGCTCGACATCAAGGACAAGAAGCTCATCGAGTACGAGGTACGCATCCTATCCCACTAACCCGTGCAACTTCACGCACCTCATTCACTATTCCTTGCCCGCATACAGGGCATCCTCCATGACCTCCTCCACGAGGCCGGCGACATCCCGGACAAGATCCTGGAGGAGTACTTCACCTGGATCGAGGCGCACCTGCACGTGCGCGCCAACGTTTGAAGTTCGAGTTCCCGTTCGCGAGTACATTCCGCCGCCACCTCGGCCCCCTCGCTTTGTTCTTTGGTCCGCTTGCTGTATGCGCGCACCTGTGGTACCGGGTCCGCCCGGAAGGACTCTGGTTTTGTGTTTGCTATTGTACTTCGTACGCCCTTGTTGGTCTCGTGTTGTCGGAATGCACTAGGATATATATATTTTCAGGACACCATTCATCAGCTGCGACGTATGATTTTCTGTGCAGAGGATCTACAGTAGCACCTGAGGTCTACTGGCGGGTATGTAGTGTTTCACGACCATGTTGAGACATAGACGTTCGAGAGGCCCATGGACCCCAACTCCTTACATGATTCGGTGCTCGGGAACTGGTGCTGATTATCATGGGCACAAGACGAGAGGGCACACAACACTCTCAACAATACTAACAAACCCCAAAGTAACATCTTTCGCAGAGCAGCCTGTCTGCCATGTGTATGTGTGCACAAACCTACTCGCAAGTCTCGAAAGCTACACCTGGCTTGTTCGCCCGGCTCGTCGCACGCAAGCACTCCGTAGCATCACAATAGTAGTGTCCTTCATTACGATAATGATACACACGGTCTACGCAATATCCCAATGCCCAATCCAAGACACGAAGCCCAAGTCTATCCCTCTGCCACCGGAACCTCTACGTCAGACGCAGCCGCCGTCTTCTTCTCTCCGCCAGCCCTCTCGCCCTCCTCATCCTGCTTCAGCCCCCACTTCTCGTCAAGCGAGTCCTTCCGGAGCTCGACCTCCTGCATGAGCAGGCACGTGAGCAGCCCCGCGCCTGAAATCCCCGCCATGACGCGCCAGATGAGCTGCGTCGCCTGCGCGAACGCGGCGCGCACCTCTGTGCGCTGCGGCTCTTGCAGCGAGGGGATTGTTGGGATCACGGCGTATGCGATCTGGACGCCCTTCGGGAGGGAGGCGGTGAATGAGGCGGGGAGCGTTTGGAGGAGTTTGGTTTGGAGGATCGTGCCTCCGATGACGATTCCCCAGCTCTGTGGGGCGCACAGAAGTCAGTCAGGGCCGTCTCACGTATGCGCACAGGATGGGTGCGGGGGAGAGACAGAGACAGACGTACCTGTGCAAAGCAGCGGAAGAAGGTGAAGAACGCAAGCGCGTGCGCGCTGTTCGAGAACGGGAGCGGCGCGAGGATGGCGAACTGCGTGCTGACCCAGATGATGCCGAGCCCGATCGCGAGCGGGACCTGGCAGCCAATGTACATCGCGCGCGAGGAGGTCTCGTCGAGGAGCGAGAGGATGCCGAAGCCGGCGACCATGAACGCCCAGCCGATGTAGTTCTGCGGGCGGTAGCGGCCGACGATCTGCACGGAGACGCCGCCGACGATGGCGAAGACGGGGATCATGACGCAGAAGATGATCATGTCGACGCCGGAGCCGATCGCGGTGGCCAGCTGCGAGGCTTGGAAGTACACCGGGAGGTAGTCTATATGTGGCGTGAGTTGGCGGTGCGCGTATGTACTAGTAGTACAGATGCACGCACAGAGGGAGACGATAGAGACCATCCCGTGGAAGAATGTCCCGAGGAATCTGCAAGTAAAAATTCAGCTCAAAGTTCGTTTGCTACGACTCGAGTGGGACGGCTCACCCGCTCAGCGTCGTGCGATTCGTGAAAAAGTATCTCGGGATCTGCCATTCCGATTAGTTGAGAGTACGACAACAATCAAAGTCGGGAGTTTACCGTGGGTCCCTTCAACCAGAAGTATTGCGTAACGAAGAAGGTTACAAGGCCAATCCCCCCGATGACGAGCGGGACGAGCACGTGAAAAGACGTCCAGGGGAAACGTAGGCCTCCCCATGTAATCGCTAGGAGGATAGAGACAGTGCTCCCAGTGATCAATCCAACTCCGCTGTAGAACCAAAGACGTGTCAGCTCCACGGCTCTGAACAGTAACGCCTTTGTACACTTACAGCCAGTCAATTTGGGCCAGCTTCTCGCGCAGCTCAGTCTTGGGTGTGTTCACTTGCAGGAAGATGAAAGTGAGAGGGAAGGCGATCCCGCAGAGAGGTAGGTTGAGGAAGAACAGCCAGCGCCATGCTCCCGAGTTTGCTATTGCGCCGCCTATCAATGGGCCCATAGCGCTATTGAGAGTCTAGTAAGTATAATGAAAGCATGGGTGCCTAAATTCCGCTCACCATGCAAGTGCCCAGACGCTTGATTGCATGCAAATATAGATAAGTCTCGACCAGTGCCACAACACGAGCCAAATGGACTGGACGTACGTGGCGACAATGCCCTGGAATTTCCCTCGCTCGGGGAGTGGAACCATATCCGCGTATATGATTTCTGTGATGGAGATACACCCTCCTCCGCCGAAGCCTTGGATAGCTGTCCATGCGAGAAGAATTGTTAGTCAGATGGAAAGGAGAGGTAACGACTAGCGAACGCACCTCTCCCTGCGATGAGCATGTTCATGTTCTGTGCAGAACCACAAACCGCGGAGCCGACCGCAAATACCAGGATGAACGTGAGCAGGACAGGCTTGCGTCCGAACCCAGATACGAGGTTGCCGACAAGTGGAATAACCGCGGTCGATGCGATGGTATACGCGCTGCCGGCCCAGACAAAGTCACTACCGTGGAGGTGTCCAACGATGGTAGGCAGAGCCGTAGTGATCGCTGTCTGAAATACCACGTTTGGTGACTCGATACGGCGTAATGAAGGATTGAAACTCACGAGATCCAGAGCGGTCAGCATGTCCACCACCAAGTTCGATATGTAGACCATCCAGAAGGCATATCCACGCTTGTAGACGACATTGGGAGCCCTACGACGCGTTTGTCACAAATCAGCTTATCCAATAGACAAACGACTCCGCTAGCGAGCAACTTACACAGTAGTCTGTGACTCCATGGTTGAGGTGTCTCCCTCTGCTTGTGTCGAGTCAAGCCCTAGAGGATCGGCAAGACTTGAGGGGTACTCCGGAGAGAAGGATGAGCTAGACCTCCAGTCTGCGCAAGACCTGGGTTCGAGGGCGTGCGCAGGCGTGGCGTGTCAAGGGCGGGGATAAGGCGAGGTGCGGCGGCATCTCTGCTCGAATATCTTCACTTGCATGCGTGTGGGCTGAGGCCGCCGGGGACTGGGGGCGGTATCTCAATCTGTCACCGAAGACAGAACTTAGAAGTCAGGGCAATACGCCGTGAACCTGGGCACTTCCCGTGGGTTCTTGCTTCTGTCGGAGCTGATCGATACGGCTGGCTGAGTCCTGGTCCACCCCAACGTCGACCAAGGTGGAGTCAGCAAGCACACCGCTGAGAGGCACCTAGAAGTGGCATATCTGTTGACACTGGATGGGAATTCGAAGTGTTCGCCCGAGTATGGAGGCATGCGAGATATCACAGACCAGTGCGTCTACCATCATCAAGGAACTCGGAAGGATGAATTTTTGGAATCGAGCGCTTGCGGAGTCGCCGCCGGACGGACGTGGCTTCCTTCGCTGAGACTTGGCCGCGCGCAGGTATGTTGTTATACGAGACGACCACACGATAGAGAGTCAAGGATGCCATCGTCGGTCGTCGCTGGTAGCGATGGGAAGGCTCGGAAGGTCCGAGGCCGGCGGCTGCCAGCAGCGAGCAACCATTCGCGTGGCTGTGCCGAGTTGCCGAGCCGACCGACGCAAACGCTCTCCCACCACCTTGGCTCTCTTTTGCATCCCGCCGGCACGGAGGCGAGGCTTGTCTGTTCAAACTCGGAACCTCGGATTCTTGAGTACTCGCACGGTCATCAAGAGGTTTCTCAGCGGAACGGCTTCATGCCACGGCTCACGAGCGCCGCTCAGTGGACCAAGCTGAGAGACCCACAAAAGTGTCCCGCTCTCGGCCAGTCCCTCTCGTACAGCCCACGGCCGCAGCGCAAGGGCGGCCTGACATTTGGACATGCATATATAGTCGTACAACTCGGTGTATCAATCTGTGAATCGCTTCTTCTTCGGAGTATCTCACAGATGCTGCTGCGCTTAACCGAGCGTTTATACGTTCAACCAGCTTGGCCCCGCACATTGCAAAGAACGCTACGCACTTCATGTGGCCTCTACCTGGACGAAGTGTACTAGCCATCACAATCCTCCGTATGTGGATCACACAGGATCACCAAACGATTCTCCACCATGGATTGATATCGAGGAACCGGCTTCTCCGGTCACACTCGGACGGTCAGCGTACTACCACACGAGTAGGGCACGCTAGCCCGGAAGCTCCTTGGAAGGCAGATTGTGCAGCTTCTTGCGGGAGTACGGCATCATAGGCGTGGCTCAACGTCACCTGCCGAGACAGCCATGGGAGCGACATCCTGAGCGAAGGATGATCAGTCTCCCGAATTGACCCTGCCTTCCCTGAGCGTCCCACACGGCTTGCACGCGAGGCTGGATTTCCCTATTCTGTCATCATGGATTGACATCTGCATAGCCTTTAGTGTCTACCAGTGCACATCTAATCAGTCTCTGACTTTAACGACGGACAGGCAGATCCGAGGCTTGTTTCGCGACGACGTTACGCCAGCTGATTTTTATGGTTTTCAGGGTACTGTATCTCCCTTCCTGGATACTCGGGCGCGACAACGTGTCAGGTCATGTTCAGTGTTCGACCCATGAACGAACTATATGGGAATGGCTGAACCTTCTAAACTGTCATAAGCATTTTCCTCGGCAATGAAACTAGTCGACATCCAAAGAGAACCCTGGTAACAGTGCGTTATGGGGATCCCGACTGCGCCCCAACCACATGCGATGCAATGCGGCGCCCCGCGGCGGAGGTTCTAGTAGGTATTCCTCCATTGTCAGTGGCGCTCTTACGTTGATCTGAGCATTCATCATTTTCCGGGCGCATCTTGCACATCTCACGTTGATACATTTCGACAGCTTCACGTCCCTTCAACACGCCGACATCTATAGCAGTTCGCTTCGGCGCCCTGAGAAGGCACAAATGGCGTATTGTAGGGCGTAGGTGCCTGTGCGTCTATTCGAACGCGTTCGTGAAACTTTGTTTCGTAGGAGGCGCAAATTGGACCTGTATACGGCGTATAAATACTCAGTACTCAAGCCCTGCCTCGCGCTGGACACCCGTCCTCTCTCCTTCGGAACCTTTTTCTCGGGACCTCCGGTATACACTAGACGACTGAAATGGCCACCTCGATATTCAAGGAGATCAGTCTCGGCGGTACGCTGGGGGTTACGTTTATCGGTGTCTGCGTGTCGTCGATGTGCGCTCAGCGTTTTAAAACAGATCGCTTATATGTTGCTCATCATTTGTCGCAACAGGCTTTACGGCGTGACGTGCCTACAGACGTTTACTTACTATCGCTCAGCGAAAGCGAAGAACGATGGCTGGCTATTGTGGAGTCTGGTACCTCTAATCGTCTTTCCGTTCGGTAACGCTAAGCTCACATGCGTATTTCCCGCTTCCGTAGGTCGCAGCACTGCTGTTAGTATCCATACTCTGCCCTCTTTTCCACGTATATTTTCTCAAGATAAAATTTCAGCGCTTTTGACAGTGCTCACCAGGCGGTTGTTATCCATGCCGTGTACAACTATCTCGTCCTAGACTTTGCCAACCCTTTCAAGGTGATAAATTTAGTGTGGTACGTCTAACGCTCCTTTGACATTTATCTCTGCACGGGGTTCACGAAACGTGTTTCTAGGAGCATCCCGGTAGGCCCTCAATTATATATACTTACGTGCGGGCCCTGATTGTCTTTGGGGTTTCTGTGCAGACCGAAGTTGTACTGAATGTGAACATTCATCATTGTCCTTGTTTTGATCGGTGCTAATGACTTAAACGCAGGCGATTCTTGCCCTCATCCTCAACGGGTGAGTTCCAATTCCTGGAGATAGACAGGACTGTGACTGAACTATGTCTAGATTTCTGACATTCCGTCTATGGAAACGTACGCTCCATAGCACAATTCAGCACCATCTACTATACTAACATCGTGCCTTTCTTCCAGTGAGCACGCGGTACTACCTGACTGCCATCGCGGTGAGCAACCAACTGTTTCATCATACCCATGCATCCGATGCTAACCGTGCTCTAGGCTACCCTGTCTATCGGAAACTTCGGTACGCGACATATATGCTGCACTGTCATGTTTCATCCAGGCTGAACCTACATTCAATGCCTAGGAACGAACCTCGGTAAGTCTTCGTAGCTTACTTTGCCCGAGTGAAACCTCGTTGTCTCTAACGTCATCGTCCGAGTGCAGCATACGCTATCCGCGGGTGAGCTCGCGCATGCGCTCGTATTCATCTTTGTGATCCTGATTACTACCGACTACAGGTTCCAGTACAACAACATTTTCGCGGCGGAGACGATCCTCCGGGTAAATCCCACAAATTATAATATCGAGAGCTCGCGACTTACCAGCTGTATTTGGCACAGACGCAAGGAATCGCAGGCCTTTGTATCTCCGTCACCACCGAGGCTATGATCTCGTTCTCGCTCGCGTACTACCTTCACAGACGCCGCACTGGCCTGCGCAAGTAAGCACTGGGCCGTGCCCACCCAACCGCCGGTTACGTCTGCGACGCTAACGGGATCTTCAAGGTCCAACGATATCATCACGAAGCTCATCGCACTCACAGTCACTACCGGGATGCTCACTACGTAAGGCGCCGCTACTGTACGTACCCAACACAACCACTAACTAAACATTTTCCACCTACGGCACGCTGCAGACTTTTCAACGTTGCGGATCTTATCGCTGTGCGTTTGGATTGTCTTTATGGTCGCATGATAAAACTCAATGATCGAGTTTTACAGTACGTTACCGCGCACGACAATCTTTACGTCCTCTTCTTCAACTTCATGCTCGGCAAACGTACGTACTCCCGCTCCCGTCCCTTCGCGCGCGCTTGTGTGGATGACTGATCGCCACCCGCAGTATACGCCAACTCTCTTCTGACGTCGTACGTCTGCAGTCGATCATCTCAACTCGAAGGCGAATCACCGCTCACCACCACGCTTTTGTGGCCCCTACTGCGATCTTTGCCTCCGCAGACTGAACAGCCGCGACTACGTGCTCGGGCTGATGGGCGATGGCAGCGGCCAGGGCCCGTCCGACCACGAGACGCTCAAGTTGCCACCGTCGAGCGCGGGCTCGGGCTCAAGCCGTCCGCGCGTCGCGTCGCCGCACGCCGCGGTGCACATCGCGATGGACCGCTTCGTTGTGTCGGTGAGTGTTTTCGCATTTCGGCCAAGGGACTGCGCTGAACCGCGCTGCGACAGGACTCGCTGTCGACCTCGGCGACGAAGTACGAGAGGTGGGTGCCTGTGTTATTCCGCCGGGGGCCTGATAGTTTAGGTGCTAATCACGTACATGGCAGCGTTTGATAGGGGCGCTGCTTCTCGGCGCGCGGAGTCGTGGTGGTAGTGCTCGGGATCATCGAAGGTGTGCTATTTATGCCCTGCCAGTGCATCCGGGCGCACCGCTGGCTAGACATACGTTCGATATGTATCGTTGTCTCGAAGAACTGCAGGGCTCTGTATGTGGACTGTCGTTCTTGACCGCTTGTTTGATCGTTTGGATGTTTTTCATGTTGCTCTAAGTTGTTGTAACTCTACTAGGCCTGTTGTATATATCGCCGACGACTCGGTGTCGTTCCACTGGACTGCCTGTCATCTAGCGCAACGACAGCGGCCCCCATATTCGAACCGGCTTTCTTCCGCGTCGGAACCATCGATCATGAGAACTCGAATCCAAGTAGCCCTAGTTCAATGTATTGTGCCGCCGGGAGATGGCCGTGCTCGCACGCGTTCGAGGTCGCTTCTTTCATTATGCACTTGACGGTACCTGCAAGTTTAGTGGGAAGAAGATGCTAGCGGCGGGGAAGAGCAGGGCTTAGAAGCTTCGAGCCCCTTGGCTCCTGCACGTAACGTCGGCGGCCGCTCGGAGAAGGCAGCAGTCAGTACCACTACGACATCCCGCCCAGGAATGCCGCCGGAGATGTGCCTTCCGCCGCCATCATGTTGCTCATCACTGCGGAGCGCAGATGGATATAGTGTAAAATGGAAGTAAGTAGTCGCGGTGAGAGTACGATTAGACACACTACCACCTCAGTCATGGAGTCGCTGCGGTCTACATTACGACGCATCAGCCTCCGCGGAGCTACAAGCTCCGTCGTATTCGTAGCTTGATGCTGACAGTTCGTAATTCGACTACGATATTTCAACAAACTCTATAGGACATGCGAAAAACACAGACACCCAATACAATTAGCAGGCTGTGAACGAGAAGCACAGAACCCGCGCGAGGCCGCCTCGTCTCACACACCGAGACGGCCGTAATCTCTGTCCTCGGCAGATATGCCATACGCCCCCACACCGGTATCCTAAGGCACTGCAGATTCTGCTTCCGCAGCAGCATCCTGCGCTGAGGGAGTTTCAGGTTGCGACGCGCGTTTGGAGCGCTCGAGCATCCAAGCGATGCAGTCGTCCATGTACTTCTCTTTGACGCCATTCGGCTCGTGCACCAGTTCGTGGTACCCGTCCTGCGAGAACATGAGGTACAAGTATGGTGATGCACACGGAGTGCGTACCTCGATAGCATTGAACTGCTTGTCCTCGGCAGGGATGTTCTCGTAGAACTCTTGTGCAGCTTTGAAAGAAGTCACCTGTATAAGAGCACGTCAGAAATGAAAGCGCTGCTTGAGTCGCTGATATCCTCACCCTATCCGCGGTGCCATGCATGAAGAGTACCTGGCGAATATAGCGCATCAGTCGCATGCGTTGCCCTCACAAACAGATAGAGAAAGGGACAGACAGGTAGGGTCTTCGGCCAGTTCTTGTATTCGTGCTTATACAACCGCTCGCCCTGGGAAATTTATATCAGCACTTCCGCGGCACCTCGTGAGGCGGTGCAGGTGCAGGGCCCGTACGTTGTTCAGAGTATCTGAGAGACATCTTAATGAGCCTTTTTGTATGATCATTGGATCCGTCTCTAATGCCGCCTTCACTGCCGGGTCGTGCGAGAGGTACTATGGGCAAATGAAACCGAGTCATGAGTATAAGTGACGAGGAGTGAGCATTGCAGAGTAAGATGAGCCGAGGCTTACGTCGTTCGGCAAGGAGGCATCGAACAGCAGGTTCGGAAGAATCAGGCTCAGCGTTTCCGCAGCAACCCGGAGAGATCGCGACGTCGAAACAAACTGTAACAACAGCGTGCTCGAGGGAATGACACCAGACAAGAGTGCGATGGACTCCTGTGACGGTGGCGGAGAGGTCCGCGTCGCGAACGCGAGTATAAGCGCCCCGCCCTAGAAGAGGGGCCCGGTCAGCTCGTAGTTACGTAGCTCAGAGTGCATGGCACTTGCCATAGAGTGCCCCATCGTGAACAGTGGCAAGCCAGGGTACTCCTTGTGCAGACGCTTGAGCCACCACTCGATGTCGCTAAGCTGGTCGTGGAGGTTCGTTCTCCCGTACGAGCTCTTCCTGCTCCTGTGTGCCGCATCCAGCGCGGTGCGCCCGAAGCCGCGCTGGTCAAACGCAAAGACGGCAATCCCCTCGGAGGCGCATCGGCTATGTGCCCATTCGTACCGGGCGATGTGCTCAGAGAAGCCGTGCACGTAGAGGAGCACCGCGCGAGGCGTGTCGGCCACATAGGTACGCGTGTAGAATTGCGTGCCGTCGTATCCAGGGAGCCATTCTTCCTTGTAGGCTTTCGTTGAGGGCCTTGACGCCATAATCGTAGAACTGGCAATCACAACGCGTGTTCGTGTCGTTGGGGATGGAGGACTGTTCGTTGAGCCACGAGAGGTCTGTCGTGGGTCGAGGCAAGAGCGCGAAAACGCACAGTTCCGTAGGGTGATGGGCAGGCACAGCGTCAGAACGGTCCAATAGAGTTTCGGGTGACAGCATTCCAGGCTTTCGGGTTCCGAGTACAAGCTTGTGCGCGGCAGCTCCTATTATACTGCAACCAATCGCCGCCCAGCTGAACGCCGCGCGGATTCAGCGTCACTGCTACTAGAGGCAGGCGGTGTAATAGCATCCGCATAGTCCTTGACAGATGGTAAATGCATGAAGCGAGAATCCCTGCGCGAATCATGATTGTGGCAGAAGACGAAGAGCAGCCGGCGCTACAGAGATTCGCACAAGACCAGCCTCGACGTCGCATGGTACTACAGCCGCAGGAGCGAGACACATTCTACGCACGTTCGCCACTACCTCGATATTGTTATGGACTTTTCCGAGAGAGATATGGGATCACTCCAGCACCCTCGCGGTAAGGTGCGAATGCTCTCATACGGCCAGGAACCCGGACCTGAGATCCTGTGAGAATATGCCTCATTGTTCCTATGTGGCCGAACAGAGAGATACTGGTAGATTAAATTCACTAATGTCCATCCAATAAGCAAGTTACATAGTCCATATACCAATGTCTTACCCAGCAGTCATATGCCGGTGAAATGCATGCACGTCATGCACAGAGGCCCACTACTGACACTCGCCCATCTCAATGCCCTGATATGGGCCGTTGTGGTTGTCCGGGTTGCCCTGGAAGATGGTGGGCACGTCGCCTGTGCTGCACTGAGTGCTTGGGTTGTCTTGACCTGTGTACACGAGTCATCAGCCTGGGATTCGAATACAAACGACGTGGAGCATCGTACCTGGACAAGACACCCAGGTGCCAGAATCCTGGATGTGGATTTCGCCCGACGGGTGGTGATACCCCAGGAAGCGGCCAGGCAGTATGGGCACGAGGTCCTCCATGTTGTTGATGTGTTGCACTTGCACCCCCGAGCCGTCGACGAAGTTCGCGAACGCCTGGTTCCCGACGCGCGGAAGCGCGTATCCGACGAATCGCACAGCCACGTCCGACGGGACTTGCAGGTGTAAGAACATTGCATCGAGGATGCCGACCGCCGCGCCTGTACCCATCTGGATCAGCAGGTGTGCAGACTAAGTCGGTATGAGGGCCGCTCACCGAGCGAGTGCGCTGCAACGGTGACCTTCTTCGGGCCGAACTTGGAGAGCCCTGTCTGTACGGCTTGCAGGATATCCGCCGCGGTCCTGTGTACAGGTCAGACAAGCTGTGCTGATGCAAATGCCCTGGGTGAGACTAACTTCTGCTGAGACGCGGTGAAGCCCATGTGTGTCTGGATGCCTGCAGGGGCGCCGGGGAAGAGAGCGCTGGATACACTCTCAAGAATGATGTCGACGTCGGTGAGGACAGGGTCACTGATGCATACGCCAGTAAGCACGCGCTACAGCAGTGCGAGACGGAAACGGCCTACATTTCAGAGAAGTTGGTCCCTTGGTGGGAGACAATTATTTCGCCCGACGGAGGGTTGAACCCGACATACCCTAAGCCGCGCGGAAGCATGTGAGCGGGCTACGCGCGCACTATGTACGGCGTGAAGGCGGAGAAGTACTCACAAAATTGGACCTTGTTACCGTCACCTCCAGCAGCGATAGGGATGAACGACGGATTCGCTTCGCAGTTAGCACCGCAGCTCCAGGCTAGGGCGATAGAAGGAGGGCAGTATCCGACTGCCGCAAAGTGAGTGTACGGTAGGAAGGCCGCAATATCCGCACCGCTCAGAGGAGTGATGCTCTGAGCCGCGGGGGCAATTGGGGATGCAGCCGCCCCCCGGCCGAATGCTGCCAGAAGAAACGGCACAAATCCGCTAAACACGAAGGAGGCCAGCATCATGCGCGCGAAGCGGGCAGCGAGTGATATCGTTCAGGTTGTGTGGCGGTAGAGAACATACTAGCGGACTGCAAGATGAGGCCTTATAGCGCCGGCAGTGGCTTGCCTGGAAGCAGGTGCCTCGACGGAGATGGCTGGTTGCATGTGCAGCACCAATTGAACGAAGGCTGGCAATGTAGCACCCCTGAAGCAGGCACGCTAAACGTGAACGTGCGGAGGGCGGCTCCGTCAAGTGCACCGCACAGCCTGAAGACAGGATTGGATCGCCTAGACAAAGTCGTGGCGCCTGCTAGCCGGAGGTGCATCAGATTGGGCGTCGGTATCATTTCACCTGCGGTATTCCCGGTGACGGGCGTGGATAGCACGGCCAGAAGGATCGCATTATGAAAAAGAACATCTGTCCGGAGTGGACGAATGACCAAAGACTTGGCCGAGCGCAGACCCGGAGCGTTTTGCCGGGTGTAGGCCAGCTATAACCAGGGACAGAGAATGCAGCCTGCGCATGATGAGAACCATAGAACCTGATAGGATTCAGACAGCGTGAGCGACTATGGCTATGCATGTTACTCACCATCCGATGCCCCACCTGTACCTATTCGATATGCACAGTCTGTACGTTGAAGTCACTACCGGGGGTCATCATATGCATGCTCCTACCGCGACGACGTGTGTAATCATGGGGGAGCAGGAGGTGGTGCTGGCAGAGCACGAAAGTCCCGCAAATGCCTCCGCAGAATACATCAGCCACAGCGGAGTAGCGGGATTTTAACCTTCTTTGGATAGCTCTCAGGCGCCGGAATAGGCGTGAGTCGGGGACTCCTTGAACTTGAATATGTTCGACGCCGTCGACTTTGTCTCCCCTAAGCAAACGAAAATTAATTTTGTCGAGGTCTAGGGAGGAGGACCATCACATGAATGCGTCGACTTTAAAGTGAGCTTACACTACTCACGACGTTGCACGATCAAGCTACTTACTGCCAGCCGAGACACATCTACGCACTTGTAGGTACCACCTCAGTGATGTGCCTCGAGAGACTAGAAATTATTCAAGCACGCTTCCAGATAGGCGCGGTTCTTGTAATCAAGATGCCAAATTTGTATAATCTTACACGATCCACATCATTGAACCCAGTGAAACGCATGCACACACCCCGACATCATACGCAGTCAGAAGAGGCCCGCTACTCACACTTGCCAAAATCGATGCCCTGGTATGGGCCGTTGTGATTATTCGGGTTTCCTTGGAAAATAGTGGGCACGTCTCCAGTGGAGCACTCGGTGCTCGGGTTATCTTGGCCTGTGCATACCGCTCGCTCAGCTTCTCGTCCCGCGAGTTCATCAGAAGCCTCACGCACCTGGACACGACACCCAGCTGCCCGAGTCCAGGATATGAAGCTCGCCCGACGGGTGGTGGTACCCCAGGAAGCGGCCGGGCAGGATAGGAACGAGGTCCTCCATGTTATTGATGTGCTGCACCTGCACGCCGGAGCCGTCGACGAAGTCCGCGAACGCCTGGTTACCGACGCGCGGAAGCGCGTACCCGATGAACCGGATTGCTACGTCCGACGCGACGTTCAGACGGAAGAACATGGCGTCAAGGAGGCCCATGGCTGCGCCTGTGTACGTATGCGTGAGTGTTTATTCTGAGCATCAGTAGTAGCCACGCAAGATGCTTACCCAGCGAATGCGCAGCGATAGTGATTTTGTTCGCATTGAACTTGGTGAGGCCCGTCTGCACGGCCTGCAGAATATCCGCCGCAGTCCTGTTTATGTCAACCTCTGTTAGGCAAGGGGGGCTGATGCGAATGCACGGAGATGACTAACTTCTGCTGGGATATGGTGAAGCCCATGTGGGTTTCAACGCCTGCAGGGGTGCCGGGAAAGAGGATGTTGGAAAGACCTTGGAGGATGATGTCGATGTTTGCGAGGATTGGGTCACTAATACGAGTGAGCGCACGCTGCAGGCGCACAGAGCGGAAACCGCGTACATTTCGGAGAAATTCGTTCCTTGGTGGGAGACGATAATTTCGCCTGACGGAGGGTTGAACCCGACATACCCTGGGCGGCGAGGGAGGACATTCAAGTTAGCGTCGGGGTTTTTCATAACACGAGGCCCGCGGGGATGCACTCACAGAACTGCGTCGTGTCACCGTCCCCTCCGGCCGCGATGGGGACGAAAGACGGGTTCGCCTCGCAGTTGGCGCCGCAGCTCCATGTCAAGGTTGCAGACGGACGGCAGTAGCCGACCGCTGCGAAGTGCGTGTAGGGCAGGAAGGCCGCAATGTCCGCGTCGCTCAAAGTGGTGATGCCCTGGGCCGCGGGCGTAGCTGGAGAGGCGGCTGCCCCCAGACCGAATGCTGCCAGTATCATAGGTGCACATACACCGATTTGGTAGGAAATCAGCATTGTGCGCGTGTAGTAGATGGTATGCGAAGATCGAAGTGTGGGAGTGAGGAGGGCAGACTTGCGCATGCTGAGGTCTTATAGCACCGGACAACACGACTGGCAGCTAGAACCCGGTCTCCTAGGTAGAGGCCTCTTGAATCCCATAGCTCGTCGCATGTGCAGCACCAGTGAGAAGAAGTTGAACGATGGAATGTCCCTGAGGCAGGTACATCGACCGCACCGGCTCCGTCAAGTACACCGCAGCGCCAAAAGACACAATTGAATCATCTTCGCAAAGTCATGACGCCTGATAATGAAAGATACATCACACTAGACATTGCCATTGTCGTACCTGAGGAAGCTTCGGGCGCGCGGAGAGAACAGTTGCCTTGAGCGGACGCTCGACCTAGAACTTGGCCTCGAAGCAGAGACGCGGAGCGCTGATCCGGGGGTATGTTAGGTATATATAGTGTAGTATACAGAGCTAGAGAACGTGCGCAAGGTGAGAGCTACAGAGCTTGATGAACTTTGATCAGCCTAAGTGAATATGGTAGTGAACAAAACTTACTATTAACCGTCTTGTATATACTACGAGCAGCGAATGAGCGTGCATCTTAATGTCAGGGTCAGGGGTGATGTGTGCGTTTCTACCCATCCAAATAGCAAATAAGCTCGCTAATTAGCATCTGCCCATCTCGATGCCTTGGTATGGGCCGTTGTGGTTGTTGAGGTTGCTGCGGAAGACGGTGGGCACGTCTCCAGTGGTGCACCGGGTGCTCGGGTTCTCTTGTCCTACGTACACGAAATCATCAGCATCCCAATTTGCACGATGCTTGAGATATCACGCACCTGGACACGACACCCAGATGCCCGAGTTCTGAATATGGATCTCGCCCGACGGATGTCGATACCCAAGAAAGCGACCGGGAAGGATCGGTACGAGGTCCTTCTTGTTGTTGATGTACACCACCTGCACCCCGGAGTCGTCGACGAAGTCCGCGAATGCCTGGTTTCCGACGCGCGGTAGCGCGTACCCGATGAAGCGCACCATCACGTCCGCTGGAACATGCAAGCGTAGAAACATCGCGTCGAGGAGGCCGACCGCCGCGCCTATGTTCATTCTCGTAAGAGTCCGTCCTTATCATGCGTGGTTTTGTGGGATGCTTACCAAGGGAGTGACCGGTTACGGTGACCTTTTTCGCATTGAACTTGATGAGCCCTGTCTGCACGGCTTGCAATATGACATCCGCCGTCCTGTATGCAAGTCAGACAAGAAGCGATGGAGTAGATGCGGGGGACAAGCTCGACTTCTTCTGGGATTTGGCGAATCCGCTATGTATCTGGATACCCTCAGGGACTCCAGGGAAGACGTCTTTGTCAAGATTTTCGAACAGGATATTAATGTCTCTCAGGACAGGGTCACTAACACACGTAGATAAGCAAGCGTTGCAGCTATTCAAAGACGAAATGACGTACATCTTGGTGAAGTTCGTCCCTTGGTGTGAAACGATAATCTCGCTCGACGGGAGGTGGAACCCGACATACCCTGGACCGCAAGGACACACGTTAGCCTGCTACAGACATGGGACGCGCGGGGTGCACTCACAGAACTGGATCTTGTTACCGTCCCCTCCAGCCGCGATGGGAATAAATGAGGGGTTTGTCTCGCAGTTAGCACCGCAGATCCAGGCAAGAGTTACAGAGGGAGGGCAGTAAGCGACAGCCGCGAAGCGCGTGTAGGGCAGGAAAGACGCAATGTCCGCGTTGCTCAGCGTGATGATAGCCTGGGGGTCGGGCGCTGCTGGAGATACAGCCGCACCCAGGCCGAGGGTTGCCAGTAGCAAGGGTGCGAAGACACTGAGAATCATGCCCTCGAAACAGATTGCAAATGAATGTTGATGTGCAGCAGCGAGGAGAGCATACTTGCATACGGTGACCGGGTGAGGTCGCGGAGTCCTGAATAACATGACTGGCAGCTAGACTTCCGTTTGTCCTTGACACCTATCGCTCGTTATATATGCAGTATTGACTGGACGGAGGCGGAGGCAACATCCCCGAAGCATGAACATCGATCGGGTCCGTCAAGTGAACCGCCCGGCCGGGGGACGATCAAATTTTGTTGGAAGGATCGTGTGCCCCCTAATGAGAGATGTATCATATTGCGCATTGGTACCATCGTACTTCGGGAAACCCCGGACGTGTGGGGATGGCAGATGTGCCAAATAACACGGAGCGCACATGTGTCTTGAATGAACGCTCGGTTTGGGACTTTGCCGGGCAAGGACGGGGAGGCTGGACCGCGGGTAAGCCACGCATATACGGAGGCGGAGAAGCTGGTGTGCGAATGATGAGAACCATAGAACCTGATAGGATTCAGAAGGCATGAGCGCACATCGCGATGGAAGGAACTCACTGTCTAGGGTCCAGGATGTACTGCAGCCAGCTACCGGGCGTATATGGTACGCATGTTGATGTTATAGCCAAGGAGTTCTTGTATATCCTCAGTAGAGCCCATGCCTATTCACATGAGGGTGTGGTTGAGCCTTGAGAGAGGCTTGAGCAGTTGAGTACCTGGCTGCACGGTGTGTCCCTCGTACGGCCGACGACGCGAGCCACAGCGGAGTAGCGGGGCTCGAACCTTCTTTTCCAGCAACAGGCGCCAAGAGATATCGCTCTCCTAAATCCGCCCATATCCATGCAGCTCTTCGAAGGAGGCCATCACTTAAACCTGCTGTGTTGCTCCATTGGGGTATCTGACTGCATCTGACTGCGACGACGGCACTGAGCTCGCTTTCGAAAATAACGCGATGCCTAGTTGCCTTCGTGATGCTCAAGGCAGTCCATTCCAAATGCCTCGGTACCTTGCGGCGTCGGAAGCCGTATCTCGGAGTCTCTGCTCTGGCGTCGCACTCACGCATATTTTGGCTTGATTATCTATGTCTCTTGCCCTCCTGTTCGGTCGCCTTGCAGGATTTGTGACAACACCTTACCTTGCGATCCCCTCGCTTGGAGCAACCTCTGCACGTTCTCCCATTGCTTCTGTTCGGTCAAACTTCCGTTGACGTTCGCACTTCTAGCTATAAAGGTGAGTTTACATTGCTTCGTGTGATACGTTCTACCTCCCTGTCATTTTTGCCTCTGCTTCTCTTGCAATCATACCAGTCTCCCCATATATGAATGTCCGATGCTGAAGCTGTTTGATGTCTGTGTTGTGGGCCCGCGTCCGGGCGGTCTGTCGTTGTGCTAGTGCCTTGAGCAGGGGAGTGGCTGGCATTTCGGGAGTTCAATTGACACTTGTCGCGCAGGTGAGTGGAACGGCAGCGGTTCTTGAGCCGAAGCGTGCGGCGGTGGAGGCGAGCATATGTAGGCATCTGCCAAAATCATGTCTATATCAACCCCGACGTGACCGCAGGAATGCGACATAGAGCGGCGCTCACCTTCTGCTCTATCAAACCTGCCCGCCCGGATCGAATGTAGAATGCGAGACTCGTGCAGGGCGGCGGTTGCCACCGGTGCTTGTGGCGTGCACGTTCCCGAAAACCTTTCCCCGCAGTGGGATGGAACATGCTCGTGGAAGTGGGCAACGGTGAGTAGCCGATCTACATTGCTACATCATGGCCAATGATTTGTTGATAGCTCTCACAGTTCGTGAGGAAGACGCACATTAACGTGGTCGGATCTAAAAACCATGTGCAATGTTGTGGCGGCAAGGGAGTCTCGAGCATACGGTGACATGATGCATCGCCCGTCGTGGATGGCCCTTTCGTCCAATGAATCGAATGATGATATTCTGTCACCGACCTGAGCAGCGCTGACCTGCATCATGACTAGGGGATCCACGGTCGCAGTATAAATAACAATATGCGTACAAGTATTCCTACAGATTAGGCGGACACCGTTCGTAATGAAGCCGAGTCGCCACGAATATCAAAACGAGCGACGTTGGAGCAAGGAACGTGTCTAATGAGCGGCGGTGGCGTCTCACTCTGTTCATGCGGCGTCGTAGCTGCGCTTGTCGAAAGCGCGCTGATGTACGGTGCTGACCGTGTCGGCCTCCATCTCTGCCGTGACCTTGATGTTGATCCTTGCCGGACCGGAGTCAGGAAGCTGCGCGTCAGACAGAGCCCGTTAGCATCCGAGCGAGGCCGGCGGAGTAGCGACGAGCGAGTCATGCATCCTGTACGTACCTGAGGGGCACCCCACTGCTCGACAGTGGCGAGGTGGGTCGCACGGGAGATGATGTTGCGTTCGAACGAGGCAGGGCCAAAGATTTCCACGCCACGGCTGGCCATCAGCTTGCGGGAGTTGAGCCTGGGCGTCGTCGGCATCAGTGGGTATGCGGAGACGGAGAGGGCAGGGTAGACGTACACAGCCAGAAGCGTGTTTGCATATACTGCAGCGGGTGCGGTCGGTCAGCAACATGTACATCCCAGGGAAAAATAGCACTCACGCCGAGTTGCGATGTATGACACCGCAGCCCAAGTGAACGACCTCGGATCAGTGGTGGCCTATGGTGATGCTCATATCAGCTTCTATAGATACGCATTGAGGTGCGCGAGACGCACCAGAATAGATGGAATCATGTTGAATATCCTGTAGGTAGCATAGTGTGAGCGCTAGATGCGAAGGTAGTAGAGACTACACATGGTTCTCACCCCGTCATCAGACCTGCAAAATAGTATGAATTAAGAAACGAAGACGAAGGCTAATAAACGTACCGGTGTTCACGAAGTAGAGCATGAACCGGTCCGCACGACCATCCACTCCTCGCGGACCTATAGTAGATTGAGATCAGACTACTTGACCTGACGTGCCTCCAGACATGCGCAACACATACCGTACGTGTCGCGGCTGTATCGGAGTGCGACAATGATGGAACCCGCTAGCAGTAGATCTGCACCCGTAGCAAACCAGAGACCAGCGCCGAACAACCACTCCGTGTTAGGCCCGAAGTTCTCCAAGTTATGCAACTGTATCCTATGCGGAGTTGAGAATCGGGGACGATCGGAAGCAGACAAGAGATACCCACGCGACTACGGTCACGGCTGGTTACGAGGTGGGCTTCGTCAGAGGAGACTGTCAGAGCAGCGTGAGGTGAGAACGTACCAATTGCCATACCTAGAAATCGAAACTCAGTCGACGGACTCCAAACAGTAGGTGTGAGGACTTCAGCTTACCCAAGAAAGCGGCCAAACACAATGTCTGGGACCATTATCAGAATGACGTGAGGCACTGGAGCGAGTTGTGGTGGGCAACGTACAGCGATTCCGACCACGATCTTGAACCCGGGACCGACTGAAAATCAAAGTCAGCTATTTGCGCGTGACGAATTCAGACGTAATGCATACGCAGGGCGACTCTCCGGGCAAAGAACCTGCAGTGATACGTAGCTCGTTAGGCCCCGTTTTCGACGCATAAGAGGTCAAAGTAGCAACGCGTACGTCTGAGCTGTCAGAGTTATCGCAGCCTACAACACTCATGAGTTTGCGTTCTCCTTGTGCGAGCTAGCCTGATAGACGGGGACGTACCGAGACCGTAGGCGCAATCTGGGCGGGGGTGACTTCAGTTAGCATACGCCTCGGGTCATTTCGAGCAAGAGTCGCGCACCTGAACGGACCTACAGTATAATGAGCATGTGTCGAAGGATGTAGCTGACAGATGAAACGTACCAGATGCCTTGTGTGAGGGCTGTCGGGTCGAAGTAGTGCGTGACGAGAGCCCAATAGCTGGAGTGCGGAGAGTTGGAACATTGAACCGCCGCGTACGCAATACGAGAGACGTACCAAGAATGCATGAGCATCGGAATCTGAACGGTCTCCAAAATCCTGTCCGGCGAGCTCGTAAGCGTGGCCACCCCGACGATGCACATGAACCTAAGCGTACATCACAGCAACTACCTGCAGCGGGGCTCAGCCAGATATCGATCATGCAAGCTCGGACACGTACCAGAGTGCGGATGAATGCCGTATCCGTAGGATAAAGGCGCACATAACGATAAAACTGGAGGAGGCTGATGCCATACAGCCTAGCATGGACCAAGCAAAGTTCGTCGGTCTCCTAGATGAAGCTGCGCGAGGGACTTACACGAGGCTAAGACAGGTGCCGATCAAGTATGCACCATATGTCTTTTCAAGCGTCGCAGAGGCTTCCGCAAGAAGGGGCTGCAGTGCGGCGGCGGAAGACATCTTGGCCCCGTAAGGCGGGCAAGCCGTGGATTGGGTGAGAGCCGGAGGTGGTGGGGATGGGGTAAAGTGCGTTTGGTGGCCGGGGGACTATATCCGCGGTGGCACTGATCGACCGTCGCTGAGAACAAATTATGCCACAAGTAAGCGAGATCAGACGAAGGGCATAACGCTAAATCGAACCGCAGAAGAAGCAGACCCCTCGACAAATCACCGTGTCCGCTCTCGCCGAGACTCCAAGCCGATCAGCGAGGCCCGCATGTGGCTGTTTCTCCATCAGAGACGCATTGCCACGAGCTACCGCTCCCATCAAGTGGCTAGACCGCTCGTAGAAAACCGAATTAGGCTTCTCCTATACTAGCCTCCTAGAAAGTGGCTCGGGCCTAGCGACCAAGAATATGTGAGGGGATCGTCATGAATTCGAACCTGATTGCGGAACGCCCACAAATACTGGAGTTCCTTCTCCCGTCGAGATCTCGAACAGCAGCCCCTGAGAGAATGTCGGTACGTTTCCATGTCCACAAGCTACAGTGTGGGTCACTACGTTGAGAATGAATTGTCGTCGGAGAGTCCGCATTGGTGCAAGAGGCAGACCGCATGGCGGCCGGACTCATTGATGACGCGCGAGTGAGCTGGACGGGCTACCCCCAATTATGTAGCATGCCGCGATGATGTCAGGCGCTCAGAATAGCCAGCGCAACATCAAGCGATAGTTGCGTTATACTCCTGCCTTCGTTGTTGTATAAGCTGTCAGTGCAAACTTCGAGAATGATTAATGGTGCATTAACTGACACGAAAACCTCGTATCATGGGGGGTATGCCACAACTGTTCACTTGAGCCTTCGCCGCACACCCTTAGAGTGTAGTGCTACACGATACGAACCCGCTGGTCACCGATGTCTCGTCGTGGCTTCTCTGCTCGTCGTCTCAGTCTGGGGCTGTGGAGAGTTGCACTGAGTTACCGGGCTACACGGGCGACATAGCTAGCTCACCACAGTTCTAGCTCACGGACCAAAGCTGACTCGATGTTGCAACTGACCCCGATCGACCAGTAGCCTTCTAACTCGATTGTTAAAACAGCATGATGAGGCATGTCTCCCCTAACCCCCACTTCCAGCTCACAGACAACGATGGTAGTGCATCAGCCATGATTTTAGATACACAGGACAAGCGGTCGTACCCACCTTCCTGTCAAGGTCGATACAAAGGAGGCGCAAACGAGGTCGTCGTTCAGGTGGCACTGTAACAGAAGAATCAACACATTCGCTTCGCCTCGCCGTCTGCACTGTGTACAATGACAAGGGCCGTCATTTCATAGCTCCTGAAAACCCGTCAGAACACGTAGAGCACCAATGAATGGAAGGCGAAGCACAGGCACATGCAAAAACCATCGGAGTGTCGACGAGACGAAGCAGCGGGATATCTTCGCCATTTTCGTGGCTTAGGGTGTTTGTCAGATGGAAGAGTGTCAAAGGATCGATAAAGGACCTGGATGAGTCGGGCGAACTCGGGAGTAAGTTTCGGCGGGGGACGATGCAGAGCTCGACGACGTGAATCCGGGTGCTGTCCTTCTCGTTCTTCTCGAGATCGAGATCGACCCCGTCACGGCAGTTCGGTGAGCGTATGCGAGGGAGGTGGGGGCCTCGTACGCGTGCGGGGGTTCTTGGGGGCGCGCCGCGCCGCAACGGGACGCGCGCATCCGCTGGAGAGGAAAGTTGGGGCGGCACTCCGAGCGACGCGACCGTGATGCCAGTCTCTAGGTGCATGACGATGAGCAGGACGTTTCTGGCCGACTAACTCGAGTTTGATATCCGTAGGGCAAGTTAGTTGGCCGTTAAGTTGCACTGTGGTCGAGGATGTTCCTCGCATGAATCATCTCGGCAGGGTTTTGTGGACAGCCGCCGATCCACCGAGAGGATCTATCAAGACCAGGTGGTGAGTACTGTGCTCCGAAAAATCCACAACAACGTGTGTTTTGTAACGTAGTTCTTTCACCATGCATCCCCAAACAAGACGCAGAGAAGGATGACCGAGCGGCTCACAGTTCCACGCTATAATCTGCGGCCGCATTGTACGAGAGGAGTATATGTACTTACCCGAACGATGCCCAAAAGACAGAATGCTTCCGTCGCACTCTATTTTTCCTGGGAGATGCACTTTGAGGATGTCCGAACCCGTCAGAGGCCGGAGAACCGAAGTGCCGCCTGTAAAAGGGTACCGATCAGCATTCGATATTTGAGCCACCTGCGAGCCACGTCCTGAAGTGCATAATCTCAGTAAGCACATTATATGAGATGCATCTGCAACGTATAGCATCTGAACGTCCGCAAAGAACGACGCAACAGGATGCTTGGCGTACGGCACGCGCATTCGAATCGCAGACAGATATCCTGAGCCCTTTCGGGTAGATGCTTGGGTTTGTATACGGACCAGAAGCCAATATGCGCTTACCTGTTTCAAGTCCAACGTAGGAAGATAGTCGACTATGACTCTGCCCGAGGCCGAGGTCTGCCTGTCGTCACCGTGGAAGACCATAGTAGGCGTGCAGCAGTATTGAGCTCTGAGATCAGAGATTTTGGCTGTGCAAGGTATATTCACAGGGCGCAGCGACGGATTTTCGCGGAAGATGATGGGCGCGTAATCCGGGCATTACGGCCAGATGTTGTGTAGATTATACATGGATGTCCTTTGCAGATCATCTTCCATCTAATTCACGGATTTCGCTCACATTATGAACACATTCCGTCCGCCCGATCCAGAGGCTTCATAACCCGCTGGATATTCTGCGGATAAGTCCCAAACGGGTAGGTTCGCGGTCACGATATTTGCAACGCGATCGCGACGCGACGCGTTTAATTAGGCGCTCCGCCGCCACTCATTCTCTTTCTCTCTCTTGCTTCCTCTATGGCGCCCCAGAGCCGCTGGCAGGATCTGGTAGACTGCACCTGTAGACACTATGGCTGTGGAGACACGATGAAGGGCTCAAAACCGCAGACAGTGAGTAACAAGGGTCGCCATGTCCGCGCGGATCTATTCGACAATGCAGAAGCAGCCGCAATGGCGGAGTCACTCGCACCGACTATATGCGCCCCGGGGACCCCTCTTGCCTCTGAAAACGCTCTTGGACCTACTGTGGGACACTCTATGGGCACCGGGATGGCAGCACAAACGACTGGAGATCCTGTGTCTTCCTCTGAACTTGATACATTTGCTGGGGAAGTGTCTGACGACGACTTGGTCGATCTGCCTCCACAAGAATTTATAAATTACCCTCCTGAACTCCTAGACGATGCCGGGGACCCATCTGGAGACAACAATGATACCCTTGTCGACATCGAGGATGACGGACCTCCGTCTCTTGCTCAGCTGCGATCTCGAGTTGTGGAGGCCGTCAACCCAGGCCCTGCTCCTGCTCCTGCTCCTGGTGGCGACGAGCCCTTCCCTCTCTCTGTGGAAATGGACTGCACTCAAGACGACGCTGCTCGCAACCTAGTCCCACCTGCGTTCTCTGAGCACCCGAGTATACGCTTGCTCTACCTCCAGACGGTCCTCCAGAACGTCTTCAAGCGCGAGACCCAAGAAGACGCTGCTGCCAGGCTCGCGTATGGCTACGACCTGATCGAGGTGGCGACTGGCGCACCTCTTCCAGCCTATCCGAAGCCAGCTCGCACCCTCGTCACTGCTCGGCGCCGTTTGGGACTCAACGTCGATGACTACATCGAAAAGCACCCACAGTGCTGCATTTGCTCGAAGTTCTACACCACCGAGCAGATGTTAGCGCTTCCCTCCCCCGCCTGTCTTGTCCGGCGCTGCAAGGGGATCATCTGGGGCATCAAGCGCAATGGGGCCGGCGTTGAGAAGCGCGTCGCACGCAAGATCCAGTCATATGCGCCAATCATCAAGGGCACAGCGCGTTGCCTCCTCCGCCCGGACTTTGTACAGCATCTCCGTTGCTCATCCGAGCGAAACACGGACCGACCTCCTCTTCGCGACGACGAGCAAATGCACGACTTTCACGACGGTCTGGCCTATGGTCAACTGGAGCTCGGAATCGAGCGTATCAAGCTTGCGGATGGTGCTATTGCAGACGTCAAGACCCATCGCGGTGCGGAACCATTGAGGCTAGCCTCTGCCAGGAGAGGGCTGAGCTTGGGCCTGTACGCTGATTGGTACGTATGCGTTCTCGAGTCCTGATGTTTCTGATAAATCTAACCATGCTTTTTGATAGGTTTGGTGTTATTAGCGGCAGACCGCATTCATGTGGTGCAGTCTATCTAGTCTACCTTGACCTCGATCGCTCCGTGCGATATCTCCAGCGGAATGTTCTGCTAGTTATGAACATAGCAGGCCCGAAAGAGCCGTCTCTTGAGGAGATGAATCACCTCCTTGAACCATTTGTCAAGGAGGTCAACATCCTACGGTGTGGTAAGCTCAAACTACTCGGCACGTTACAGAAGCACACTAATTAGTATGACTTCGACTCCCGTGTATGAGGCATCCGTTTCAATGTCTACGGTCAGCCCGAGCCGGTGGATTTCTTCGGCGGCATCGAGCTGCGAGTATTCGATGTCATGGGGGCCCGCAAATGTGAGGGTGCTGCGTCACATGCTCACAAAACGCACATGTGCAACTTCTGCCATGCGACGCACGACGAGATCAACCTGGCGTCAGGATACGACGTTGAAAGTGAGTCTATTCCGTCGTCTTAGTAGACACACAAATAACGAAAGTCTTATACAGATTTCCGAATGCGCGATGACTTTGAGCAGCTCGCGTACGCTTGGCGCTCTCGCGAGGCAACTAGCGCGAGGGCGCGCAAGCATATACTGGATGAGGGCGGGTCGAGATGGACAGAATTCATGGCAATCCCTGGCTGGATGCCCGTCTCCCGTGCGGCCCTCGACTACATGCACAACTTCTACCGTACGTCATTCAAGCTCTGGTACCTTTCTCTCCTCATGCTTGCAGCACAGTCGGTATCATGAAGAACCTGTTTATGGACTTCCTGGTGGACGGGTACCTGTTCAACAAGAAGATGTGGGATCAATTCGACGTAATCATGGCGTCGATAAAATGGCCATCGGGCATTGGACGCCTTCCCACAAATGTGAGTGTTGCGATATTTGCAGATTCCTGTAGCTGATATGTATTCACTCGTAGTTAGGGGAAAATCATTCTCTCCCTAAGGCTGACCAGTGGCGACGCTGGCTGAACATCCAGCCGACTATGCTCTGGCTCTGCTGGCGCGACGCGGAGGACCGCATCTCTCGTACAGCTCCCGACATCCCTGGGAATGCGAAGAGTACTCCGATGTTCCTCCGCAACCTTAAGGAGATCTACGACATCTTCCTTTACGCCTCTATCGCCGAACGAATCCTCGCAAGCGAGAGCATATCCATGGAGGAGGTACACCGAGGACACCGCTATCTACGGCGATGCTGCCAGGAGATGCTCCGATTGGGAATTCACCTCGTGCCTAACCACCATTTAGCGATGCACTATCCCGACTTCTTTCGCCTCTTCGGACCTGTATATGCTTGGTGGCTGTATGCGCAGGAACGCTTCAACGGCGAGCAGGAGAGGGTGAACCACAATGGGAAGGCAGGCGGAGAGATGGAGCTTACGTTGCTCCGTAACTGGGTGGGAAAGCATCGCTTCTACGAGCTGGTAAGATCCTGATTATCTACAACATATGCTGCTGACAATGCATTCCTCAGTTGACCTCACTCCCAGAGTCCGCCCTGCCCCAGGAACATGCCATGGTTGACCGCATTGCAAAGGCGAGCGGCATTGTGCGCGGTACACTGCTAAACCAGCTTGCCGGGTTCGCTACGGGAGTCACCATTCTCAAACCGAAGTCGGTCAAGAAGTTCACTGACCTCCGCAAGCTGCCGCCGTATGTGTACAACCTACTACTGAACTTCGCACGCCAGACCTGGCCGGATACCCGAATCGCTAACGACTTCAATTGCGATCCAACTGCGATCACCTTCGCGGCGGACCACTGCGCTCGCAAGCTCCCGTTTATCTCCAAGGGCGGCGCGCGCTACGGGAGTGTTGCGGATAATCGCACGGACGCAGACCAGATAGCCTGTGTCAACTTCGAGGACTCACGAACACCGTGCAGGATACTCTATCATTTTGAACTCACTGTCGGCGATTGCACTCCCGTGATTTGTTCTATTGTGGAACGCCTTCAAGCTGATGACCGCATTCCAGCATTCCCATGGTCGATGTAGTACGTTGATTGTTGCATCCAAAGCATTGCGTAGACTCACTCTTTTCCAGCTCAACCGATCTCGGGATTTACGTCACGTACGCTGAGAGATATCAATCTCCCGAAGTAATCATGTCAACGCAGCTGGCCGCGGCAGTCGCAGTCATCCCGTTTACCTCCAAGGTCCTTGGGGAAGCACACCCATTGTGGGCCGTGCACTCATTTGATCGCGTGAGTCACCTTGCTTCTCCTTAGATTGTGCTCATTACATCCGGATAGACTGGAATCGAAGTCAACGATGATTGGTTCAATGACCTTGCGGAACAGCTCGACGCCGATATCCCCGACATTTAAAATACACCGCTTCGTCTAACCATCATTACGACAGCTTGAACATCCTATCAATGTCCGCACCCCCGGCCACGAGGTCAAGCTGCGCCTGCGCCTCAGCGACGTCTGCTACGTTCCCCACACGCCGTATCTTCTTTCCTTTCCCTCCTCGGTCCTGCACCCTCTTCGCCTGCGGCTTTTCATCTTCCTTCGGATCCTCCAGATCACCCCATGCAACACCGCTAGGTGCGACGCGACCCGTGGCAAGCCACTCGGGATGATCCTGCAGGTATGCATTGCTCACCTGCCAAGCACGCACACGTAGGCTGAGCCGGATGATGAACTCTGAACCTGGAAGGCTGTAAGCCGCACAAAGAGAGGTCTTCAGTCTGTGAGAGAACGACTATGATTGCATAGTACTGTACCTGTAAGCCGCACAAAGAGAGGCTACAAGTACTAGTAAGTAAACATGTAAGGAAGCATAGGTAGTGTGGGACTTACTCTTCAGTCTGTGAGAGAACGACTGAAGAGCAGAGGCCTGCAGAGTCCTCCTTATATACTACTGGGGAGGACGATGAGTAAGCGTATAAGAAGAGAGCATGTGACGTCCAGAGGACGCTGACTGAGCGATGAGTAACGCTGAGTAAGGGAGCATAATCGACATAAGGTCAGATAGTCCATGGCTGAGTAATGCGAGTAATCCGGACGCTGTCTAGAATAGTCCGGAACATCGTAGAACGTACCAGAATCATGTGGAGGGATGGCAGGATGCCAAGTAAGTACAGAACAAAAGAATGTACGTATATGGTAAGTAGGAAAGTCCATGCTGGCGTATGGTAGACGCACAGCCACTATCACTGCCACTCCCGGTCCGGCACAGCCGTAGACACAGAAGTTCAACACCGGAGGGCCTTGGGGGGTGCCGCGTCAGGTTTCGACGCGCCTCTGATGCGCGGGACCATTGCGCGCTCCTTATCGGGGTTTGGGTCCGGCAATGCGTCGATGAAGTCGTAGAGTTCCTGTACCTATTCCGTCGTCGAACGGTGAGTATCTGGATGACCACGACGGACGTCGACAAGTGTATACTCACTTCTGCGCTTCGATATCCAGGGGCCCGGCTGACGTATCGCGTCACTTTGCCATCCACAACAGGTGCGTCCTCGTCATCCTCGTTGTCGGACATTGCATTGACTGCAAATGCGCCATCGTATTTCTTGTCCTCATATTTAGTTCCGGGGCGCTTTCTGGAGCGCTGTGCCGCCTTCTGCAACGTTTTCAGGCCTGGGTAAGTGGTACTCATGTCATAATACGAACACAACACTCACCCCTTTTGCACGCGAGATCAGTGTTTGCCGTTTCGTGCCGGTTGGCTCCTTGACAACATCCGCTGCGACAAGTTCACCGTCTCCAGCACCATTGGTACCCCCCTCGCCTCCTACACCTCCAAGCGGCTCGTCGTCCTCCTCCTCCTCGTCCTCGTCTCTTATTGGGCTGGACGAACGTACGGCAGCGGCACCTGTAGCACCGACGGTACGAGCCTTTGCTGCCATTGCACGTTGATGCTTACGTGCCTCTTGCTTCATGTACTTCCATCTCAGCTCCACCCGTTGGGCGAGATCGTACTCGAGGATGTCGTCAAGATCTTCCCGCGCTTTCGGAAGGGACGAACGGCCGGAAGCTTCGATCCAGCGCAGGACTCGCTTCAAGCCTTCTGCGTTCACCCTCGAGGTCTCCGACTGATCCCATCGAAAACGAAGGAGCGCCTGCTTTGAGTGGTCGTCGACAGGCCAAGCAGTGTCCTCCTCGGACAGGCCATCAGGATATGATGGCAGCTCAGGCCCGGTGAGCTTGCCCACGCCCATTAGTCGCATGAACGCCATATTAATGACCGCCTGATCGCAGCGGCGCGACGGTGACCACACCAGGTGAGTATCTCTTGTGCGCGTCTATACTGTTTGACTGACGCACCTTTATCGTCGCGCGTGTAGCAGCCTCTTCACTGCGCTTAATCTCTGCGATGGTCGGACCGGCTGAGGCTGCCGCGGGGCCAGACTCGGTACCTGCAAGCTCGCGGTCTCGCGGAGCACCCTGGACTCCTCTGCTATCCCCATCTTCGCCCTCGCCCTCCTCTTCCAGCCCCATATGGTCTATAAGACTCGAGATACGCGCTTCTGCTGCCGAGAGCCTCGCTTGTAAGACCTTGATGGCTCCATACAAGACCGTCTCATGCTTGGCAGCGTCCTCCCTGGCCTTCCGGAGCTCAGCCTTCAACTCTTCGACCACGGACACGACTCCGTTCAACCTCGCGGTGTTCAGATTGGCCGTGTTGCCATTCCTCGCCGGGAGTGCGGGGGGCTGAAGGGGCGCGCCTGCGGTTCGCGGCGCGCCGGGCTGCGAGGGCGCGGCGGCGGGCTGCTGTGCGGACAGGCTTTCCGAGGCGGACATGGTTGGTTCTGCGAGCGCGCTGCCCTCGCCCTCTCTCTGTTATCATATTCCAGGCCTTCTCATGTACTTCGCTGGCCGTCGAATGTATCAATCTCGCGTTTGATTTGCTTCCTGTCGAGTGCACACGAAACCGGCGTATCTGCAGCCCAAACGGATTCCAGGCACGGGAGCCCGCTGTCTGCCCCATGTCCTGCCTATTCGGGACTTGTCGTAATTACATAATGACCAGCTCCTCGAAAAGCCCCGACCCCAGTCCAGATGTTCTTCTGAGAGGATGTGTGGGTGAATGAGAGTGAAATGTGGAGGTAATGAGCGTGTTATGTGGACATCGACGACAAATCCGCCTCTGACCATAATGTCGGAGGAACATATGCCTAATCCGGCCGTAATGTGTACATTACGCGCCCATCATCTTCCGCGAAAATTCGTCGCTGCGCCCAGTGATTGTCGAATCAAACGAAGCGAGGCAGCTGGAGTAGATGCGACCGCAGGCCAGTATACCTGCAGAGCTGGGTTGAAGAGAGAGGAAGAGAGAGAGCGGCGGCAGCAGCCGCGACGGTTCAGAATATTGTGAGGCCCGATGACGTCACGCGCACATGGCCGGGTTAAATTCCGGCGCTAAACGGACGCGCTTCTCTGAACCTCTCCTTCAGACCGCCGCATTCGCTTTCCTCGTTAAATCTGTCTCTTGTCCTGGAATTCATGGATTGTTCTTCCCGTTCATAGCTGTAGCAATGCTCTCGAACTGGGTAGATTCTGACGCGCCCATAACGCCAGCGATATCATCTTGCCAAGACTCAGCCTGGCCATCAACGATACTAGCTTTCCTAACCCAGTACTCCCAATATTTGTAGGTCGCCTTGCTGTTCCAGTACCCTCCCATGTGACGATGTCTGCTTGTTCTTAACATTCTCCGCCTTCGTACTCGCGTAGTCGGCCAGCAAATGTAGACTCGCAGGTGGCCTAACGTAGAGGAAGACTACACAAGCATGGACCAGTCCAAGACTAGAGCAGCTGGCGAAACCGAGCCATATATCGTCACTGCGACCGCTCTATGCAGTACGTCCGTACATCTGCTATATCACTCTCTAGTTCTTTCGAAATTATGACATAGGCTATCGGCAAGGAAACCACTTGCAGCGGCGACGAGGCGTACCATCTGTTTGGCACTGCGGCCACAGATATCCCGGACTGGCATTCTCGCTTGGTGAGCTTCATCGCAATATCTCGGGCTTCGCATACCAAGCGCGTCCAATTGCGTTTGCCTAACCTGTGTCATAAATACTAGGGACGAATCCTTGGGACGGGTCCACGCGATCTCGTCTGCGCAAACGAATCTACTCCGGTGTAGGTCCCGGAGCTCTCGCGCTATCTCAGGCGAGCACGCGGCGACAACCCCGCACGGCGCGTCGAAGAGCTGCAACGCAAGATTGACGTTTGCGGCAACACGGTCATGTTGACGGTTTGGTACGTGCACAAATGTTTCCAGAATTTACGCCCTACATTTTCAGCGCTCAAATACAACTCTTCACGAGTATCTAGCAATTCTACGCTCCATTTTAACACTCACCTCGCTATCTCCTCATAGGTTCTATGGCAGCTCTTTTCAATGCGGTGAGATTATGACCTTATAAGTCGCGCACATCCCGCCAGCTGGACATCGCAGTGTGTCTAGACGTGGTGCATATACTCGCATCGGACAATGCGGCAATGGTCTCCGTCTTCGCAGTACCTGCTGAGGTATAGTCCTCGATCCCGCTTGTACACATAATCTGTGCCCGGCGACACGTTCGTCATCGGCTTGCCTCTGGCGCAGTGGCCGGCGCATCGATGCACCAAAAAAACACAACGCGAAACCCCTCATCGGAGAGCGAGAGCACCGCAGCAGAGCTACATAATTTGACGCTGATGCAACATCAGACAACTCGTATAAGTTATTATACACATCCGTTTTTTCCCTCCCACACTGAGACGCTTCTCGCCACAAACCAGCTCATACAGTATCAGCGTAGTCGCGCTTGTCGAGGCCGCGGCGCTCGATCGTGCCCACGCTGTCCATTTCGCTCTCTGCGGTGACCATGATGTTGATCTTCGCAGGACCAGACACCGGCAGCTGCGGTGACCGCCACGAACAAGACAGCGGCGTGAGCATCTGTCCGATGCTAGTTACGCGGTGGACGACGCACCTGAGGGGCGCCCCACTGCTCGGCGGTGGCGATATGGTTCACGCGCGCGATGATATTGCGCTCTAGCGTAGCAGGGCCGAAGATCTCGATGCCACGACTGGCCATGAGGTTTCGGGAGTTGAGGCTTGGGCGGTCATGATCAGGTGGGACGCGGGCGGGCACTCCAGGATAGTAGACCTACACGGCAAAGAGGGTGTTGGCGTACACTGTGGCGTGATGTGTGGCTTGTCAGGGAAACGGCGTCGGGGAGAGGGTATGTGGAACTCACGTCGAGTTCCGACATATGATGAGGCTGCCCAGATGAACGTCTTCGGGTCCATCGTTGCCTGCCGGACACGTCGTATCAGCAGTTAACAATACGCGTAGCATTTCTCGCAATATACCAGAATGGACGGGATAATGTTGAATATCCTATACAGCATAGAAGGTGGTTAGATACGCCGACGAGAGAGGACGCGCAGCGTTGCTCTCACCCCGTCATCAATCCTGCGGACTACGTCGTCAGCCTCTACCTGGGCGTGCAAGCGGAGTTGGCTTACCCGTGTTCACGACGTAAAGCATAAAGCGGTCTGTCCGACATTGCACCCCTCGGGGATCTGCGATGAGAGTCAGAGGTCGGGAGTGTAACTCATCATATTGCACCTACTGTACGTATCGGGGCTGCTTCGCAATGCGATTATGATCGAACCCGATAGCAGCATATCGGCAACTGTGGCGAACCACAGGCCTGCACTGAACAGCCACTCCGTCTCGCGCCCGAATTGTGTAAGATTGTGCAGCTGCGTCCTGTATTGCACGATTGAGCGGCCGAAGCAGGCGGGCATCAAAGAAGGCTGCTCACGATATCACGGTCACAGCTGGCCAGTTGTTTTCTGATCAGTGATTGAAGCCTGCGGCAATGAGAGAGAATGGGTATACCAATTGCCATCCCTGTAATGCATGATTCAGTCGCACATCTCAGTTACGTCGCAGTAGTTGTGCTCACCCAAGAATGTGATCAAGCAGAACCACTAGAAACTATCAGTACGACCCAGAAGGGGTAATTTCTCATCACGACTTACAGCGATTCCTACCACAATTCTGTACTTGAAGCCGACTGGCAACAAACGTTAGCCTTTCCCGGACGTGTGGCACGAGAGTTTCGACGCTTACGTAGGGCGACTCTCCGAGCGAAGAATCTGCAACGATGAACAAGTCGTTAGAATTCTGCCAGTTTAACAGTGATGAATGGGGCGTGCGTACGCCTGGGCGGTCAAAGTTATCAAAGCCTAGCTCATCTGCAGTCAATTTCGAAGTCGAGTTCGTAAATCGAAGAACCTACGCTGATCGTTGGCGAGATCTGCTCGGAGCAATAATGACTTTAGTACTGTCACTCGATGCGACTCAAGGCAGCGATAACATCATACCTCAACAGACCTATGTTACAATAAATATGTGAACGAGAGTAGAGTGCATGTCTGTGGCTGACCATATGCCCTGCGTGAGCGCCCCCGGATCGAAGAAGTGCGTGACGAGTGCCCAGTAACTATAAATAAAGGATAAGGGTTGAGAAGCCTCAGAGAGAGGTCGAATAGCGTGCCATGTATGCATGAGCATAGGAACCTGCACGGTTTCCAGAAGCCTGGCAGGTGAGATTGTGAGCGTGGCTGACCGTCCACATGTATGCAATTGAGACCATACATCACAGCGACGACCTATAGAAGCATATTCAGCGAGTACCCATCTATGCATGCGCACAAACGTACCAGGGCCCGGATGAATGGCGTATCCGAGGGGTACATACGCACATAGAGAAAGAATTGATGTAGGCTGACACCATACAGTCTGTTGCGGCGTTCGTGGTCGTCAGGCTGAGGTTTCCGAATAGAAAGACGAACGACTGACATGATACTGAGACACGTTCCGAGCAAATACGCGCCGTAAGTCTTTTGAAGCGCTGCAGAGGCCTCTTCAAGTACCAGGGAGTCCATCGTGGGCGACACGGATCGCGAGTAGCTGGAAGACAGTGAGGGGCCTGAGGCGATAGAGCCAAGGAGAAGTGCCTTATGAGCAAACCGGGCTGCTGTGACTGTGATAAACTTCAGCAAGAGATAGTATAAAACGAGCGGGATGATGAACTCAGGCTAAAAGACAGGACCCCAGCCGGCCACAGATGGAAGCAGGACTGTATTGAAGGAAGTCCCGTTCCTGTCCTCGCCTGGCATTGGATCAGACATTCATGCCATGGGCTGTGTGATTGTTCTATCGGCTTCGCCACGCATCGCAATCGAAAAAGGCTGCGGCGTAGCCTAGGAGTTGTTGCAAACTACGAGAGCGGCTCCGTTCTGTGGGTGACTCCAGGATGTGAGGAAGCGCACACTGTATATTGAATTTACTTACTCCTCGGTAGTATGGCTAATAAACGATGCCATGAGACCAAGCCAGTAGAGGTGGCTCGGGATGCCAAAGGACAAGAAGAGGAGCAAATGAGAGGAGCCCATCCCAGGTTTGAGTCCTACTAGTGGGACACAAGCACGTTCATAGTGGGAGCGCCGCTGAGACCATAGTGATAGATGTCAGACCTGTCTTCGATAGACTCTCACTGACTCTTACGTACAGGATAAGCCTCGTGGGTGCTCAGACCGTATTTGGTCAGGCGATAGTAATACACAGTCGGGGCGCCATTATTTTGACCCGCCTGAACGGGTCGCCAGAGTTGACGCGGGTGAGCATTGCAGTTTGAACCCCTAGTAGCAGAAAGCATAGTCAGTCAACGTTACAAGGTTCTACTGCCGGCCAGTACCTAACACGCCGGCGTGCTATAAGCGGATGTGCGATGTGCGTAATCTTGCGATCAGTGTAGCACCGTGCTCGAGGGCGGGGTCCGTGCTAATACGAGGCTGTACCTTGCTCATTGTCAGCTACAGCCCCTTGCGGTCATTCTCAGGCACGTACGTCCAGATGTATTTGAAGATAGGCCTCAATTATATAGAGAAAGACCTAGGGAGTGTATCCGTCAGCTGGCATCTCACTCATTGCATATCGACTTACAGGTTGCATCCGGCGTTTAACTCTTCAGTAGTGTTTTTAGCGTGTATCTGGAATCCCGTTTACGTTTTCCTAGAAGATGAAGATATCGATGCACTAAATCTTCTGCGGTGTCGTGAGAGTATCCTAACGCGGCCCGTAGCAGTGCGAAGTTCGATGGAGGCACAGGTCGGAAATCAGAATCCTAAAGACACGGTCATTGATACGTTCAAAGTGTATGAGTTAGCCTGAGTCACAACGCGCCCCATCAGTCCAAAATTGACGCTACGAACCTTGATAGCTTGACTGTCCAGCAGTCGTGACTACTAGTGCACAGCTCATATTCTGAGCGCTAGAAATATCCTCCGATGTCGTCGCCCGCAGTCAACTCATCACCATGTTTCAATCTGTGTACATGCCCTTACAGCATCCTCAAAAGATCTCGTGCCGGATATGAGATGTTGTTCCTGAAAGAAGATGTTGATGAGCGCATCTACCCTCAGCTACGGCTACCGGTGCTCATTTCGTGTTGCACAATCTTCGAGAAGCGTCACGGTATAGCGCGGAACGTGGGTAACATGACTGTTGGATGACGCTGAGCGAGAGTAAACTTACAGTACACGACCTTGCCTAAAATGCGCCCTTCGTCATGCACGCCGCCGATCGCACCGCGCTTCAAGAAGCACCGTCCTCAAAACTCGAGGAGAGAGAACATTCGCTACCTTGATGCTGACCACTGCAGCAGACTTGCCCTCCACTCCTACACTCGGCCTAACGCATGGCGGGGCGGAACGCATAGCTGTAGATTAGATTGTCATTAAACGCATGAACATCCGAGTTACGCATGCGATACAGCGGCCATCTCTACCCAGCGTCTTGAATGGTACGGGCTTTCAGGTGGTCGCACTTCGCACCGGTGACGCGCTCGTTCCCATGTTCTACCTGGATAATGAGGAAGGCCAGCGTGCGCATATTGCATGGTCACGTCCAAACTGGGGGCTCGAGTAGCAAGGACGGTGTTGGTATACTTAGACTGTCAATCCAAGCCGAGATGACACGAAGAAGTTCGTTACCAGATTCGCGTGGCTGAGATTGCGCTCCAACACGCGCGGCTCCTTTGCAGAACGTGGACCCTACATACTTCATATGCAGAGCCAGCACTGTATGCAAAGCGTAAAAACACTGTGCAGAAAATGCTTGTGAGCCTCACGCCCAAGCCCAGCCGGAGACCTGTACAAGAACGGCAATCTAACAGAGAACTTGTAGACGGTGTTCGCACTCGATCCCGATGACACCGACGGCTCGATGGCGATTCAGGCCCCCTGAGCCTCGACAGTTACGGCGATGTTGATGGCAGAGCCGTCAGAAGAACGCATATCGATGCTCGACTACTTCACCGGAAAGCACATCGTCGAAGATACCTACCGGGCTGACTATGCGCGCGGACGTGCCATACGCTCCCAATCATGCTTCCCCGTTCTCCAGGATGCCGGCCGCAAGTTCGCCCGTCAGTCCTTTCTGTGCTGTCTTTCCCATTCGCGACCGCACGCTGAGTCCTGCGTCCGCACACCCTCGTCGGTGGAGAAGCTCATGAGCATATCGCGTGCGGCCACCGCAATGCGCCTGAGTTCCCGGAACACAAGTGTGCTCATCCTTGTCGTACATGCATGCTGCCATTGGGATGAGGTAGTATAGTATTTATTTGCGCACCTGCTTTTAGCGGATGAAGGACTCCGAGACGCATCGTGCGCTCGCGTAGGAGCTCAGCACGAGAGCCGTTAAGGGGCGCAACTTGCGATGACCTCCGCGATCGCCATCTGAGGAGGGCAACGGTATCAATAGTATTTCGGACGCAAGGCGGCCAGCTATACATTTGCGAGTGGTAGCTCTTGTTGGTGGCCTCGTGCGTCACCAGCCTGACAGTGGGAGGAGGAGGAGGAGGAGGAACAGTTCGGAAGTTGAGCAGGTTGAAGCACTGTTGACGCGGACGGGTGAACCGGCAAGGACCGGTTACCGCCAGCGCGGTCAGCGCTTCAGCAAGCGCCCGAGCGCTACTTTGTACGAGCCAAGTTACATCCGAGTCGTAACCTCCGAGGAGCCTCGTACAAGGTTGGACTTGTAGGAGCAACGTCTGCAACAGCAATATCGTCAAAAGGCACATCTTCGCTCTAGGGAGGGCTCGCAGCTTTGGACACAAGGTCCAGTTTTCAAGCGCATTGCCATCACCGATCGTCACTGGCAGTACCGACTGGATTCGATGTCTTGCACTCCGAGTCGCACACTGTGGTGAGTACTATTGGGAATATATCTCCAACGGGATCCGATTGATGTTTACTGGCGTTGTTAAACTTCTGAGCGCTCCGCGGAACACAGGGGGCTCCTCTCATGACACTGGTTGCGTGGCGAACCACTGGCCAAGCCCGGGGTCAGACGACATATTTGCGCTTCAGGGTACTGGGGTGACGGCCCGCCAACCAGTCCACAGTCATCCAGACTACTGACGCGACCCCAGTGCGCCGGATCTCGAATCGCTGTATAGCATGCTCCGGGAGCGGTAGCTGGAAGTCTACAATGCATATAGACGCTGTCGCGCCACCGTGGGGATGGGTGCCCCATCTTTCGGAGGCGTTCAACTTGCGGCGGCCTGGTGGAGCCACGAGGTGAGCGTTTTCCGGACATATCACTTGGCACGTGCGCAACTCCGGATGCTCAACTACCATGAACAAGATGGTTCTTTGGCCTGTGTTCGCCGGCACTGGCAGCCGCAGCAAGAAGGCATTGCACACCCTTCGCTCCAAACCCTATAAGACAAACTCCGCTGCGGACTGGCTTCGCATCGTGATACCGTGGTCAACTCTATTGGAAGTACGTCATTTCAATCTGAATTTGATCTCCACATATCACCTCAAGCCTCAAGTGAACGCCGAACCCGAGCTGTGTTTGCGCTCGATATCATGATGCATCGTTCATGGGGAGAGAAGAAAAATGGCCGGATTTGTATTCAAGCCAGCAACACGCTGGCGCATTTGCACACGTGTTGCACTCACTCTCTAACGCCCGCAGGCTGACACATCACATGAACTGTCGACAGCGGTCTTGTTGTATGGGAAGACCCACGAGCGCACTTTGGGCTTCTGAGGGTTGCTTCGCTGCTTGACGGCCTGTTATACTCCCGTCGCTCATCATTCTCATCCAATTTCACAGATCCCTGCTCTACACGTGCAGAGTGTATCCGATAATCAATTAACTGTCGCCAGGGTGGAAGTTGGGGCGGTAATTGGGTTACATCAAAGACCTGCCACATTTTCGGTACTTAAGAGCTCGCACATCCACGCACTTCAGTACATCTGACCCTCCTCCAGTCGGGCTTGATCATGGCAGCAGCACCGACCGCCATGACCGCCGCTCTCCCTCAGGCGCCGCGGCTCGACAACACCATGGGCGTGATTCTTCTCTGTACCTGCATTGGTTGCATGTGAGTCGTACATGGTCTACCTATGCTGAGACGTTACATGCTCACGACGGAATGGCAGGCTGTTTGGGCTGACGACCCACCAAACATACCGCTATTTTCGCTTGTACCCGTCAGATGTGCGAAAGTTGAAGGTTTTCGTAAGTGCGCACACTAGAGAAGTGGTAGTAGATGACGACGATGGTCGCAGGTTGTTCTACTTCTGTAAGACGAACAAGCGGTCACTTCGCAAACACCACTGAGCAGCCCTGCTTGTTTGAATATGTTGGTAGACTTTTCGATATATTCCACACCGTTCTGTGTGTTCATATCTGGTGAGGTTGAATGTTTTCGTCACACGATCCGTTGACTGATGGCCAATATAGCTACTACTACTTGATCAACAACTACTTTTTCCCCCCTCGGCTCCTTGATGGCGTTTGGTACGGCTTATGTTCGCGGTCTAAATTTCATTCTGATCGCTAAACTGCTTGTCCAGGTCTATTCGCGTAAGCTATCCCACTGTACTTTAGTATTGGAGTCGCTCACTGTGTCAACAGCTTACAGTGATGGAGACGGTATGCGACACAGTCGCGATCATGTTCCCCAACGTGCAGCTTACCGCAATACTGTTTTCAGGGATGCGTGATCCTTCTTGCTCATTCGTAAGTCTTGAATTGCCCATACCGAGTTTTTACTGACGTGTGTGGATAGCTTCTACGCCCGACGCTTATACCTCCGTATGTTTCTTGTAAGTATGACATGTGATTCGCATTATGCTGATGCGTTCCTCAGTGGGTGGGGGTCAACGATGGCCGGTGGTCTTCATTGTACGTCTCAACCTGGCATCTTTTCACAACATAGATAGCTCAACGATACCTAAAGGCTACGCTCTTAGCGATAGAGACGGGTAAGTACCCCAGGGGTTGTGCTGAGTTCCCGGCTGATCGCTACTGGGTTCGTGTGCGCAGGGATGTGCATCGGTATGTTAGAATCCCGTCTGCGTTTAAATGCTCACCCTCAAACTTGTATTCCAGCTGCAACAGTGGAAGCGTGAGTTCATGTCAACATGACTCGTACTGTCTCTTACGTTGTTCTCCAGCTTCCTGGTGCCTGCCTTTGCAGAATTCGCGCATTTTGCTGTGCGTCCAGCTCGTACAACTCTTGGCGGCGCGCTTCTGACTTCACTTCTAAACTAGTGGATCACTTGTACAGGCCTCGGGATCGCTGTTATCCTCGATGTGTTCGTCGCAGGTTCGCTTAGCTACTACCTGCATCGCAGCCGCACTGGCTTCAAGAGGTAACGACTGGCAGTGCTCTTGTTCAATATCGTGTCGCCTAATGTCACCTGGTCAGGACCGATTCACTCATCGACATCCTGATGGTGTATTCTATCAACACGGGTGAGCAGGAATTCCCACATCTAGTATGGATGACTTGATCAGACTGACTTTTCACCGCAATAGGTCTCTCCACAAGGTATGAGGATGATCTCATGTCTACGAAGCCCAGGACCTGATATTCTTCCGGCAATCGATAGCATGGTCACCTTGGTTGCGGCGATATCGGTATGGCTATCTCAGTCGGATATATTGCTTCTCTAACCTCGTATACAGGCCATCACCATGCGCAACAATCTCGTATACAGTGGACTGTATATCATCGCGTCGAAATGTACGTATTCTTGGTACATCTTACCTATCGTGGCCTAGTACTGATGCAATGGTGGCCGCGTCCGCAGTGTACGCAAACTCTCTCCTAGCCCTGTGCGTGCATCACCCGCTCGATAGTTGATCTGCCTACTCATGTGCATCATGCAGGCTAAACTCTCGCCGCTCTATCATCGACAAGGGCATGGAAGGCTTCGAGACCGGATCGTTCGGGCTGAAGGTGGTGGACACGAGCAACGTCCGCGCCATCGCGTACAACCTGGCGTCACCGACCACAAGGGTGCGTTATACTGCGGCCATTAATCAAGCTCCAAGGGGCGGTGCGACGTGAGCTGACATGTCCGTTCCGTGCGCGCGATGCAGACAAATCCGGCGCAGACCGTCATCGACGTCAGGGTGACAAAGGAGACATATCACGATGGGCTGCCGCTGGACCGCGACGGCGCAGAATCTGACGCCACTTCGGATGACAGGAAGCGGCCGTCTGACAGTGCCGCTGCTCTCGGCGAGGATGTCTGACAGGTCGGGGCGTACAGATGTAAAGACACAAGGATCGATTCACCCATCCTGCGGGTCTGGAGCTTCCTCACGACTATTACTATGTGATATCGCCAGTGGCCAGTTCACGATGACCTTCCTAAATGGAAGAATTTCCACCTGTGCCGTTGTTTGACAGTCCATTATCTCCATAACGTCCACTAGCTCATCTGTGGACAGCCTTCTACCCTCGGCCCTTTACCTGGAGCCTACCACCCTTGAAAAATGTCCTGTGTCTTACACGGCACATCCTTTTGGATAGCTGATTGGCGCGGGCTCAGGTACCCTTCCCGCAGCACTCCGAGGGGTGTACGTCTTCTCAGAGCTGCGAGCCTACTGCGTACGCAAGCACCTTGCCACTAAGGTTCTGATATTATCCAGCGCCACAATTTAATCGCAGAAGAGCACACTGCAGCTCTGCGGCGCAGATAGCTTTAATCCGCACGGCTTCCAAGTCAGATGCTGAGCCCTCAAATGCGATAGGGCCGTGTCAAACGCAGCCGGAGCGTGAAGAGATGGACCTTTCGCGACTTGAATTTGTTATGAATGAAGGTGGGCATCTATGGCCCGCACCACCGCCCGCACCTTCGCCCGCGCCTTCGTTCTCTTACGGGAGTGGACGTCCGCTTCGCTGACTATAGTGATTCCAGGCAAAGGCCCAATCGCACACCATGTCTTTGGCGTAGTCATATGGCTTCTACGTAAATGAAAATGTGACTTTTTGCCGTGTAGTACACCATTTTAGCGGCTCGCCTCGACTACTGCACTTCCCCGCGTGTATGTAGCGAATGTGCAACATATACATGCCCAAAACTGTTTCATACAGTCTTGTGCATGCATATGGGGTATAGTCGCGCATAATCCAACCGCGGGTTCGCTGTAGCCGAGGGTACGCATGCCGCAAGCATGGTGTGTCCCAGCCAATATTTATAGAGGCCTGCGGGCGGCTTTGGAGTGTGCGTTTGGCTGTGCGATATCGATAAGGGGAATGGCCGGACTAACCCCCCAACTTGGAGGCGCTGCATACATACCTCGGTATATTCGGAACAACCAAGCATCTGCTTCGATAGTACTGCATCCGATCGTGCTCTGCCCCCGGTGAGCAATCTTCTAGCCACACAGAGGGCGTGCGCACTCCGAACCTGCCTCGGAGTAGGTGTGAACAGTTCACGATGCGGCGCCCGCCCATCGGCAGATGACGCCACAACCTGTGCGAGGAAGCGGCCCCCGCTGACTCGACAGACACAGAAGGCCATCCACCGGACTACCGCATGCCGCGCAGAAGAAAGATGCTGCGATAGCGTTCTCACATGCGCCCACAAAGGTTTGTAATGAGGATAACTCCGGGCGTGACAGAAGCTCCGAATCGGATACCGGTCGCTAGTCTTCTGCGTCCGCAGCAACACCCATCCGGGGCTGCGAGATCGGACCAATGGCGTACCTGTTTGATTAAAATCAAATTGATGAGAGAGCGTCGTGAAAATGATGATACTCGCCTGCCGTTGTGAGCCGCGAACCAAACAGCCCTAGACTGAGGACCGGGGCTAGAGAGGGCCGTGTAGAAGTTGTCGGTACCATTCCCTCCGGTGCCAAGACATTTGAAATTGGGGCACTGTACTCGCGCATTTAGCCGTGGGGAGTGTAGGGATGCGGGACGTACTCTGACATCTAATACCTGCTTGGTTTACTGCGAGAATCTCAGTCGCGCAACCGCATGAAGCCCGTGATCTTGTTCGGTCTTGGTCTGTGTTTCAATGCACCGTATAGAACAGTTAGCGATGCGCGGTGGCGTTCTCGAATCGTATGAGCAGAGAACGGCACATAGACAGAGCTAACGAGGTAGTGAGTGAGCCTCAGCGTGAGAGACGAGTGTGGGAACACTCACTTATTGTTGGACTATGCCAGCCAGTAGGCTCCTCCAGGCCTTTGGGAAGACTCATAAGTGTCCCTGCTAACGAAATTGACGATTCGTGGACAACGGTTGCAGCACCCGGAGACGACGCCTCCGAGCCCGGGGATGTTGAAACTTGAACGCCAGATGTTGAACGCACACTTAAGCGCGCACGCATGGCGAGTGTGTGGCTGTGCCTACCGGACCCCGGCGCCCGGCGCCCGGCCGGTAACCGCAACTCGTGGTGAGCGGGCCGAGCCCCTCAATTCTTCTTCCTTTCCTCTCCCTCCCATGGATGGCAAGGTTTGAAGTAGCTACCACCTTCCAGGTTGATATGGGGCCACTTCTTGACCTTCAAGCACTGTGCACACCGTGACTCCGGAGCGTTGCATCTTAGCTTTGATATCGACCGAACCATCTCCAGAGGATCGATGGAGTTCGCCCGACACTGTTGGACGTTCGACAGTTGGGCGCAGCTCGCCGTTGGACAGCACTGTAAACCATTGCTGTGTACCAAAGTACGTGGCGCTGCCCCGGTTCTTCTGCACTATGAAGGTGGTAAAATACTCACAGGGCATCAGGCACTCCACATGGTGCATCGAGAACCCATCGCTAGCTTCTAAGTCCTGGGGTATGCGGTTCACATACCTGCCCGTGCCTGTAAGGGCGCTGGTTTCGTTTCCGCGGCCAGCGTTAACTGAGCCGCTCGCACACCTGATGCACGCGTAGAAGCGTTCCCAGGTATATATGCCGCCCCTTCCGGTACGCGAGATCGCGTTTGCAACGACCTTCAAGTTCCATCCCGTCGTCAAGAATGGCTGCCGTCCCCCAGGTTTCGTCGCTCGACCCTGCCGCCATTGCTGCGATCATCGCCGCCGTGGATCTGGAGCGTACCTTCGGGGCGTACCTGATATGCAACTGCGTAGCATGCATGTAAGTCTGCCTTTCCTCAATCTCTAGCGCACTTATCTTACTGTTCACGATGCAGCATGTTTGGTCTGACGACTCACCAGACGTATCGCTACTATCGCCTGTACCCGACTGACCACCTCAGCCTCAAGATCCTGGTATGACAGTCATCGTCTCTTCACAATACACGCGGCTCACTTTAACGCGCACAGGTCTTTGTGATCTTGTGCGTAGCTGCATGCAGGTTCTCTCGTTGTCCCGGAATTGAAACGTTATCTGTAGGATGCTTGACGTAGTGCATACGATCTCTGGTATTCATATCTGGTACGCCTGCTACCTCAGCGACCGCGTATCAGTCGGCCAATTCCACCGCTCCCTTAATCCTCAGCTATTTCTACCTCGTCACCAACTATTTCAATCCTGCTCGCCTCGCCGACGGTGTATGGTGAGCGGACGTGTAGCCTATGGGGCAATGCAGAACTACGCCGCTGACACGTCCATGTTCTCGCAGGTCTATCAGGGTAAGGCAACATTGTCTCGCTATCGGCTCTGACTTATGACGCTGATAATTTGACCGTAGATAATCATTCTTGAGACGGTACGTATACTCGTCCGCCCACGAATGCAACGCTTATCAAAGTCCTTCTGCAGGGATTAATCATTCTTTGCTCCCACTGGTAGGCGTAGTTTTCTATCCACTGCACTCTCATCCGACTCACCGTTACGCATTACCATCGCAGCTTCTACGCAAGACGCCTCTTCTTCCGTGAGTGGACACTACGGTCCCTCGGGAGTATACTCTGACAGGATATCGCAGTCAGCAACCGGAACTGGGTCCCTGTTACTGCGATAGTATGTCTACCACGGTTCTGCTTCACCGGGAGCCTCTCCTAACCACTTTGTTACCGCCAGGCCCTTTTACTACTTGTAGAGATCGGTAAACTTTCTTTCGTATGTACATCTCGGCCACGTTCACTAAGCGACTCGCGCTCCGCATAGGCTTCTGTACAGGTACTGTCTAGTACCCATGAGTTCGCGAGCGTTGCTGACATTTGAGATCACAGCTGCTACTATCGAGTCGTAAGTCCCCGCGTTCATCTCATCATATCGATGATTTTTGAAACGCGTTTCTAGATTCCTTCAAGTCTCGTTCGCGAAGTTCATCAGATTTAATGCAAGCCAACCTCCTCGCACTCTTGGGCTCGTTGCCGCTGACCAGCTGTATATAGTACCTCCTATGGACCATCCTGATCGTTGCAGTGGCTATCGACTGCATTGCGGCTGGGACTCTGACTTACTACCTGCGCAAGAGCCGCACCGGGTTCAGGAAGTGAGTCCAACCCAGAAAGCGTCTTTGTCTTGGTTCTGAACCGGTTTATAGGACGGACTCTATGGTCGACGTCCTCATGGTATACGCTATCAACACGGGTAAGTAAAATATGAACGACTGCTGAGCCGCGCTGATAGACTGTACAGGTCTCTCCACTAGGTACGCGCGTTCTCTAGGCTTCCCTGCTGTTCGCATCTGAAGTTTTGCAGCATCCTGAGCGTAGTTGCCTTGACTTGCGTGCGTCCCCCTCTCGGCGGTACTTTCTCTTTGACATCTGACTCGCGCACAGGCCCTTGCAATGCCCAACAACCTTATCTATAGTGCTATCCTGATGGTCTGCTCCAAGAGTAAGTGTGCAGACTCTGCTTTGCGGAAGCATCGCCGCTAATATTTTCCTAGTGTACTCCAACTCTTTGCTCGCAGTGTACGTCATCCCGCACCCAGCATCTCCATTCCCTCATGCACGACTGACTCCCATCTTGCCGTTAGGCTGAACTCTCGCCGCTCCTTGGTGGACAAAGGGATGGAGGGCTTCGAGACAGGGTCCTTCGGGCTCGAGTCCCCGGAGAAAGTGGTGGCCGAGAGGGAGCCGCGCCGCGGTACCCTCGCGTTCAAGCCCGCGGTCTTCGCGCCGAAAAAGGTGCGCCATGCGGGTTCCCCTGTCCACGTCTCTCTTCTTCGGCACCTAACATACCGCGCCCCTCTCCGCGCGGCCTTTACAGCGCAGCCCTGCTGCGATTGACGTCATCGTCACGAAGGAGACGTTCGTCGACATTTCGGACCAGAACGCCGCGTCGCGGCGTAACTCCGAGTCCAGTGCTTAGTGCACGACACCGCGCCGCTTCTAGCCACCGATGCTCGCCCAGACCCTCGCGTCCCGAGCCCTCCGCGCCCGCCCAAAGTTCAAACGTTCATGATGTATGCCAGAACCGCGTGCTATGCTATTATATTTGCCAATTGGATCTGTGACTTGGGCGCGTTCGAACCACTTCCAGTGAAGATTTTAGCGAACCGAAGATTGGGAAAGTTCGCGGCGAACGTTCGATGCAGAAGCAGCCTGCGCCGTCGGCCATATTGTTAATGGGAAGATAAGCTCGCTCATGGCCCGGTGGCTCGCCGCCTGTCGCACGAAGGTCCAAATTGTGTCTGATCAAAGCCTCAATGGCATTGAGCAGCGTCCGAAGACGTCGGCCACACGGTCGGCTGATCAAACAGAAGTGCGGGTTATCCGATGACCTCTCGGAGAGAAGGGCGAAGCGGTGACCATTTGACGTTGGACGCTGGGTGCCGAGCGCTCGAGACGTCAAAACGGGCGACCTAACGTCCAAAGAGGGCGATCGAACTTTACTCCTGCTGCCTAGTGGTGCCGCAGCCATTTGATGAACGTCGATTGAACATGCGGCGGTGGTTCGTGTGATATGTGCGCACTGGGCGAGCCGCGTGAGTGGCCAGACTATCCCACCGGCAACATATCAATCCACCCGCGAGCGCTGTCAGCATCTGAAACTGGTGCGGAGGCAGCCACACAAAATTAGTCGTGAGTTCACAACGTTCACCGGGCAACCCATGCAGAAGTGTTACGCCGGCCTGTCGGTCTGCTAAGGTTTCGTTGCGCGTCGTCGAACATCGTGTGGGTGCAGAGTATCTATCATTAACATCTGGTGCGAGCACGACGGGCAGGGCCCCCGAGATCGTCTCGCCCGAAGAGAACATGAACTTCTGTACCGCCTCGAGTCACGCAATACCCGGCGCCCCGAGGCTAAGAGCTCCCGGGCGTCATGTAATCAGGGTCCGGTAGACCGTAATAGCACGGTCCGTGCGCCGCTTCGAGGCGGAGAAGGCACGACGACTCGCCGCACAGGACCCAATAGGTTGGTCCATTCATAATTCCGGTGACAGCTCCCAAGGTACGCATACGGTCACAGCGATACAATTAATATATAGAATATTAAACCTAACTTCTGAGAGGTGTCAACGCCAAGAAGTGCTGCGGGAACTTTACAGGTGGGACCGAATGCCGGTGATGGAGGCGATAACTCGCTCTATAGCAGCCGCTAGCTCGTCAGGGTTCTCCTGGACGACCTGCACATCGACGGAGTAAGTACAGCATGCACCGCGGTTATCATGGAGGCGAGACTCACGAAATGACCCGCGTCGGGCACCTTCTGCACAGATGCGACTTTCTTAGGTAGCTTCAGGACGGACTCGTGCATGCGCTCGGGGTTGCTGGACGCATTAGGATCAGCTGCCGGTGACGGACGTCAGTTGCAAATAGAGGCTTTGCACGCACATGCTGTCGTTGCGCTCGCCGTGGATGAAGTGGATGGGCAGGGAGGGGTCGAGAGTACGCAGCCTGTTGCCAACGCGGAAGTGCGGCGCGATGTACAGGTACGCAGAGCCTTCCTGGTCCTTCGCGCACGCCAACGTCACCTTGGTAACGGTCGTGCCGCCCTCGTTGACCTGGATATCTCTCAGCCCGTGTTTCTGCAAAGCGGTCCACTCAGTTATCAGCACAGGGCGCCAACCGCTGTCATAGCGTCTCACCGCATAGAGCTCGAGGACTCGCTCATCCCATACAATCCATGGAATGCGTTTCTGGAAGTACTTGAATGCCTCTTCGCGGCTGTTCCATACGTCGCGTCGCTTCTTGACCGCGTCGGAGATCTCCTTGAGGATAGCGTCGCTGTCCTCACGCGTAGCGACGTACGTGTCCCACGCCATCAAGGCGTCCTCAACCATCACCACGGCCTCGTAATGGACGGCGCGGAGATGGTCAGGTATGGTTGCTAAGATCCTGGGGAAAGCATGTGAGCACACGAAAGCGGTAATAGTACAGAGCGGATTCGCACATGGCGCTGGCACCAAGGGAATGGCCAATAGCAATGAGCTTGTGCCCGTCCAACGCGCCCGAAGCAACGAAGGCTTGGAGCCCCTCAGCCCAGTCGTCGACATCTATAAGCCATCAATTATTCATGGGTGTACACATCTCGGTAGAGTGGAGAAACAGGCGTACTGAGAGGAGCATCTAGTTGCGCAAGGGCTTCGCTATTCCAGGAGGTGGATTCTCCGTGGTTCTGCATCTCGAAGGACCAAATCTCGCGGATTTCTGACTTTGCTGAGGCCGAGTCCCCACCAGAAAGTATGCCGTCGATGATGGGCTCCCATACCTCCTTGTCTATCAACGTTGCCCAGAGTCAAAAGGTGAGTAACATGTACCTCGTGTCGGGTAGTACACGTGAACGTACGAGAGCCAGCGCAATGGAAAAAGAGCAAGGTAAACCCCTTGCGATTGCTGGCTTCTGGTACATAACGCTTCGCCAGCAGCCTGAGACCGCTCTTAACACGCCGACTGGGTAAGAGAGGCCGTACAGTCGTCGTTGTGTAGGCCATGTAGTATTCGCAGGTGAGGAGTAGCTTGCAAGACAGCAACGATAGTTCGGGAGTTCAGGATAAGGGCGGGAAAGGGCCGTCGCACGTCTGCTTTGACAGAGTGCCGAGAGGGGAATATCACGGACACCCTCGGGACGGGCCCTGACTGAGAATCGCAAGAAGCTCCCGACCGCTCTGCATACGGTAATGGAATCAATGTGGAGACGTTCCCATCCGACAGGCTTCTGCGGCGCGGCGATGGTGGCCCTTGCGGCAACTGCGCGCCATCCCGATTTGGTCGACCTGCAATTTGAAACCTGGTCACCGCGAGCCCCTCTGCACTGATGAAACAGGAATGAAGTCTGCGCGGGGATATTAGTCGAACAACGCCGAGCTAGGTGGGGAGTGAGGCGGGATACCAATGTGTATGCACGAACATCGTGTTTGCCAGGGCTCCGGACGGCAGAGCCGGCACAGCGGCTCGGGGAGACACATGTCCATCTTGAGCTCCCTGTCAGCTGATACTGGTAACTGTAGATAGCTGCGGGCGCCTTAGAGGCCGCAGACTCGGGGCTTGTTACATAGAGTGCTGAGGAGAGAAGCCGTAAGTTAGATTCGCTGAGACGCATCTGTCACGAAACCGGGCATCTTGACTTGCCGCGGAAATATTGGTAGTGGTTATATCTAATGCAAGCGCAGCGGGGCACCTACAGTAGGCAGAATCCGGGAAGAAACCTCATTGTATGGGGTGTACGGTAGGCAGAGCTTTCCTCGTGAGAATTGCCAGCGTGGCACTAGGCCTGCACTCGGCCACATGGGCGCTTGAGCTTGGTAACTCACTTAGTGTCATCCCCTCGCCGTTTCTAGAATGCTGGAGGGGAAGATATCCGAATTGCCCAGTAAGTCCCCACGGGATCGTTACCGAGCGACACAAGCTGACCGTGGCCGGCGGCACTGCGGCCAATTTGTCCTGCAGCATGATCTCATCGACATGCCCTGCGGTCACGGTGCGTGGGCGCAGTACTGTTTAGGGACGAATGCTGTACAGGCTGGCTTCAAAACTCCTGTCCCGCACAGCATCATATGGGTGCGCCGCCGAACGATCATGAGTCTCAGCGTGGACCATCTCATGATTGATAGCTGCAACCGTCCGTCAGTCTTCTCAACCGCCGGGCCATTGGATATTGGAGCAACGAATGGCGATACGATGATCGAAACACCGGCGCAGTTCGAAAGGAATCGTGACTTCACGTTGAAGCAGGGTGCAGATCACGGTCACACCTTCCATCTTACGGAAGCGAGGGAGCTTGCGACGACGGCATGCACGGAGGACAGAACTTAGATATCCCCCGGGTTCCGGTATATGGTTACACACTCCGTAGACCGCCGCAGGCACATGCCCCGCACCTTCCCCTGCGCACTCTCCCACCTCGAGGCTGCCAGTCCATGGCTACCCCGTCTCTCAACTCCCAAGTGAAGATCATGACCTCGCCGTCCCAGCCATCCCTAGTCTCCCCACCCCCTCCGAAGACCTCGAAAGGCTCCGTGTTCTGGCTCTCTTTCACTGCCGTTGTAGTGTGCAACTTCCTGAGCGCACTCGATGTCACCGCCGTCTCTACCGCACTGCCAACTATCACCGATGACCTGAAGGGGGGCGACGACTTCGTCTGGGTCGGAGCCGCTTACGGTCTCGCTGCTGCATCCATACTCCCCTTCTCGGGTCGCGCGGCGGACATTCTCGGCCGGCGTCCGGTCATGATGGTCTGTGTTGGCTTCTTCTTTGTCGGAAGCGCCCTAGCAGGTTCCGCTCAAAGCATGAACATGCTCATCGCGGCAAGGAGTACGTCGCATTTTGTATTGTGACTCAAGCGTATCCTTACCCTTCTCTGTAACAGCTATACAAGGTGTTGGGGGAGGCGGAATCACCAACCTTACCTCCATCATCACTTCGGACCTTGTTCCTCTCGCGGAGAGGGGTATATACCAAGGCTTTCTTGTTCTGACGTGGGCGTTCGCTGCTGCAATAGGTCCTGTCATAGTGCGTCATTCGCGACGGATGAAATGCGGGTTACGCCTTCGCTAATGATTACGGTCATGTAGGGAGGCTCATTAGCCGAGAAGGCTTCCTGGAGATGGTTATTCTGTGAGGCTATTCAATTTCGACGTGTATTTTAGCTCACGCATCATATCCAGATCTAAATCTCCCCCTTGCCGGTACTGCCTTCGTCGTTGTCGCCGTCTTCCTGAGGGTTCGTACTCCCCCCGGCTCACTGCGAGAGAAACTGGCGCGCATTGACTGGATGTACGTGCGACATGTTATATCGTTCAATAGTCTTCTGACCTAAGCCGATCTCGACTGCAGAGGCAACCTCATCATCATCATCGGGACCACTCTGGCCTTGGTTGGCTTGACGTGGGGCGGTATTCAATTCCCATGGAATTCAGCGCATGTCCTCGCACCATTGATCATTGGCGGTATCTTCATCGCTGCATTCTTCATATATGAATTTTTCGTCCCCAAGGAGCCGACATTGCCGTTTGACATCATGACGAATCGGTCGAGTCTCAGCGGGTGAGGATTTCTTTTGATTTGTGTTACGGCAATATCATCTCATCGCATTTACACGTTACAGGTACATCTCCACCTTCTTTCACGGCATCGTCAGCATATCGATCATTTGTGAGTGTATGCTTCTGCAAATGAGGTCGGTCACTCACGGCATGGTTCAAGACTACCTTCCCGTCTACTTCCAAGCATGCCAAAACGCCAGCCCCATCAGGTCAAGTATCGACATCTTCGGCGTCGCGCTCGTGTGCTCCCCGTTTTCGTTGATCGGCGGCGTTGTAGTCAAGGCCATGAACAAATACCGTCCCGTCAATTACGCCGGCTGGGCTCTCACCATGATCGGTGTGGGGTTACTGTCCACGCTCAAGTTCGATTCGGGCACGGCCGCCTGGGTCGGATTCCAGGTCATCTCTGCCTCCGGCTTCGGGATTATTGTACGTGTGACTCTTTTTGTGCCACCGTTGCGCGGCCAGACACAGTCCACTGACACGAACAACTTCGGTCGCGCACGCAGTGGGCATGCACTATATTCCCTATCCTTGCGCCTCTGTCCGTCACCCGGGCTGCCGCTGCACTGGCATTCTACAACTTCTGCCGAACCTTCGCTCAGGCAAGTCCCCCTAGGGCGTGATTCTTCGAAGCTCGTGCTGACTATATCGACTGGCGTTCCCAGACATGGGGTGTTGCTATCTCAGCTAGTATTCTGCAGAACGAGCTAAAGACACGGCTTCCGGCGGAGTTCGTTGCACGGTTCCCCGCCGGCATCGAGATCGCGTACGCCGCGATCCCCGTCATCCGCACTCTCGACGAGCCCCTCCGGACGGAGGTGCGCATCGCGTTTGCGGAGAGCATGGCCGTCGTCTGGAAGGCGATGATCGGCTTCTCCGCGGCGGGCTTCCTCACGCTCTTCCTCCTCCGCGAGGTCCCGATGCAGAAGCATACGGACGAGACGTACGGCCTCCAGGACGGCGTGCGCCCCTCGGGCTCGGTGGAGGAGGAGGGCGGCGTGTCGAAGGTGAACGCGACGAGCGTCGAACTGGCGGCGATCCCCCCCGCCATGGACGTCCATCCAATGCACCACTCCATGCAGTCCTCTTCACACCACAACATGCCAGCCTCTTCACACCACGCCTGAGCATGGCGTGTGAGTGGGCTGTCCCGCGCGGTCTGACATGAATGTAATGCGCCGCTGTGAAATGCTAGTCCTGATGTTTGAACGCAGAGTTCTCGGAACGCCCCGGTATAATATGTATCACCGCGCCGCTATTTACTGTACTGGTTCCACTGTAGCGTAGCCCCTAGTTCGCCTCAGGAAATGGGTGGGTCGCGCACACGCTTGCTACACTACAAAGCCTCGCATTCCCCACACCTCCCGCTGTCTGCGACCTTTCGGCTATACAAGGACACGTGTTTCTCACGATCGAGCCACGCGCTACGGTCACGCGCCCGCATCGCCCGAGCGCTACGATATGCTTTGAGCGCTGGACGCTTGACGGAGGACCGTCCAAAAGGGGGAGACAAGTCGAAACAATAGTTAAACTTTGATACCACTTTTGACCGAATCCCGGAGGAGGCAAGTGGAAGCCTTGAGTGTGGTTTTTATCCCGCTTTGAGACAGTAGTAAAGGTTATCTTAAGATTCTGCTTTTGTCCGATACGAAATCCGATTGGCGGCAAAGCTGGCCGACATTTTTTGAACGTCGTGAAACGGAGATAAAAGGCAAACCTTTGTCTTCCTTGTGGAGCCTTTTTCGACGATCCACATGTTTTCCCGGGCAACGGATTTTCGATATTCAGAAGGCAAGACATTTGGAAGCTACAAATGGAAAGCTTTTACGCCACTTTCCACGCGTTTTCTCAGGGGACAAAAGTGAGATAAATTGGAGAGAAGAAGTCGTCCTTTCCTCCCGCTTTTGGATCAGCCAAAAGCATTGTGCGTTTTTACCTTTCGTCTCCTTTTTCGAACCATTGCTCACCGTCAAAAAGTTTGTACCCAATACGGTCTGAAACTGCGTAAAAAACCAGCTGAAGCACAACCTTTCGGCGACTGCAAAACCGTGTCAAAAGTAGGCGACAAGTTTAACTATTGTTTCGACTTGTCTCCCCCTTTTGGACGGTCTCCAAAGGACGGATGCCCGTCGTGTGGGGTCCCCGGAAAGTGAGAGGTCAGTGTCAGAAAATCTGTTTCTGCCTGCCTCTTGGGAGAGAGCGACAGAAGAATGTGGAGTAGACAATTCATCTGCGTAGTAGCTAGTATATACAGGGTGTATAGTAGCAGCAAAGTCGAGGACATAAGGCGACAAGTATTCAGCGTAACAACGCGGACCCCACGGAAATCTAGCGCGCACCGAGGCCGCCCGATACGGTGCGCGTCGGCCCGCCACCACGACTCGGACCGAAGTGGTATGTAGTCATACGCTACGACGTACGCATCGAAGCATCGTACGTATCGTCGTGGGCCGGATTTGCAGCGATGAGTAGCGACACGGAGGTACAGGGTGCAGGGTGAGGTTCGACGCGAAGTGTCCCGATGCACATCATTGCGGACTATATCGGCGTGGAACGACGCGGAGTGGCTCAGGCGTGTAGATATGGATTGGGGTAGTGTGCGCCGATGTGTACCAACGCGTCCAGGCGCGATGGGTCGCGAGGCGGATTGGAGCGAAGCGGATCGGTGCGGATCGGTGCGGTGCGGTGCGCAACGACGCGGACTAAAGTAGTTGGCAGCAGCGCGGACCGAAGTACCGCGCACCGATGCGTCCAGGAGCGAGGGATTGCGAGTTGGATTGGAGGGGTGCGGTGCGGGGGAAGGTCGGAGCAGTGCGATGCACAACAACGCGGACCGGAAGAATGCGCAGCGGCGCGGACTGGAGTATCGCGCAGCGACGCGGAGTGACCCGGTGTGGTTCGATGCGAAGTGGGCACGGTGCGTATTGACGTGGACTGGAGCGAGCCTACATTGGAACGACCCAGAGAGATGCTTCACGAGGGGGTGCGGAGCCGTGCGCATCGTTGTAGACTGGGAGTATCGCACAGCGACGCGTAGTGACGTCAGGGCGCGGATCGGTGCGGAGTGGCGTGGCGCGGATCGACGCGGACTAGAATGCGCGTGTACGGCCAGTTCATGAGAGCTGTGGTACGGAACCGTGCACATCGTTGCAGACTGTACTCGGAGCGGTGCGCAGCAACGCGTAGTGACAGGACGCGAATCGGTGTGGAGCGGTGTGGCGCAGACCGACGTGGACTGGAATGCGCGTATATCACGGGGGAGCGTATCGACGCAGACTGGAGCAGAACGTACTTCGATGCAGCGTGGAGAGGAAAAGAGGAGGCGAATGCAGGAGGTATGCGATCCGATGGGTTTGAGAGCGGCGCAAGTCGACGCAGGCTACAACAGAGCGCTTGGAAGTCGCGCGGTGCAGTTTTGGGGTGATATTAGAGGAAGCGGCGTGTGCGAGAGTGCAGCATTGGAATGCTGGGCGCCGCAGACATGGTCAATCCTATTTTCATATGTCAACGATGTCCTAGGGATGGGGGAAAAGGAGTGACTCACCCGTTCCAGCGACCGTGCAACGATGCACTCCGTTCCAATGGTATCCGGGGTATAGATGAAAGCGGCGAAGTGGGAGACGATGTCCGATACTTTTAGGACTCGAGGCTGATCGATGTGTTTGTTGTAATATAACCGAGTGTTGAGGTCCGGGAACACACGATAGGGATCAAGTGCTCCATGAGAGGAAGACAGGGATCGGTACTCGTCGACGACTATGAATGGTTCCACAATCTTTCTGCCATTCTCCATACGCCCGTGGAGGAATATCTGCCTGATTTGTCCAGCGCGCGGTACTGAACCCGCAGAGGAAAGATCTTTGAATAGGATGAAGGAGTTCCTGGTTGCGGCCTTCGCGGATGCGAAGGTAAGCGCATCACGCACGACGTTTGGGACGTTGTTCGCGAACAAGTGGAGGCGCGGTCGCCCGTCGTCCTGCTTGGCATACAGAGATGTGAAGAGCGCCGGCTCCTGGCCAAGGTTCAAGCGTGCTAGAAGCGCCCCGTAGATCTCCGAAGAGAGCCCAGTTTCCTTCTTCTCATCGTACACTGCCTGGTAGTCCGGGTGGCCATCTTCGTTATCCTCGGATCCGGGACTAGCGTAGGTGGCGAAACGAGTACCACGAGCAGCGTCCTGAAACCCCTTGTGGTACGCAACTACCATCTTGCGATAGACGGGGTGGTCAGGCCACTTGGTCGACGCCATCAGCCATCGGATACCTGAACCGATATAGAAGTAGCGGATGAACGTCAGTGGTATTTGATCTAGGAGCAGGTGTCAGAGCGATTCGATTCCACAACAGAAGTACTGTAACTTTCAATGCAACCCGGAGGGTCACACGTCACACGGGGGTCCTCCGCCCGTTTTTTGGCCGCCGTCACACGTCACCAAGGCCGTCCGGGGCTTTAGCGCCCGCTTCCGGCCGCCCTTTCCGGCGCTAAAATACCTGTTTTGGAAGGTGCCTGGGCGCCTCCTTGTCCCCGGTTTCGTTCCACCGTGTCACACGTCACCCCCCCCTCCGGGTTGCATTGAAAGCTACAGTACGCACTCGACTTATTATTGATGTTCAGGTGTTGTAATAAGCCGTTGAAGCGCTCGAACGGAAAGGCCCACCACGCGTGCACAGGTCCGAACAGGTACAGGCATTCCTTGAGGTGCATGGACAGGTGGTGATTGGGCACTAACTGGTTGTCGAACAGGGAGCGCAGCGTGGTGAGGTACCGGAAGAGATGCTCGTCGAACTTGTCAGCGCGATCCTTGTTCATGGACCTTCGGGAGGCCAGATCCACGGCACAGACGAGGTGGATGAAGTTCTCGAGGAGTACTCGCTCGCGGGGCGGCGCACTGGCAGAGCCCCACAGCCGGCAGAGCGTAATGACCATACTAACAGTACAAGCAGTCCTCCACTGATCGGCCTTGAGCTTCCCGTGACTAGCGCTGCCGAAATTCCTGGGGGGTCGCTCCATCCATGACGGAAAGTGTGTGCGCATGATGTCCTCTTGTAAGGTCTGGATCACCTCCGGTTCTAAGACGTGGAACTTGGAGATATCGTACTCGTTGGCCTTTAAGTGGAAATCGGTGGTAGGCTCGTCAAGCGCAGGCGGAAGCTTAAGCAGCCCGGGGTGGAGCCTTACCTGTAGATAGATGTTGAGGAGAGTCGCTCGTGCGAAGACCGTATGACGCTCACCCATTTCCCTAAGGCATGGACATAAGCCTGCTTGCTGAAGAGCCCATCCTCTGGGGCGATCTTGTTGTACTGGGCAACGGCGATGATATACCCTTTGCGGATCTTGAGCACAGACCGCGTCGATCCATTCATAAGTTGCATGGCGAGGAGCTCGAGAGAGGCCGTCTGTTCCTCCGGTGAATGAGGCTTGACCTTCGTGCGGCTCGAGGACTTGTCCTTGACATCCTTGACGTCGATTCCCCATATACTCATACAGTGATGGCGGAGCTCGCCGAGGAAAAGGTTGTGCATCGCGTCGACCAACGCAAAGCGGGTCGGATCCCAGTATTCCAGTCGCAGGAGCTCGGACTATCGAAGGCCATCTTCTTTGAAGAACACCGCCCGTTCAGACTCGGACTTCGCATCCCGCCAGCGCGTTGCGCGTTCGAGATGCTGCGCCCAGGTTTGACGTGGCCACTGTCCTCGATCGAGGTCGTTGATGGAGGCCTTTCGCAGTTGGCAGAAGGAGCAGAACTGAGACGCCGAATGCCCAGCGAAGCCAGCGGTCTTCCGAAGGGCTGGAATATCACAGACCAAGGGAATCATGGCAGCGCGTACGAAGAGGCCCATTTCGCGGCTCGCTGTGCGCGCAAGATAAATCCCGCTGTGCCACAGAGTTAACAGTTCGTCGACGAGGGGGCGAAGCATGTGATTGAGCTGGTGAAGCTCGGGCTCCTTGGGGCCTGGAATGATGCCTGCGAGATAGACGTTCTCGGGCCTATACCGGAGGTGGGGGGGAAGGTTGAGACAGACGAGGTAGATACCGCCAATGGAATGAGATTTCCCAGCTTGCTTGTTGCCGAACGGGTTGAACCAGTCGACGAACAGGCTAAACACTAGATGTACCGATCCCTCGGCCTGGACGGAGAATAGTGTCTTACCATCCGGCCCGAGAAACGATTGAATGCAGGGAGCGTTCCATATGTCTTTCCACCACTGGGGCTTCGAAGCCTGAGACTCGGAGTTCTTCCAGGCACCACGAGCGAGCTCCTCCATCCCAGGACGTTGGAAGAAGTCCAGCAACCAGGACTTCATCGGCCGGAAGGGATAATACCGCACCGCCTCGTATGAGACACGAACCTTTCCCCACCTCGACTTGGGCGCATGCTCCTGTCGGTAAACGAGTCGCGCCCCACACGTGGGCTTGTCGGTTTCCTGAAAATCACAGAAGTGGGGATAGGGATCGTGCGGCTTGTGTCGATCTGGGGCAAAGGTCTTGAAACACTTAGGGCAGGCCGCGTACCGGACGATGTTTGGCTCGAGATCAAGGAGAGCGAGGACTGTTCGGATGTCGTCCGGTATGGAAGCCAGAAGATCCGACTGGTCGTGACTGAGAGCTCGGGGTTGACCATGAGAGACGTTGCAGTACATGAATGCACCGAAGAGCATGACTTGGAAGGCGGCCAACCCGTACTGGGCGGTGAGCCGATTTGCGGCCGCGAGGGCATGCAGGACGGTGACGAAGAGCAACGCAGCGAGGATGAAGGGCTCAAGCTTCTTCCTCCGCAGCGATGCGTCCACAGCTATAGTGAATCAGCACTTCGCCGGATGGAGGAGTCGCAAGAGGCACTCACTGGGATCCATGATGAGCGGTCCGGTTGCGAGGTCGTCGATGCCTAGTCCATATAGACCTGCGGCTAGCTTCTCCTGATCCCAGACGTCCTCCCTGAATTGTTCATAGCGTTGAACCTCGAACTGGATGTCTTTTATGAGGCGATCCAAACGGTGGTCCGCGTCCCGACTATCCGACGATGGCAATACTTGCAAGGCCTCCTTTTCCGAGAGGAGCCACCGCAGCGCAGATTTGAACCGAGCGCCATCGCCGTCATCAGTGGGTTCAGGGAGGGGGTCCAGAAGAGACGCAGGTTTGCGCGGGAACGTGAGGGCGACGTAATGCGACAGCATACTCCGATGACGGTGTAGCACCGACTGGCTCGCAGATATCCGGGCCATGCGCTCCTGCACTATGATGGACGAAGTCGTTTCATGATTTGCGTGATCCGTTCCTTCGCTCTGACAAAATACGATATTTAATATTTAAAAACCGGTCCCGTACATCGCAAGTGATCATACAACGCACCTCGACGTCCGCTACGGCAACTGGTTCCTCGTCAAGGCGTGTGGACTGACCCGCGGTATCCAGCTGACGGTACGTTCAAGCCATCGACCAACGGCATCGGTATAGCTTTGAAGACTCACCACGGTATCGCTAGCTCGCACAGGCAACGTGGATTGGGACAAGGGAGGAGATGCTACGGTGGCCAAGAGGACAGTGTTCCCCACGATCTGTTCCTCCCTCTGCATGGCCTTCAGAGTGTCGTCCAGGCGATGTTCCAAGATAGTTTCGGGGGCGAGCAACCGGCCATTCCGTTCGATGCCACCTTCGTTGCAGATACGCCGTTTGCATTTACTGCATGTGCACAGCTCCTTGATGGCCATGGCCAAAACCGTACCCTACAAGGGCAGAAGATAGGCGTCGACTAGGACGGAGGATTGCAGAGAGCGGGGGGAGGAGAGAGCGCGATGGGGCACACTAGGGTCCCTATCAGTGATTAGCAAATGACTGCCTGTTGCGGTCATCTGGGGTTCCCATCAGAGCAGACTCGTACGCTACGGCCCACCAACTTATCACTCATCAAAGAGAATAATATGAGTCTATTGTCATGATCTACTGCCATCCGTAGAGATATGAGCACAGCGAGAGCGAAGCATGCATCCTCACGTCCGCTCAATCGCCCAGTCCCAGACTGGGCGATCAGACGGCGTAGGTCGAGGCGGTGAGGAGAAGCGAGGCCATACCAGACTCACGATGAGGAGAAACAAACAGACGAAGAGGAACTTGTATCCCACGGTGATCCACCGTATAAGATCCCAGACCGCGGCGATCGGAAAGAGTCGACCCTGACGGCCGATGAGCGATATATACGCGCAACAGCCGTGCCTCGAACGTACCGCGTAAACGTACACACCGCATGTCTTTAGGTACCCAACAAGGGTAGACGGGAGTGCGTATTTGAAGTACGGCTGCAATGTATGTTAGCGAGGTGATGAATAGACGGACAAGCTCGCAGTCACCGAAGAGGCGGTAGTGTCGGGATCAACGGGGGCCTGGTTGACCCCGGCCTCGTTAGGGTTCGCAACCTGCACCTCCGCCGGCGGGATTCCCTCAGAGACCTCGACCTCCGGAACGGCGCGTTCTTGTGGAGAACAACCTGTAGATTGCGCGGACAGCTGTCTCAATGTCACCTAACCGAACGTTCACAGAGTAAGAGCATACACACCTTGCGCGGGGACTGATGAGCCTTTGCGGTGCGCTCCTGAACGTCCCACCACCCATCACCTCCGCGAATCGGAGCCGGACGGGCCGCACCAAGGCCTGAAGGATCGGGGAAGATGAGCGCTGCTGATACCTCCTGAGCAAGCGACTGCAACGGGCGATTGTCCTCGAGAGGGCGCGTTGTCATGCACCAAACTGGTTTGGCACATGGGCCTACCGGAACAGTCCAGGGTATGCCAGCAATAGGAGCACCCTCACCAGACAGACCTAGGACCAGAGACCAACCTAGCAGACACCAGAATGCTTAGGACTAGCCCAGAGGTCAGGAGACAGTTCCGGAAGGTACCGGAAACTTCAGGAAGAGGAGGAACCCAGCCATCAACACAGGATCATCTGCAGTCATGGAGAACATGCTAGACTACTTCAGCTGACAAAGGCACAGAAATTGCCAGGAGGTTCTAGAAGGTTCCGGACGACGTGCACATGACAGCCTAGCATCAGAGAGCCAGGGAGCACCAGGATATTCCAAGGAGACAGGAGGAGAACATGCTGGAAACCCACGGAATGTTGCGGAACATTGCGGAATATTGTGGAAACCACTGGAATACTCAGTGTTCCCCTTCAAGAATTCCCTGGAAACCATTCAGAATTCCTGGGAAACATCAAGAATATGTGGGGAAGGTTCTTAGAATGTTCTGGAAATCCCTGACAGGCTCAGGAAAAGGATGGATAAAGGAGAAGGAAAGGACTAGGAATGAAGGGAAAGTAGGAGAATAAGGGAGAATGTTCTGGACATGGATTAGTCGTACTACAGACCTGCTTTGTAATGTACCATTTAGGATTCCCGCGCCCCTTGGCTCCAGGTATAAATACTGGGCTGAGGAAGGGGATCCGAGGCAAGCATTCATTCTCGGAATCTTCCTAAAGTGACCTACCCACACTTTA